CGTCGCTCTCGTCACTCAAATCACTGCTATCGTCTTCCTCGGCCTCCCGATGCTTCTGTTGATCATTCTGCTGGCGATCCCGCCGGTGCGTGCGTTTCCCTCTGAGATTCCGCCGTCCGATAATCTCCATGTTGCTCTTTCCTGTCACCATCCCGCCTTCGTCGTCGTCGCCATCTTCCCCCGCCCCAAGCCGCGCCGCCGACTCATTGGCATCTCTAGCGATACCGAGTTGATAATATTCCGAGGCGACAGCTGTGGTAAGGGGTATGGGAGGCGAGTATGTCCGCTTGATTGAAGCGGCGCCTGTCTGGGTGTTGGGGTTGGCGGAGGCGGAAGACCAGCCCGCAGCACGGAAACCGGGAGTATTGAGCACGGTATTGTTTACATTGATGAGGCGGTCACCGATGCCATCTTTGATGGTCGAGAGGTAAGAAGTGCGCAGTTGCCATATCGTGAAACTAGAACCCCCATCAGTCCCTAGAAGAACACACGAACCACCACCGCGTAACATAGGCAATGCGCAGTTCGCAATCCTGTAACATACTCTTCATTGTGAAGGAGCGACATTTTCCAGAGAGCGCAAACGCGGATAGTATGGGAGCTCGAAAAGGTAGGTTGCAGCCAAAAGTGGCCACCATTTACGTCGGACGATGCGCAATCGCTATCGGTGATCGAGTGGACATGGTCCTAGAACGGCGTAACAAAGGGAAGTGGATAGATGCGCCAGAGTCAAGGAGCAATAGGTTGGCGGTCAAGAAAAGAGTGTGTCAGTCAGTTGCAACCAGGACCAGCCTGGAGAGCTGCAGGAAAGGTGGGTAACGAGAGATAAGTAACCAAGGCAGTGAGTGAGACCGCACGGTGGGTTTATGGTTTGTGGAGGAGGCAATCAAGCAATCAATCTCACCCGAGCGTAGTTACACGGGAGGGGAGGGGGAGATCCCGTGCAGTGGTCGCATCTCCGCACCGCCGCCATTGTTAGACCAAAAGAGGCTTAGCGTCCAGGGAAAGTCGCGTCAATCTAGGAGTATACAGTACATCACAATAGTAACATCGCACATCATAGACACCATCTCATCTCAGTAACTACTGCAGTGAAAGTTATCGGATAAATCACAGATCGTCAGATAACAGCAGGATGGTGACGTAATTCATTCACCTTCCACCTTACTTATTCCGAAAGCCAGGCCTGCCACACATCAAGGGCTCGCTCAGAGTATCATACATAAAAGAATTCAGCTCATGTCAACATCACCCAGACTTCGCCTTAGGCTTCCGACCTCGAGCCTTTTTCGGCTTCTCCTCGTCATCGACATCATCTTCGTCCGCTGTCTTCTTTGTCTTCTTCCCTTTGCTGGCACCACCCTTGGCAGCTGACTTCTTGGGCACGCGGACGTATTTGTCTTTCTTCAGGTCAAGCTCCTCAGCTTCATCGTCCTTTGACTCTTCAACAACCTCCTCTTCATCCGATTCCTCCACAGCGTCTTCAATATCGGGCTTCTCCTTTGCCACCTTCTTGGGAGCCGTCACACTGCTCGCCTTGATGAACGGAAGGGGGTGCGAGCGTTGATTATAGACCCGCGTGAATGAGGCCTTCGTCTGCGTTTCCAGCTTCGCATACTCTGCATCCATCGGACCCAGGCCCAGCTCTACGAGGGCATCCCAGTCTTCCCTGGTAAGGAAATAGCTATCCATGAAGTCGATGACTTCCTCAACGGCGTCTTTACCTTCATCCTTCAATCTGCGGACCAAGCGATCCCAGAGCAGGGGCATGTACTGTTGCCGAATCTCATCTCGGTCACCGGATGCACGTAGGCGCATATGGCCTTGAATTTCCTTGACATAACGCCACAATTTTCCTGCATACCTGTATTAGACTTGCTTTCAGGGGGTGTTAAAGAACAAACTTACCTTGCTTGCTGTTTTGCCCCAACCACCCAGCAAATGTAGGACGTTCTCCCATGGCTCCATACACGAAGCTGGCAGGTCGAACAAAACTAAAAGCAGCATGAGTAGGCATTAAGCTCCACTGCTGCTGAGTCCCATGAATCATGCGATCCACAAGGTCGCCGTCGCTGATACTAGAGGCTGCGTTGTCGATCAATTCGAGTTGCTTCAACCTCTGCTCTCGACCTTGGTACCCAGAGGCCAATGTCTGCCTTGTCTTGAGATAATTCTCCTGGACCATCAAATAGCTAAATTCGTGGTCATTGAAGTAAAGCTCGATTTTGTCGTTAAGAGTGCTTTTCGATGTGTGTGCGAACATTTGGGGTCCGAGGATCTTGTTCACGATATCCCATGGTTTAAGAATGATATGCTTTTCCCAGGCTTTCGACATCTCCCGTCCCTTTTCATAATTCAAATGCTGCTGGTCGAGTTTCACAGTCGAGAGCATATTGATGATTTGGCGAATATCAGAATGGGTTCCTTCAATCAGACCGTCCATTACCGGAGCTGGTATCTTCAGGCCTTCGCGGTAACAGATAGTTGAAAGTCGGGCTCTCATTTGATCTGCACTTGGGCGTCGGAAAGCAAGTTCGAAGACAGTGCCTTCGAAGGGCTTCAACTTTGGAATTTTCCACTCATTAGAGATGAGAATGAGGGGGATATGGGTTTTCTTCGCGACAGCCACCAGAGCTCCGACGCCACCTCTATCTCCGGCAGACATGCCATCAACTTCGTCCATGATCAGGACCAGCTTCTTTTTATCACTGTTCACCTTCTTGCCCTCTCCTGCGAAGTATCCCTGCAAAGAGGTTGTGTCTAACACACCAACAAGGCCGTTCTCGACGAGTTTCTTGCTCCTCGTGTCACTCGCGTTGGTCTCAACGACATCGTAATTTTCCAGCTTCGCAACCAGATGAGCCGCTGTAGTTTTTCCAATACCAGGAGGCCCATGGATGATTACAGCTCGGTAGAGGCCGCTTCCGTCTTTTCCAGGTCTCTTGAAGTTGTATTTCGCGTTCTTGTGCCAGTCTCGTAGCCAATTCTGGAGTCGCTCGACGAGGGTCTTGTTGCCACAGATCATGCTTATAGATGTTGGCGCGTATTTGGTCGTCCACAGTTCATCTGCAACTTGAGAGGGTTGGGAAGCTGCGGACGCTTGAGATGCTGAAGGCGGAGCAGTATTCGAGGCGCGAGCGGCCATCTCCTTGCGCTTCTCTTCCTTATCAATTTCTGCTGCCATTGCCTTGACTTTGGCCTCGTCTGCTTTCTTCTTCGCTTCGTATTTTTCCCCAGCCTTTCCGTCCCCTCCATTTGCTGGAAGTCGTCGAATGAGCTCGAAAAGTCCTTCTTCGTTGATTGTCTTGATCTTGTGTTGTCGGATTGTCTGGAGCTTCTTGGGTCCAGCATCCGCTCCTAAAACAACGTAGCTCGTTTTCGAACTGGGGGCACCGGTAACCTTGCCGCCGTACTTCTTCACCAAGGTTTGACCCTCCTCGCGACCCAAAGTGTCCAGAAGCCCGGTAAAGACAAACGACAGTCCAGCGAGACAGTTCTCTGCTCCTGTTGGTAGCTCCACGCTTCCGCCCACAGGAGATCTTGAACGTTGTGCTTGAGCGGCGAAATTGAATTTCGTTTTTTCTCCCGACTGTGGCGGAGGGGAAGGAGCCTTGACGGTTGGGATGCTGTCAAAGATATCCTGAATTTCCTTGCTCTCGGGTCGATCGGTTTTTGTCGGAGAGGCTCGGGGCTTTTTGGCGGCATGCGACGTCGCTTTCGCTTTCACTGCACTCTTCTTAGGACTGGCCTCGAATTCAGAGTCTTCCTCCTTGTCCAATGCTCCCGACTTCCGTTTGCGAGCTGGGCGGGAGGTTACTGGTTGCGCTGCGCGAGAGGGGCGCTTAGGCAAATCTTCCATTACCACATCATCGTCCGACTCTGCAACGAGTGGTTGTTTGCTTCGTCCGGCTCGTTTTACCGGGCTGGCAGGCTTCACAGCAAGCTCTTCAAAATCGTCGTCGCTGCCATCCTGGTCATCCTCCTCAACATAATCGTCATCGCCCTTGCCTCTCTTCTTGTATTCGGTCGCAAAGACGTCATCACCACCTAGCCCCTCATCATCGTCTACTATCGTTGTCGTCTTTCTAGTAGATCCACGAGTGGCTCTCTTAGGGGTAGTCTGCGTATCTGCACGCGTCTTAGGCTTCGGAGATTCAGTCACAGTCTCGGCTGGCGCTGGCTGCGAAGGCTTAGTTGTGGTCGCATTGTTGCTCTTCGCTGGTCTTCCTCGCTTCTTGCTCGAGGCAAAATAGTCCGAGGTAGAGGTCGGTTCTCCCTTTGATTCTTCAGGTTTCCTTGAAGCGGTCAATTGAGAAAGTCCTGCTCAGAGAGGTGAAGGGGAACGTACGGCTTGCTTGTTATTTTCGCCTTTGGGGTTGAAGGCTTCACCTCAGTCACTTCTTCATCGTCGCTGTCATCAACAACCTTCCGAGTGCCTACAGCCAGGTTAGCAAGGCACGATCGGGACGGTTGGCATGATTCTCACGCTTCTTCCGAGTAGCAGGCTCCTAGCGACGAATTGAAGTCAGCACAGAGTTGATGGAATGTCAAATGTGGAAAGGTATACTGAAGTGCGAGCTCAATCATCGACGTACCTCTTTCTTTGCAGCCGGCTTCGCGGGAGATGCGTTTGAACCTTGGCTCGACTTCGCGCCAAAGAAGCTCCGGATATCAGAAGGCATGGTGGTGGATAGTTGTTGGAGCGTGCACAACCGTGTAAGGTAGCGCTCTCTGGGACAAATGTCAAGAGTCAGAGAGGACCTACGCTCCAGGCAACAACAACAACAACAACAACAAAGTCCAGCAGGTGGAAAGCCTTCACCACTTATCGCTGGAAGCTACATACAATTCCGGCAGACACGGACGCGCGCCTGCCTGCAGCTACGCCGACGTGACTTAATTGGCTTACCTAAGGCCGAGAGGCGCGTGTGGCACGTGCGCAGCACTTTCTTCCCTTTCGGGAAATGGGGGAATTCGGGCCCGGGCCTGCAGATACGCCAATAACCTGAAAGTCTGCCGGGAACCCATTGAATATTGCTGAGATCCGGTAATTGAGAGGGCCATTTGCTGCATTCCAATTCACAATGGGTCCCCAGTTCAAGATGTTCTCCGGGTCTCAAATGGCCCTGTTCCGGCCTTCATGTAAGAATCTGCGCTGCCTTCCAGATTTTTCCTTTTCTGTTTGGCCATGAACCTCCTTCAGATTCCTCTCACGGAAGGAAAACTGACAGCGATGCGATACGCTAGGCTTCACGACACCTTGCACAGCGCTTCCCCTTTCGCGATGCTTCTCCACGACCACACCGGCCCTGGATTGGCTCACTCCCAAGTACGCCGAGGTGTCGAAGTCTCCGAAGGGTCGCCCGCATGTCCCGACCGGTGGTTCCTCGCGCGGTACGACTGTCGTCTGGGGTGACTACGGCTTGCGGATGAAGGATCACGATCGTCGGTTGCCCGCCCATTCTCTCAAGATCGCCGAAGAAACCATCAAGAGACGCCTGAGGGGTATGAACTATACGCTATACAAGCGAGTCAGCGCGAACATCGGTGTTTACACCAAGGGTAACGAGCAGCGTATGGGTAAGGGTAAGGGAAAGTTCGACTACTGGACGGCGAAGGTCGCTGTGAGCAGAATCGTCTTTGAGCTGAAGGGCGACCTGCACGAGAAGGTTGCCAGAGAAGCTTTCCGTCTGGCCGGTCACAAGCTGCCCGGTAGGTCTCCCCTCATGGCATCTAGAAACATCGCCATTGATGGCCCACGACACTGATACATTTACTGTACACAGGACTCTGGGAGTTTGTGAAGAAGGGCGAGCCCCCGGTGGTCGGACTGACGAAACTTGGCAACGGAGTGACCCTGGAGAGCCTCAAGCGTGCCCGCAGAAGCCCAGCCCTTGGGATGGAGAATCTCCCTACGCCCCCACAGTCGACCTCCTCCAGCCCGTCCGCCTCTCAATAAATAGACCCAACGCCCGTTTCGAATTCTTGGAGAATCTGTTCATTACCCATGTTTTATTTACAATTATCTCGTGGCACCTAAGCCCCGACACCTGAGCCAGGCCCATATCCCTGTTCTCTCCTGAGCCTTGCCGCCAGCGCTGCAGCCTCCTCTGGGGTTTCGGGCTTTGAATCTTTTGTTGTACATTACCATCAGCCATTCACATTCTGTTTTAGTGCGATTGATCTCGCAAAGGTGTCGATGTCTTTCTCATATGCGGAGTTTATATCAGATTGAAAGGGGAAAGGGAAAAAGGAAACCCCGGGGGGAAAAGATTGTGAAACTGTACCTTTATCCACGACTCCCGAGAGACCAGACGTAGCCTCTCCCTTCTCGAGCTGCAGTGCCAGTGGCGTGTCCCCATTCTTTTCATTGACTTCGTCATCGTCATCTCCGAGGATCGGGTTGTATTCACTTCTTGTGTGCTCGCAGTGGGCTAGCCCGTCCGTCCAATGAGCCATGGCTCTTGTAATCATGTTCTGAGTGAAAGGAACAACTTACCACCTAGTTGACCGGTCTGCTTCGGCGGAGTCTCTGTGAAATAGCGAATTGATTCATACCTAGAATCTGGATCAGCACATTTTCCCTCATAGCGAAACCTCCAGCGCAACATACTGGGTGTTTTCACCACCGGGCTCGATATCCATGAGGTTAGGGTTCGACATGATGTAGTTATCGCGGAAGTCCAATAAAGTAAAAGCTTGACTCGTGGGATTGATAGACAGACGATGACACTATCCTTAACTGTGATTTTCGAAGTTGAAAGGAATTGGAGAAATGGGGGGAATGGCCTGCGAGGTGGTGGTCGAATATGTATACGAGCTATGACGTAGTCAAGTGAATCGACCCAGTCAACCAAGATCAGCAGTCGATGGACTGCCAGTGGCTACCAACTCCCATTCAGGGCCCCTATGTCAGTCATGGATAATGCTGCAGCTTTTAGACAATCTTACTCCGCAGCAAGCTGTTTGTGCGAAATTGGTTATCTCACTCAATGCAGCATCATCCCCATGTTCATTTCCCATCTTTTCTAGCTCTTCCCTTCCCAAGACCCCATCCACCTGGCGAGCATGAAGCTTGATTTACATTACATCCTGTACAGGATAATGAAATAGTAAAAAAACACCTCCGCTATTCGCAATCACGAACACAAAGTCTTTTACTTCATCACAGAACGCCTGGTTTAGGGAAGAAAAGATGGCCCGTTATAGTACAATTAATTCATTACTCATTCATTGTTTGTTACTCTGGTCCCTTTTAAAACTCCATGCCCATGAGGTAACTGCATATCGAGTTAGCAAGGATACCCAATAGATTCTTGGTCTACTGAGTCAAACAAACCTCTCATAAATGCGCATAAACTTGGCAACAAATGCCTCGAGATGGAAGATCAATTTCTGCGGAGCGATAGGGTCAGTAGTTGATCGATTGCGGATTCTTAGGGACGAGAACTTACGCTACCCTGGGTAATTCTGTGCTCGTAGAAAGCCGACCATTTGATGACATCTGGCTTGAGAGCATCGTCCACTTTCCCGACGAGCTGGAAGGTCAAGGTCTACCATGCCCCGTTAGCCTGAAGGCTCCCGCAAAGGGTGTCTCTAAGACTGTTCGGAGAGAGGGGAAACAAACCTTGAGGATGGTAGTAGCCGGTATGCAATGCGTCAGCAGATCGTACAGACGTGAGCGGACTCGCAACAATTGAGCCGGTGACCGTTCCGCCAAAATCTCATCCGCAGTTTGCGCAATCAGTGCTTCCCAGTCGGGAGGTGGAATTGGCGTGTTGTCGGTGACTTTCTCACTGTTATGCCCGAAACATTGTCAGCCACAGGTCTCAGGAACAAAAGCAATGTGGGGGGCGGGGAGCTCTTACTTCTGAGCATAGATAGCCTCAAACATAAGCAGCGCGCGGCGCAGGTTCCGACCACTCTCCCTCGCTATCCTCTGATTCAGCCCATCCGCCTCTGGCCACCCCTCCTTCTTGCCCGCCGTCCTCAACACCGCGCAGATATCCTTTTCAGTGGGCGCAGCGACCCTGACCAGCAGGGTGCGAGACCGGATCGGTGCAATGATATTCGAGGTGCTGTTGGCCAGGAGGATGAGTCTCAGGTTGGGGCTGTATTTCTCCATGGTCCGTCTGAGCGCCGCCTGCGCATCGCGCGTCAAGTGGTCCGCCTCGTTGATCACCACCACCTTGAACCGCTGTTTCGCCGAGAGATCGACCTGCTGCGTCTGCGCGATCTCCTTGAGCAGCTCCTGGACGACGACGCGGTCATAGTTGCCCACATCCGACGGTGTGATCTCCAAGTGGTAGACGGAGGAGACAATGTTGAACTCCAGCTTCCGGTTGCTCGTCGTCTGAAAAACTCGGGCGTCGATCTTGATCTTCTCCACGCCCGGACCGTACAGTTCCTTCAGGGTTGCGATCGTGCGTGTTTTCTTGCCTGCGCCTGATGGTCCGTAGATCAATAGATGTGGGAAGTCGCCGCTTTGTGCCTAAACATGTTCAATGATTAATATCTTTTGCTATTCAAGGTTCTCGGGTGTGCCTTACCAGGGACTTTAGTCGTGAGGAAAGCTCTGGGTGGTATGTCAGAGAGTCCAGCGAGCGAGGTCGGTGCTTATCAACTAGCAACGCCATTTTGAGTGGTTGGTTCTGAGCTTCAAAGGGTATGAATGAGACCGCTGGGCTATTTTGTTGCCGCCATACAGTTCCCGTCCTGGAAGCTAATGGACGCCGACGCGTCGCCCGTGACGCGAGCTTAATTGATGCTCCCGAGTCCGTGCACTACGGCTGACTATGCATGTGTTGACCAATGAGAGCAATACCCGACTATTCCGCACTCCACGGTTATGCCTCAGGCACTGAATAATGTACTAAGTAGTAAGGTATGCAGCTTTCCATTCAAGGTCCACTTGAGATGAGACTTGTGGTGTAGACTGCTTTACTCGAGGTTCCTCCTGGCTTTCCTGATGTCACCAGATAGAATTGAGTAAGCACTGGGAATGCCGTTGACAACGGCAATGATTCAAATTCTGAGCCTGTAGGCCATATACAAGGGAAGATTCCCACCCAAATCGTACACCTACTGGTAATTCTTGGTATATACATGCTCTATAGTACAAAATCCGAGTAGACGCCAAAGGTTATCTGCTATGATGGTTTCAAGAGTATTTGTCGGAGAAGGGAGATGTGAGGTCTTTATGAAAGAGGCTGACAAGCGAGTGTCCCTGTCGATACCTACTCGATTATAGGTCTTCAGAGGAAAGCCTCTGATGAAAGCCTCTTCGACACAGGCGCCTGAGCTGGTGTCAAGAAAACGAAGTGAGCAAGGGTATCCGAATATCATCACGCGGGCAAGGGCGTGAGAACCCCGTTGTCATCATATCGTGCCTCTGCTTGATGTTAGCAACCTGTGCAGATAGTGCGCGCTCGGCGTTGCTCTTACTGAAGAAGGTGTATGACAAAGTGATCGTGTCGATGCCTTTCATGGCTGGGTCCGTGACGAAGTCGGGGTCGATGAAGAAGAAGACCGGCATATCGACCGATTCTCCGGCGTTCAGCTTCTGCTCGTCAAAGCAGAAACATTGGATCTTGCTGAAATAGGGTGCGACCTGACCAGGGGTCACACTGTATGTCGCGACACCAATGATGTCTGTGGGGCCCTTATTCGTAGCTGTAAAGAAAGCAAGCGCTGTTTCTCCCGGAAGCACACGGACTTCGCGTTGTTGCGGAGTGAATTTCCACGGCAAAACATCCGACACTGATCCATTGAAGGTGATTCTGAGCCGACGGGCGTCTGTCACGGGTTTGACACGAGATGCGGTATCATTGTCGCCTCCGCGATGCGTAGTAGATGGTTGACCGTTCCAACCAGTTTGTTGACAGATCTATGCGACGAGCGGTAGAAGTAAATATATGATACAGATGAAGTACATTTTCACGAAGTTGAACACACCATTTTATATAGAGGAACAGAGCCATAGGCCAAAGCGACGGTACCGAGAATGATACTCATCGTATAATACCTAGTGATCTATAAGCAGTGCACCAAATAGAGCATCGCCGTATCATCATACATGGTAGACGCATTTCGCTTTTGCGATTGAGGTGTATTGAAAGGAGCATTAATATTTTGTCGTAGAACTGAATTGCGAGTGAAGAATCGTCTTCCTGGATCCATCCATCTCGAATTGATCTGGGCAGAGAGACGAAGACTCAATCCCGGCGATGGGAGCCGGCCCCATGAGGATATTGAAGGGGAGATCATGTTTAAAAGTTATGTGCTGCGGGGACGAATGTAAATTTACCCACTGCAGCATCAACTCCAGACTCAATAATGTCGTTGTCACACGTGACTCAAGAATGTCCGATAAGGGTGGTCTGATCATGTGGTGATAATCATTGTTGTCAGTGGGCAGTTTTCTGCCACCGCCCTTCATAAACAGTTTTGCCATCGGACTTTTCGGTGCTGTTCAAGGTTTCTCCACTAGATTTCCTTCTCCGAGGTTGGGGACATTCTGCCGCCTCTTGCGGTCACGAAGGCGGTCTACGTCGATGCGCTCGGCCATTTCATCCCATCTATAGCTGGCCTGCACGATCAAGGGCTCATTTCATCCCAAAACTGTCTCTTGAAGCATTTTTCCAATTATGGGGGGCTCTAGTAATGCTTAGAAACTCTCGCTCATTGATGCTTGTATGTCATAACAGAGAGGAAGACAACCTATTGCAACTTGTCTTAAAACGATTGCATACCTATTTAGCCCTAACTGCCAGTCTCAGAGAGGCGCTTGACAACTCAACCCCACCGTGCCATGTCTCCGAGCTTCAGCTTATCAGCCTGATATGCTACACTTCATCCTCCTTATCGATCCACCCGTCAGTTGTGTGCAGACTGATGCTGCTTGGTTCACTTGATCGTATTTATGAATTGCATTCCTCTTCTTCGAAGCCGTCTTCAGGTTTTGCACTTGACACTCGCTGCATAGATGCAGGCGCGATCATTGCGCATGGTTTCCAACTCTTAAGCTTACCTTATCGTCAGCTCATAGTGAATAGCAGAGGAGAGCATTGGGTCTGTCGATCCAATGGTGCATGAACAGATTGCTGCTGGAAGCAAGGGAGTCGCTCATGCGCGGTCATCGTAAGACACTTGCTGCCACCCTTCCAAAAACTCCTCGGACCATCTCGGGGCGTTCGTGTGCACACGTTAGAAGAACAGCAGCGCTGATAGCGAATGCAATGCGTTCACGATACAAGTACTGTCAAACAAATAGAAATTGTCAGCATAGGATCTCAAAATCCAGGGTAGCCCAGAGTCGGGATGACGGATGGAACGACGGGGCTAGTGCAACCATCCTCGAACCAAGCAGCCGGACGCTATGGCCAACTCAGTTAAGCATACCTTCTTATCATAGAACCTCGGCATAGCAGTTGCTGCGGCTCTGGGTGCTACAAACAATGCAATTTCTTGCCGTCTCTGCGCACTCTCGATGAGTATACTCCATCCGCACATGAGACATCCCGCGCCAACACAAAGCCCAGAATCCCACATTATGGGTGTGATTGTGTCACGGGGAAGGATCTTGGGGCCTAGCCTTGTTCTGGCGAGGCACACTGAGTAATAGAACATGCTCACAAACGAAGCAAGGAACGCAGACGAGCGCAGGGCGGTTGATAAGGCGTGCTTGAGTGACGACATTGAATTCAACTTGCGCAGACGCAGGAGAAGCTGTATAGGAATGTAAGTCGCACAAGCAAACTTGAATGTTCGAGCAAATCTAGATACTGCATGTTTCTCACAGCTCGGACCACATCCCATGTGGACCATCTCGCACGGTATAGGGACAGTGCTCGAGGGATCACCCCAGTTAAGAGGCCAACCGTAGTCCCTGCACATGGATTGTAGGAGAGGAGCCTGTCCAGTATCCTTCCCATATACCAATACACCTCTTCTGGCACGACGCAGTGCTTCAATCAGCCTAGCGTCAACCTTTGCTACTTCCCCAATCCACCTTTCATAAGACCTTGGCAGCCTTTCTGGCATATAGAACCATGCCCACATAACTATCGCTGCACTAGCAGCGAATGCACCAGCATCAGCAAGCTTGGGCGCTACACGCTCTGCCAAGGTCCAGTGGTTTCTGTCCTTGCATCGCTGCCATCGCTGCCAGCCTATGCACACGATCAAGTCCGCAGCGCGTGTGAGGCTAAAGAGCGTAAGATCCATGCTCCGGCCGACAAATTGAGGATTTTCGCATGGTGCTTCTCTAATGTTCGCCAGCCCCACAGCGCTATGCGTCGAGTTGCAATCATCAGGAACCCTCGATTTACCCTGTATTTTAATGGGCTTCTTATTCAAGAGCTGAAATGTGTACCAGGCAGATAAGAATGCCGAGACAAACCGAATAATTTGCATGAGCTGCGAAGTGCACTTAGAGGTGTTGAGCTTAAACTTGTGGCGTACATGCTCAAGACAGCGTGAAAGTATTAAGGGAGTAATAGTTGAACCACCAATCAGAAGAGCACAGAACGTGGGAAAGCTTTCGAGCCGTAACGCATTGGTCAACGTATGGAACAGCTGTCAAAGCAAGATGAGCTATTGGCCTCCCAAGTGATACATCCGCAATTTAGAAAGAGCACAAATGGCCAGCACACACCAATTGGTGTAGCATCAACAACCCCGGCCAAGGAGAAAAACAGGGGGAGCTTCTTACCTCTTTCAGCCTGTCTGTGTTGGTGAGCCTTTTGTCCTGAATGCGCCGTAGACAGGAAATTATTCTCGGGGTGGTTGAAGACAAGTATCCAAGAGCATACGCCCGCAGTATCCTTCGACAGTGAGTATGCCACGCTCAGGTGAAGGAAAAGAGCAACAGAAGTCATGTTGAATGGATCAGAACGTACGGCTTCAGAATGTCAATTCTGCTGCGATGCTGGTAGCGGATGGCAACAGGATCCATGGTGTCCCAAGCTCGCCAGTCATTACTCTCGCTGGAGATTTTTAACCAATGCAATCTACCAATTGTTGTCAGACAGGTGCTTCATTTCATTTGATCACCAGTGGCAGTCAAACGATAAACTTCTTCACGAACCTGTGAGGGGATGGGTCTGCCTCAAGATTGGACTAAAACATTACACAAAGTTGGGAATCTAAGGCATTGAGTGCTGGCACAAACGCTTTGATCTGCGGCGATAACCACAAAGCTCTGTGCTCCACAGCAACCTTTCATAGGATTCCCCGCGGGATCCGTGCGACGCAGTTGGAAGGCCTCGGTTCTTGTAGACACGAGGGAGAGTCACTGCTAGGGCTGGGTCAGGGGTAACGATTATTCGGTAATCAACGACGATCCCCGTTGCCCGTTGTTGCTTGGACCAAACTTGGGGTCTTTGAGCATCACCCGTGGATGCGCGGAGATGGAAGGGTCTATAAAAAAGATATAAGAGATATAACGAACCCCCGGTTAAGAGACCAAGAAAGCTCAAATTATATTCTCTTGTCCCACGGCTAGAATGACCGAATTGTTAGGCGAACACCTTTGTTTGATTAATGAATTAATGAATGGAGTTAGTGGGATGCAGCAGCAATTAATCAATGGGTAGAACTAAAGAACTAGGAGAGAAGACCAGCAACTGCAATGACGGACTGGGAAATTGGGCCGAGACTAAGCTGGTCGTACCGAAACATTACTGCGCTTCAGCCCAAATGCCCAGCCAGAGTGTGGTATTTGGCGTATTACTGTTACGTCACGCGACCGCCGGTCCAGCGCGAGATTTTTTGCATGTGATCGACTCATAAAGACCGAACGAATTCCTACCTATGCTAAGTGAGTTGAGTCTCTTACTTACCTACTCTACTCCCAGTCTCTCGCTCTCTCGCCCAGCCAACAGAGAGTGATCTCTCTCCACCATCGAAGCTATTCCCCGGATTTCTCCTCCTTCCGCCATCCTTCCTTTTATTTGTCTAACGAATCAATGTGGGAGATGTCCCACTTTGCAACCGAGTCCTTCCGCTTGAACGCTGCCTTGCTCCATACATAACAGACCCGTCGGTCATTCTGTCATTGTCATCACCAGCTTATACCCGAACCGAATGCATCTGTTGACAACAAGCGTCTGCATCATTCCCCCCAGCTCGTGCCTGTGAGCTTTTGTGGCCTGCGATTCCCGATTATTCCCGAGTCTGATTCAACGATACCTACGCCGGTTAAGGCATGTCCGCGCTGCCTTCTCGGCGCTGCTCTACACTAGGGTAGCAACTGCTGCGGAAACTTGACTCGCGATCTCCAAACCCTCAAATTTATCTCTCTTGCCGTATCGCCATCATGGACCTCAGAAATCCCGAAGCGCATAATGGCAGCGACAGCCCACAACCTGGCCCGTTTGGCTGTACGTTCAACAATCCACAATTCCCTCCGTGCTCATGCTAAAGATGTGTGCGCCTATAGATTCTTTCCTTTCGCCAATGGACACTCCATATGAACCTGCGCCTGCACGACCGCCCGGGCCCGCTCTCCTTGACGACAACGAGTCCACAATGCTGGACAACTTCTTCACAACGATGAACTCCAACCATTTCCCGAGCGACTTCTGGATGGAAGGACAGACGAACCGTTTACTTGGGACTAGCGGGCTGGACTGGCCAGGCGAACTACCGCCCACCTTCGAGGGCTCCACGACGTCTCTTTCACAACCAGGTCTCCCTCATGGCAGCATGGACAAGTCTAGCATGGAGATGCTGGCTCCGGACATGAATACAAATGCAGAAATTTTCGCGGCTGCTTCCATGCTTTACCACAACGGACTTACTGGGAATGACTTCAATTCCAGCTTCAATCACCACAATTTTGCTTCTCCCGACGCCGATTTCAACAATCCAAGAATGAATGGCCACGGCAAGGTCCAGGCGCCTAGCAGTCATAGCCAGTCAAAGCAGCCGTCTCGTCGCCGCATGCCCGTGGGTTTTCATACGTCGGAGATGTTGTTCGATGTTCGAGAGCCCATATCACCCGAACAACAAGTGACGGCAAAGGTGCGCCCGCTTCATTGGGGCTCAGATGTCGGTTTCATGGGCCAGGGCTATTTGGCGCCTCCGGAACAGCCTAATGAAGAGGATCGGACCAAAGAACTGCTTGGTCATCTAGTATGCCTTGAACCGCAGAGCAGTGCCACGAACACGCGCGCGCCGAGTCCCGTAACAATAAGACACACTGGAGGTTACGATGCTCCATGGGCAGATGCCGCCGCAGCTGGTCAACTCAGCAATCTACGGCGAGGCTTTCGGGACCATGTGGAAGATCTCGCTCAGCCAAAGAAGAAACAGAGAACTTTGGTCAAAGAGGAAGATGACGAAACCTCGGATGACGATACCTCGAGACAAAAACCCAAGAAGTCCAAATCCTCGACTCGGCGGCTATCGCAAGATACCCTCCAGAAACGAAGGCTCTCTTCGGGGCCAAAAGCTGCGCGCGAGAACCTAACCGAAGAACAGAAAAGAAGCAACCACATTCTGTCGGAACAGAAGCGACGAAATCTCATTCGACAGGGCTTCGATGACCTATGCCTACTTGTCCCCGGGCTGAAAGGAGGCGGCTTTAGTAAGAGCGCGATGCTGACTCAAGCCGCCGATTGGTTAGAGGAGATCCTGCGAGGCAATGAAATCCTCAAAGCACAGCTCGCAGAGATGAAGTCAATGAACGGTTTGGTCATGCCTCGATAGCCCTCATCCAAGTTACGCGATCACGATTTACCATTATTAATTCCCAGGTCTGGTTCAAAAGCATGGGCTTACCTTTTGACTTATCTGTACATTGGAGCACTTGAGCGGTTTTCCAGTCATCTTTCAGATGAAACTGCAGGCGTTCTTCTCTGGCGGTCATGATCTGAAGCACACTTTTCCCGGCGAGGCTCTACTAGTGAGTATTTGCTTGCTGACCTGCCGCATGTCATGCTTCTACCCATAATACCCCTTCTGGCTTACTTTCATCGCCATATTTATATATAGCCGATGCATGTGTAACTATATAGCCAAATTTCCGAACTAGCTACGATCGAACTAAACAAAATAAAATCTTCTCAATTAGCGCTAGTATTTGAGCGCCACGCCAGGATCATAAGAGACCACTTTTTTTGCTTGTCTTGTATTGTAGATGCGATTCATGCAAAAATATATCATGGGGCGGAGCGAAGACACCTTTTCGAGCCAAGAAATGACAGATACTTTGCCAAGCGAGCGTTTCAGTGCGACGTATTGCTATGTTCCTAGTCGTTGCACCGATACTCATAACTCCAGGCCTGAAAAACTTGCGACCGCGAGATGTAGGAAGTACTTAACAAGGATGAGGTTTGTACGGAGCATTGGACAGTAGTTACTAGTCTCGCGGGGAGCTCCGCACATTTAAAGAGGCTTAGCCTTTTACGGAGGTTGTTTAGATCCGCAAGGGAAACAAACTGTCATGTGATCCGCCCCCATTTGTTGTTCTGGGACCGGACAACAGTCCGATACTCATCAAGAACCACCAAACCATCCAGATGTAACAACATCAATTGCAACCATCGCTCAGCCTCGATCTCCAACCTCAAAGACCAACTGAGAGGAAAACCTCGCCGGCTCTTGCGAACATGCCTCCTCCGAAACGGAAGCGTACGAGCCATGCGCCGGACCACGATAACAATGCACGCAACAAGCGATTCGCCTACCTCAAGCCACAAGTCAGGCAGGTCTCTGAGAGGACCATCAAGAGCAAGTGGTCGACGCTTCCCGAACCCGTGCAAGACAAAGTTCGCGACATGTTCCGAGCCCTGGAGCGCCCTGTCATCATGCGACAACAAAATGAGAGCAAGCGCATCGAAGCGCAGGCCGCCGTGCAAGCTGTTGTGAAAAAGTACTGTCCCTGACACGTGCCATTGGACCCTCGGGATAGAACTGACAGCATATTTGTCGCTTAGTTTGGGAAAACGACTGCCGCGAATGCCGTTCCCCCCCGTCGCGAAAGATTCCGTGTTTGAGTACGAAGCAGCTCTCAAAGAACATGTAAGGCGGTTCCACCATCAATCGACCGATTCAGAAACTGGTCTAACCTCAAAGTGTAGTCCTCGTTGGAGGCTGCTCTAGCTACGATGAATGATAGTATCGATCTATTGAAGGTTGAGGTGGAGAAAGAGGAAGCACTACTTGAGAAAGAGAGGAAACAACTGCAGGAGATGGAGAGAAACGCAAAGGGAGTCGAGGCAGAAAGAAAGAGACAGATGAAGAATGTAAGGACCTGGCCCAGTGATAGCAAGATCAAGTCGCTGATTCTCATCTTAATCAAGGAACATCCGGTGCTACGGCAATTGAGCAACGCCCCTGATAACCACGACTCAAACCAGTGCGGCTTTACCATTGCAAATGATAACGGCGCACAGGTCATGTTTGATGAGGTAGGAACTTATTCTCGGCAAACTGTAAGGTCACTTTATTGACAAGCCCCATCTAGCTTGAGGCCGATCCAGAAGTTTTTGGTTTATTAGAACAGTTGCATGACCATCTCAAGTCGATGCAAAATAACACGACACCCCTGACTGGCCTGAGAGATGCAGTCGCCAAATCTCAAGCGGCGCTAAGCTTGACTTTCCTTCCTGACGACTGAAGCAGGTTCACAGCAAACAAGCTAATAACATGCCCAGCCGCAGCTCATGCTGTTCCGTTGAGGCTGATTATTCGACAGCAATGCAGCGAAGTCTGCACAGCGACATCATCATGGGTCAAGGGCCCCTGAACGCTGAAGCAGTGACGCTGGCGTCATGATCTCGGCAAATGTTCAAATTGCAACGATCGAGGAGCGGATGGGTTTAAGCTGGTGCATCAAGCCCCCGTGCATGGCCTCGGTATGAGTGTGCCAATACTTTGCTTACAGGGTCCGCATCTCTTGGCAATACATGCACCGAACATATATACGAAGGACTGGGTCCCGAGTCAAGCAGTGAAACATACACCACACAGTGGACTGATGGAGTCACTTGGCCTACAAACTGGCACGCAAAGACGAGTACATATCTGAGACTGTTGTGGGCTCGGGCCTGCAAATGTAAGGGTCCTACTTGCCTGTAAAGTAGTTCGAACGTGTTGAAGACCATACTACTTTGAGACATAGTCCACGTGCTTCCACTCTACAAGAGCATAGACTAAATCATGCCACTCAACATTTGTTAAACGTAAGAGTTTCCAAGCAACATGTATGAGTTCAACCGAGGGACTTCCTTTTTTTGTATGAGGCATTTATAGTTAAAACATTATTCGACGCACCTAGTTTCTGCTTTCTATAGTACTTATTTTATTACCTAGTCTAATGTGGCACATGGGCTGTGGCTCCAGGGAGGGCCAAGTCTTTCCCGAGGCTGACAGATTAGCCGCCGTTCTGTTCCCCTCTCCCCTCCCAATGCGGAGGAGCCCGGGAGTTCAAAGATCCAAGTCCCGCTCCAGCGGGGAACTTCGATGAGCCGATCGCATTCGCGCGCATCCTCGCAATTTCTACTGAGCAAGTTTACAGATCGACGCCGCAACAAAGCAACCAAAATCGTTGATCGTTACTGCCCAACAAGATATCGGTTAGCCTTGAATGTCTGCAACTTGCCATCCTCCTTGGAGCGCCCTGAGCCAGTCGAATCAATTGATCTCAACATCGATCCCGTTCTTGCGCAACGGTTTTGCGCCCAGCGATCAATGACGGAGAAAAGCGCAGCGCATCCGGGTACAGGGCCCGAACAACACCAACCCAACAACGGGACAGCCGAAAAATTGAGAATCAGTATAGCAAATGGCGAACATACTCGAGAAAATACGAATGTAAAGGAGGAACTGCTGGGCACACAGGGCCCCAAATCTGAAATGACTGCGGTGGGGGCTCACTCGAGTCCGAAGAAGCGCCGCAAGGTCAATCATGGTAAGTAGATAGTCTTTGCCATGGGCCCTGCTAGGGTGACGGTAGGAACCCATGTGCTCTCTTTGTCATATATTCCCGTTCCGAATGGCTGGCTGATGCAAGAATGACTGACAGCATGCGTTTACTGTCGGCGATCGGTAAGCCTCTCTCACATGCGGCAACCAAACCACCTTCCCTGGCCATGATTAGAGCGGCATTTCCGCTCTCTGAGAACAAATTGATCAGTATTTCAAAGTGGTTCACTTGCTAACAGGAGGATATTCCACGTGGCACAGCATATGACTTGCGACTCGGTACGACCTTCTTGAACGTTATCCCTCCCAACATCCTTTGTGAAACGTCTTTGCACAGGGTGTTTCCCAATGAGTCAGGCATACTGACGCGAGATGTTCGGCTTAATAGGAACGACCTTGTACACGATGTATAAAGCGGAACATCGGCCACTTGTGCCATGATGAGCCTCGAGAGTCTTCCAAGCGGTCCCGGAGCGAGAATGAGCATTCGGCTGCGGATGACGAAGCCTCTTCGAACAACGAGTATCCAAACATCCAAGGAATGCCCAGAACGGTCGATGTCCAGGATGCTGCCGGTCAGCAAATCCTCCCAGATGCGACAATGGGCCTATCGGCTTCCTCTGTGCCCTCGGTGCAGCAGCCGGGCAATATGTCTTCTTCCGGTGAGACGCCACGTAATGGAGATGACGTTTGAGGATTCATCATTGACGCGATTACACAGTACTTCCCTTCAATGAATGGATTGGCGGGCAAAGCCAATTTCAAGACATGCACTCATTTCATCCGTCCTATATGTTCAATGCGCCCGAGGTCACCAACGAGTACAACCTTCTTGGGGACTTCCTCAGTAATAGTCTTCTTGACGATGGATCTGTTTTCCAGAATGATGATCTGCATGGGATTTATTCCGACCCGACGTTGATAAACTCCATGGCTACCCTAGGAGGATCAAACACGTCTATGCTCCAGCAAGCCCAACAGGCTCAGTCGCAACAAAATCAACAGAATCAGCAAACCCAGAGTGAACCTGCGCAGGGCCCTGCTGCTGCAGTGAGCAACGACAAGGCAAGAGAGACATATTACATGACTGCAGCTGATCCTTCAGGCTCAGATCCACCAGAGGAGCGAATGAACAAACTTCTGAAGGCCAAGTATGACGCAGGACTCTTGAGACCATTCAATTATGTTAAAGGCTATGCAAGGTTGAACCAGTATATGGAAAGACACCTCCAGCAAGCTTCACGGCAGAAGATCCTTCGACAGCTGGACAAGTTCCGGCCGAAATTCCGGGAGAGAATGCAAAGCTTGACTGACATTGAGCTGATATTGGTGGAGATGTGGTTTGAACGCAGTCTGATGGAGTACGATCGTGTTTTCGCTAGTATGGCCATTCCTGCTTGCTGCTGGAGACGGACGGGAGAGATCTTTCGAGGGAACAAAGAAATGGCAGAACTGATCGGCGTTCCTATCGAGTCATTGCGCGATGTGAGTCGTGTTTTGGCCTCCCTTGCCCGGAGACGAGTGGATGCTAACATTATACAGGGTAAATTGGCTATCCATGAAATCATTGTGGAGGACCAGCTTGTTAGCTACTGGGAGAAATTCGGGGCGATTGCGTTCGATAGCACCCAGAAGGCAATGCTCACAAGCTGCACCTTGAAAAATCCCAATTCGAACTCGTCTACTGACGGTATTCCCTGCTGCTTCTCATTCACCATACGGCGAGACAACCACAATATGTGAGTCAATTCCCAAAGGAATGAATCGGTGATGGAACACTAACTCCCTTGGAAAACAGACCATCGCTCATAATCGGAAACTTCTTACCTTCGCAGCGGAAGGCGAAATGAAGTCCGTCATCTTCATCTTGTCTGCTATTTTTCGCTTTAGTACGGAGTCACTCGCACTTTGATCTAGCTTTGGTCTATAGATATCCATTTCTTTGTCATTTGCTTCACAGGGGCCATGTAATAGCCTTTTCACTTGAACAGCTTCTCAGTTCCAGGAAATGTACCATAATTTGGGTTCAAGAAAACGAGATTCTTCTGAGAGTCAAGGCCTGTTGTACTTGTAGTGCCATTCAGATCATGAGTATGCCGGTCAGGTGGTCTCCGATACCATTGTGTATCAGCACCACCCCTTGATCCTAGTGCGGAGTAGCGATCTACTTACACGAGCCATGAACTTCCAATACATCACCCAGGGGTGTCGTAAAATTCTCTTCCAGGTCAATTAACCTACTCCAGAAAAACTGTCTACAACCCAAACCCAATTCCTAAGATGGCAGGAGAGGCCATTCTATGTAAGCATACTACCTTGCAGAGTGAAATGCGCTCAATACCTGACCTCCCCTAGCCTTCGCAGGCGAGATCCAGAAGCAAATCCAAGCAGACGGCCACGAACTCTCGAGTCTACACTTGGATGAAGCTACGTCGAACAAGCTAGACAGCTATCTCAGCCATCTGCCAGTTTCCACAAGCACCTCTTACCCCTCCATCCGCCGGCGTTTGGACCACGCAGGCACAGAACTGTGGAACAGCTGCACGCAGCGTATGACGAACTGCAGCGAACCAACATCATCCGTGGTCTTGTGCAAAGGTACACTCTTGTCTGTCATATAATTACGGGTCTCGAGGCTGAGCGGAAATATAGTCAAAGCGTTCGCATGGGCTATGCTCGATACTGCCATCTCGAATAGGAGTCTGGGTCCGCCCTTATGGTCCACACTGATGTCTGATACCACTGACTTACCTCTGCGCCAGGGAGCTTCAGAGTCTTGAAGACAGCTTACAAGCTGGTCAAGACTTGCATAGGTATGTATGACTGTTCGATTTGGGCATTGACTACCGGCAAACCCATCTTGACATGCGCCTCAGAGCATGGTTGCGTCGCCATCAGCTTGAAAGTCATCGAGGCGGTAGCTATGCGGCTGGATGCGCTCGAGCACTTGGAGACAGATGTTGATAAAGCGAGGTTGCGTCAGTGCAACGTGCATTATTATGCGCTTCGGGTCCACTTGGTATGCATGATCTGTTACGCGGAGCTGAAGTCTGGGTATTGTAGGCTGCTGACAGGGAGGATTGAATTTCAGGCGTGGCTGCAAGGCAGATCGGACATTGCAGATCATTTGTTTCTTAAACTCCCTGAGTCGATCACTGGCGATACCTGTGTTCTGGATCTTTGCTTCAAGGTTGGGAGCTCGGCGCTGTCGTGCAGTCAGTACGATGTGGCGGCGAAGTGGCTGGGAAGGGGATTGGAGCAATGCAAGCTGCTTGCTTCTAGTTCTGAAGGATCTGATGTTCCTTTGCAGGATAAGGAGCTTCTAATTCTGCATGCTTTAGGTGTGGGTCATGGCCTTTCTAGGTCTTTCATATACTGACTTTGGGACAGTGCGAGCGAATACTCACCTTGATACGCATGACTCGAAAGACAATCTTGTGAGAACCTTAGGTCACTTGAAATCTGTAAGTGGGTCGACTCTTCAGCAATGCTTGTAAGCTCATCCGTGTGTAGCAGTATAGCAATATGTTTTCAATTCGGCTTCTGGAGCTTGAAGTCCTTGCTCGAGAGAACAGAGATGTGGAACGGTACTTCCAAGGTGAGTTGTCCCACTATCATTTAGAGCAGTCACTGATATTCATGGCAGTACTACAAGACGCCTTGAAGGTGATGGATGCCTCAGAAAGCAGCTTCAGGATGTGCGGGTAACCAGCTCTAATGATGAGGGGCCTCAGTAACCTTTGATAGGATCCTTTACTATACCAGCAAGCTTCAGGACTCGTGAGTTACCATGTGAGCAACCAATACATCTATCTTGACATGCGGCAGTCCCGATAAATATTTCCAAGCACTGAAGCGGCTCCTGATTGAGATGATCACGAATCCGTGTCTTCAGCATGAACTCGAACATGCATTTGTCAGGCTAGTCGATGTTCTCACAGGTCCACGCTTTTCTGCTCAGGCGAGCCTGCGACTCTTTGAGGAGGTTGCAGATAACCCGGACTTCGACAAGCAATTACTGAGCGTAGAAGCACAACAAGCTTGTCTGATGGTATTTTCTCAATTCTAAAGTCGACTTCCAATTGCTGAGCGAGTTGAAGATAGTCTGGAAGCACATAAATCGAGCCATATCAGATCATGATGCACCCTCCGCAGAAAAATGGTGTCTCTTCATGCTCCAACAGCCAGTTATTCCACTTTCCTCCGACAGCAGATCCAAGTTACTCAGGTAAGAAAGATTTCCACTTCTTCTCATCAAAACTGACCATGGAATAGGAAACTTATTCTTTGTGCTTCGGAGACATTGAGTACAACCGCCGCGGATACACTTTTCAACCAACTGCCAGAAGAATGCAGACATTGCCCACTGACTTTGTATCTGATGTATAAGTTGACCCTGCGGGACAGTAGATGTACTTCTAGTAGCTGATTCTCCTTCCCACTGTTTCTAGCCTTCTGACAAATCGTAGGTTCTGTCTACTTCCAAGCACTGTTCGCGCTCGCCGAGATATCATCACCGTATATCATATCCTGCATAGCGGAAGCATTCCGACAGGGAAAGATGATAGAGGCACTTCAATGTCTTCAGCAACTACTGTCAAGCAAAGAAGGCCTTCAACTTGACAAACAGCCTGGGCGTTTGTTTCAGTACGTGTGAGATGGGTCCACCATCAGCTTTCCCGACTGACAATAATCCTATGTCTACAATTCTATATCTTGTCACTGAACTCGACGCCTGCGACGCCACAGATGAAGGGCTAGTAGATGCGATTACATCTGCATTCAAAGCAGGTTCGTGACCTCTTGTAAAGTCCGATACAGTGGCAGCTAACCCTACTAGCCCTAGATATGTTTCCCGCTCAGAAGCAAGCAGGCGCTTTCACCACGGACGAGCTAGAATGGCTTGCGAAGAAGAGCTACAACCTTGCAATGAGACTACGGAACTCAGAACGAACAGAGCAGACCCTGAGTCTCCTTGAAGTATCCATCAAGGTAAAAGACAGCCGTTTGCATTTCTTCTCCACAGCCCCGGACTAACCAGCCTCTAGTTCACAACCCTACATCAAGAACAAGTCAACCCTACCAACCCACCACTCAACACCACGTACCTCCTTTGCCAATTCTTGAAGACAACCAAGCACATATCCCTTGCGCGGCAAACCATTGATCCAACAAAAAAGGTCATTACCCACCCTCCCTTTCCATCATCCATAACCCTAACTCAAACCCCTGAAAATCCAGAAAACCCATTACACAGCAGCCCATGAATCCAGCATCGCCTTCCAAGCAAACCTGACCGCTCACATCCAGTTGCCCTACAACCCCGAATCAACCCCAAGCCCAACCTCAAACTTGCCTCAAAACGCCATTCCTACTGTAAACGCAAGCTCCGATTCAGACAGCAACACCCTCTGGCTCCCAAAATACCGCATCATTCTCGCCCTCGACCTAGAAGCCTCAATCCACCTCAACAGCGACGACAACACCACCAGCAGCAGCAGTAACTGGACCCACATAGCCAACCTAATCCACCTCTCCTCACCCATCCTCACCCCCCAAGTAACAGCAATCTACCTCGATATCCTCCTTCGCGCTAGCACCACCACCCCTCTCTCAAATATCGTCCAAGCCATCAAGGTAGGTTACGTCCCAACCATACAAAGAATAGAACCCACCTAACAGAAAAGAAAAAGCTGCTCCTCCGAACAATCCACACCTCGCCTTCCCCCGACCTAACCAAACCCACCACCACATTCCACACCACCCTCCCTCGGTACCTGCACGTGCTGTACCAGCTCGCCCTCGACGCAAGCCAGCCCGAACTCGCGGAGTCGGTCCTCGACCAGGTCCTGGTCCTCGTGCGGGACTGGAAGATGACAGAGTTTCCGGAGGGGGAGGTGCAGTGGATGGCGTCGGTGGCGTTCAATCGGGCGGTGGATTTCTATCTGGCGGGAGAGGATGGGGAGTGTCGGCGGTGGGCGGGGAAGGCGATTGCGTTGGCGGACTTGCTGCTGCTGGTGGTGGGTGGAGAGGATGGCGGGGGTGCATTGGGGAGGTTGTTGAGGGCGAGGTACGGGAAGTTGATGGTGGAAGGAGGGTTGGAAGGACCCGGGTCAATGGGGGGTTAGGAGGGGGGGATGGCATGAATTGGGAAATTGCGAGGTTTTCTTTTCTATAAGTGGCAAGTGTTTTCTCCGCCTCCGCATTGCGAATGTATGAGTGAGTCTCTAGCCCATTTATAAGCTGAATATGAGAGGCAAGTGCGATGGGTCTATGTTTGACTGAGTGGTTGGTTGGAGTGTATTACGAAGAAGACGCGGAAAACTATGTATGAGCAAGAAAGATCCACAGCCCAATGCAAGAACAATCAAGAGTCAGACTTGCCATGGTCTCGGCCAATATGGGTATCATTTTGAACTTAGTAAACAAGGCCAGCATAAAGGAGGTGAAGCCAGCTGACGGAAGTTGAACGACTTTCCGGGAAAGAACCAAAGACACGAGAGAAATGCGCTCGAGGATGAGCATAAAGAAGGTTTAAGAACAGGTGCACATGAACTTGAAGTAAACAACCCAGCTGAGGGAAGAAGCCCTCATCTTGAGCGGAGAAGAGAAGATTAAGTGATGCCGCAACACAGCGACTGGACTGGATGGGGACCGCAAATTCTTTCGGGTCCCCGCATAGCGCCGGTAAGAAACGAGGGACATATCTCCTGAAATGTGAAGTTCTCGCAGATGAGAGGTTGAAACGAGGAATAAGTACATTGAAGCACTTGCAACGCGTAGAGCCAAGGTAGTGTAATTGATAAATTCATCAAGGCGACTTCAAAGTGCATTGGTCCCGCTCGAATGATATGTTATAACAGTTGAGAGGTAGAAAGGAAAGAGGATGATCAGGAAGTATTATGATCCCTCATTTGATAAAAGAGTGCAATGGGCCTGCCATTGAATCTCACTTGTTCAATCATCGCCATTCAGAACAAGGGAAGAGATCTCTGAGGGTGCGAACGAATCTGTCCGACGAATTTCAGGCATTGAAGATAGTCGCTCGGTGCTACACGAGTCTTCATGGAGCTTGCCGATTCTAGATACCTTCTGGTTTTCCTTGCCGCTGCTGTCGGTATCATTCTCGAGGGTCTCACGGGTCCTGTTCCGGGAGGCCAACACACGCAGCGTAAGCTCTAGCTCTCTCTCGAGATCCCGCTGAGTATGTAAATACTCTGTCGAGTTGTTGAGCTTCTTACGATAAGCCTTTAATGTTCGACAGACTTGTTCAGTGGACGTATCAAGTGCGCCGAGATCGCTTTTCCCCATGCTTCTAGCACGAGCCCGGAAGTCCATAGATGAACGGCGAGATTCTTTGCGGCTACACACGGCCTTCTTAGCACTAGGGGGCTTTTGCTTGCACAGTGACGGTGATGTATGAGCTTTGTCTCGATGAATGCCGGACGTAGGTGAGCGACGACTGGGTGTCGATGCGGGTGATGTCGGAGAAGTGCTTCCAGATCTTAGGGAAGGCGAAAGCGATAATTTAGCGAATTTCCGCAGAAATGTGGGGGAATGTCCACGCGCAGGCGTCGGAGTGACCGCAATATTCTCCTGCCGCTGGAACTCGGCAATTTCGTGCCTAGACAGGACTTTGCGTAAAGGAGGCTTGGAGACTGCGGATGCTTTGATTGGAGCGTCATCGTCTTCCTTATTACTATTGTGCACGGAATCTCGAGGTGCCTGAGCAAGCAGCGACAAATCCCATAGCATAACGAGACCATCAATGCCAGAGCTAACTAGAGAGCACTTCTTCACTTGGCTGGCTGACTTAGAACTCCTCGAGAGCAGACAAACGTCGCTAACTCCTTCGGTATGTCCGAATTCAGCCGCAAGAAGGACGCCTCTGTCCAAGTCGTACACACGAATGGACTTGTCTGATCCTGACACTCCGAAGAGCAGTCTAGGGGAATCATGTTCCGAATCTTCAGCAGATACAGCCAGGGAGCTCATGACCACCGTATCAGTTGAATCAGCGTCAGTGGTCCGGAACGAATGAGTTTGTCGACCGGAACTCAGGTCAATGTGCTGAACAAAGCGGTCAGTAGTGGAGACAATGAGTGTGTTCTCATTTTTCGATAGTAATGCCATGGATACTGGCGATGCTTTCAATGTTATCACTTTAGAGACCAAGTACGCGAAAGCAGACGCGCCGTGAGCCTCGCGACTCACGCACTCTCTGACCTGAATGGTACGATCGGCAGAGCATGATACGAGTCGCTTTCCGTTATCAATGAAAATGATTTCATTGACAGCTCCAATGTGGTCGTCCATGGTCTGAATCAATTCAAGACTCTCATTTGCCCAGAGAAACAATTGTATAGTGCGATCACGACTGGCGCTAGCAATGAAAAGACCTTGGGCGGAGGAATGTACAGCAATGTCAGTAATTTCCCCACTATGAGCTCGAACTTCTTGGACGCATTTCCATGGGTGATTCAGCCAGAGTCTAGTGACCGTATCGTTAGTGAGAGTATAGCAATAGACAAATTGAGTCAATATGATACCTTAGAACACCGAATTTGTCGCCGGACAAGAAGTAATCCATGTTATCAGTAGCACACAAGACTTTCAGCTCATTGGAGATATCCTCGTTGACCCCGGTGGGATGTTCAAGAATGATCGAACGTGAGTTCCGGCACTTGCCTGTGTCATCCCAGAACTTGACAACTCCATTGCGTGACCAGGTATAGAACTCTGCTCCAAGATTATTGGGGTCTGAGACTGAACGGATACCAAGGACAGCATCCCTGTGAGCTTGAAGAGTGTTTCCCAAATCACTATCATTGACATCCAGGTCATCACTCAATTCATCAGTCGAGAATATTTTGATAGTGTTGCTAGAGTCCATTGCCACCAAGTTGGGACCAATACATCCCATACATGTGATGGTAGGTCCCTTTGAACTCGGTTCCACCAAAGATCTACCAGAAAACGCAGGCGAAGATGGAACGGTTAATGATCGTAACTTTGCCAGGGTCATGCACTGGATACGTCCGCCACGTCCACCAACCCAGAGACATGAGCGGCCCAGATCTACCGCGAGGGAAGTGATAGCATAATCAAAATAATGAGCAACAGACAGCTTGTGCGTTCCCTCGTTATGATCCAGGAAGCAAAGAGCCCCCGTGTCTGTTCCTACTACTGACTCGCAGTCAGAAACGCTAGCTACGCTGGTGAACGTGCTTTCTGCTAGCGAGCCCAGCAAGCAGTTTCTCCCAGATAGAGCTTTCGGAGTATGATTAGAAGGACTAGCGCTTGGTTCTGCAGTAAGCCGAGATTTTGGAGATCCCGGTCTCACGTCTGGCAGCCTCCAAACCTTGACATGTCGGGTGCCCACGCTGAGCAGCTTGTTAGTACTGGGCCTGACAGAGGTATAGATAATGCGACTTACGTGACCAAAGTCTGCCCAACCCAAGCCATGTCGCGAATGAATGAAGTGCATTTATTGGTGGAATGAAGCCTGGCCGATCCTGTCTTCGGGTTCACGGACCAGACAAACAGGAATCCGTCATTGACATCGCCAAGGGTGGCAAGGTACTGTGAATCTGGGCTGAAAGCCAATCCACGCACCCCAAACGTATGCTCGGTCAGAATGGAGAGTGGGACTTCACCCGAGGCCCCTTTGGCGGTTGAGTAGACAAGGACCCTCGGACCATATCCAGTCTAACAAATATCAGCATAGGAGTACGTTGTTACAAGCTAATTGACGGAGACATACCTCCCCAACGGCAAGCAGACCTCCATTCGGGCTGATTGCGACGCTGGTGACTGCTTTCACTCTTTCCCGAGATGACCATCCACGTGGGCTATTGCACTCCGCCAACTCATTACCGGCATTACCACCGTGCAGGACGCTTTGGGCTGCAGACCTTGTACCCGACGGAGTTTTTGCTCTGCTATCTGGAGTAGTGGGAGGAGTGGAGGTATTATAGAAAGACGTGACAGGATTGACACTGGTTGCAGAAGGTCGTGCTCTGAAGAAGCGTTGCTGGAGGGTATTTTGCTCGTCTATGTCCGCTAGAACGACGGTCGAGCCAGCGCAAATAGCGAAGAAATTGCTCCCCGCATGACTTGAGAAGCCTCTGGGCGAGTTGGTGGTAGTACCGATTACTGTCTGGAGGGCCAGGATTGCCTGTTGTGGTGGTGTCTTGTGCATCGAAGAGCGTGTGGAGGGTCTAAGAACTGGTGAATTTGTAGGTGTGATGCGAAAGGACGACCCCGAGTTGGTCTTGCTCTTCGCATTCAGAGTATTGTATGCCATGGCGAGTCGGAGCGGGTTCGTAGGTGATTATGGTAAAACGCCTTGAGGACAAGGGGGGAAAATTTGGTGCATTGATATTTTCGAGTAGTGTTTTTCGAGGGGTGGGCGCTTGTGTCAATTCGCCTGAGAAATAGCAAGTCGTATCACTCATATGAGGAAGGAGCCGCGAATGAGGGGCTACGGAGGGGATTCGTTTGAAGCCTCCTTCCGTGTCGGTCACTGCGAAGAATGATAAATATAGTCAATGCGAATATTCTTGGTTGTATTGATGAGGCAGTGTCGTTCTAAATATGGCTAACGCAAGTGGTCTGGTGCGCAAAGGCTGGAGAAGAGGGGAGCAGAAGAAGGCGGCGGCGGCGGCGGAGGAGCTTCAAGGGAACGAAGGGGTAAGCAAATCAAGATCAAGTCATGGATCAAACCACCGATAAATGAGCGACTGGAAAGAAGAGAGACAGTAAGAAGTGAAGAGGAAGAGAAGAAAAGGAAAATTGGACAAACGATTGAAGCTGGCGGAGAATGAGTGCGAAAATCCGATTTGAAGATCGGACAAACAGAAGAATGTGAGGCAGGTAAACACTGTAGCTGCTCCTCCTTCCACGCCGGGCGGAGAGCCGAAAAATGACGGACGAACCCTTGGGTTTTTAGCGCGGGAAGCTAAAATGAGCGCCCGGCGATGGGAGATCTCCCCGTTGTCTGATCGTCCCGGAGCCTGCAGCAATGAGATAAGGAAAGGAGCAGAGGAATGAGGATAAAAGGTCTGTTGCATTAGTTCCTTGCTGTTTGGCGAATTTCTTCTAGAATCTAGTCACGTCGAAATCTGTTGCAAAAACCGGGGGCACATGGGCAGTGAGCGAAAAAAGGCGGATCACATCTGATCATGTTCACAGGGCAGACATTCAGTGGCCCCAGCCTGGTGGGGGAGGCATCCACCCTTGGGAATGGCGCCCTTTCTGACTTCAGCACCCAATTCATCCTTCCATCTGGGGTCGCAGGCTGTCAACATTCAACGTTTGGCGGGAAAAGTCCAATGGGCAGGAAATACGGAGCGGCATATCCTATTCATGCAGTACCATGGTCTTGCTCTATGGAGTCATCATATTGAGTTGGATGGTCGAATCATCCATTGCTGCGCTACCGCTCAAAGGACATTGCATGCTTCAGGCAGATGTTGGGTAGCAGAATGTCTATTCTTTGACCTTTGAAGTAGATCCTCTGCTGCACTGGGTATATTGTACTGGCTTGAATTGTCCAGACTAGGTTTCGGTTCCTGCAGGCCGCGAGGCAGTCTTTGTTGTCCTTGGGACCACTGACAAGAGTATGGACTTCGCGCGGAATCAAGGGGGCTGCTGATTCACGCATCCCACAGGTTCTTTACTCTTCCCTGGTGAGTAAGTCATTATAACTTAGCGGTGAGCAAGTTTCAGATAGAACAGGAGCAATGAGAATGTTGAGGGTCTCTTCGCTATTCCGCCTGCCGACATTGTAAATAATAGTGGATTGGATGGTGGAAGGTCAACAATTGACTGAGTGGTTGTATGTCGGCCAGTCACATGACTACGGGGGCGAGCGGTAAATTGTTCTAGGCTTCTAGCCCCGTTTCTAGAAAGTCTCCCGCGGGATTTTATCAGCGCGATACTTCTTTTCTTCTGATAGCGTTTGCCTCCGACAATCTTCACTAGCCAGCGCATCATCATCACCATGTGGAACTCAGGGGCTGCTTCAGCACGAGTGCACCTGCCATGTCTGCTGCACGAAGCTTTTCAACCAGATCTTGCTCGCTCGACCTGTCGAGTTTATCAGCGTCGAAGCTTGTTTCCGATAACGCCTCTTGCCTATCGCAAGCCTGGCGCTCAACGCAGTTTCAGCTCCAATCATCAAATCCAGATACACCAGTCTCATTCATTGTTGTCGTCCATCAATATCCTCGAAGATTCTCCGATTGCGACGAACAAGATAGAAACAACCACGCCAGCAAAGAACGAGCGTGGCGACAACTCGACAGACAACGTCGTACAAGCCCCAGAATCTCCATCTAAGACTCAGCGAGTTCCTTTCACACAACGAACAGATGCCAGGGGTGTTGGTAAAGAGAGAGCTAAAGGCTCCTACAGCGAAACCGACTCGCGCGGCGATCGATCGAAAACGATGCCCTCTGAGAAGACCAAGCCCTCGGAAGGGAAGCCAAAGACTTGGAGGGATGCTATCAAAAACACTGGCCCGCCGAAGAAGAAAGAACACTGGCAAACCCAAAAGGCTGCCTTGAAAGAGAAGTTTAAGGAAGGATGGAATCCTCCTAAGAAGCTTTCTCCCGACGCGATAGAAGGAATCCGACACTTGCATCAGGTGGCACCAGAGCAGTTCACCACACCTGTTCTCGCTGAGCAGTTCAAGGTCTCACCAGAGGCGATTAGACGTATCCTGAAGAGCAAATGGCGGGCATCAGACAAAGAAATGGAGGATCGTCGGAAGCGATGGGAAAGACGACACGATCGTATCTGGGCTCACATGACTGAGCTCGGCCTGCGACCGCCTACCAAGAATACGGAAAATCTGCAAGATTCACAGGTTCTCCTCTATGAAGCTCAGAGTGAGGAAGACAAGGCATAGACAATGTTGCTATGGCTTTAGCATTACAAACACTGTATAATACCATTGCATGATGTACATTAACGAGCTGAGACGGTGGCGTTGTATGGGTTGGCGTTATCTCATTTCATTCTATCTTTAGTTCAAAGACAATATCGTCTGTCCTAGCTCAGGAAATCCACATGACAGTAGACGGCTTGTGCGCCTTGTCGGGTTTTGTTTATCTGGTTGTCAATTGCATTTAATGATTGTTACCATGTTGAGGACTCGGAGGAATTGGGTTGTATGCACTCGATACACTCACTCATTAAGGGTCTCGGCTAGACTAAGCCCATCCATCCTCTCCTCCGCTGCCGCCGCCGCCAGGAACGTTATGGAGCGGACTGAATCGCTAGGCTACGTTCACCCGCTTCCTTTCTGCTCTCCACTCCTTCTTCAACCATTATGTCCTTCGCCATTTGACGCCATGCTCTAGCTGGCAAAAATTAGATCATCTTTCGACTGTAATATATCCCTCCTGGCGCGTTGGTCTAGGGTTGTCTTTCCTTCAAGGTGGCGGCTGGTACCCACCAACCAACTGAACTACCCCGAGCTTCCTCCTTCTGGTCTTACATGCGCGCGCTCACCCAAACCCACATGGGAGTCTATCAGTCGCCGCCATGCCATCAGACATCCAAGTCTTTGTGAAGTGGAAAGATCAGACAATATTTGCGGGGGAAGATGTGGAATGCACTATTACCTTCAAGAACGTTGCGGAGACGAACGTGGAACTCCATCCCGGGGGTCCGACCTCACACCACAGACAACCTTCGCGAGCTACAAGCACGCACTCCGAGTCGTTATTCTCGCTGAAATCACCTCAGAAATTCTTCTTCAGTCCGCATCGTCGCTCGTACTCCACAGCAGCTAAGAAAAGCTCGTCGCACCGCCTTTCTTCCTCGGTGAGCTCGCCGTTGATCGGTTCGCACAGCTTCCCTCCTCCGTCAACTCCTCGCAATGGCTCAGCCGTCGGTGGCAAGCATAAACGATCGGTCTCTATACTCTCCATCGATAGTGAAGGAACCGGGGAGCCGACACCCCGGACATCATCACAATTCAGCCACCCCCGACCACTAAGGCGCCATGGGCGCGCGGCAAGTTTACAGGTCTTGCCAAGGAGATATGAGGCATATGAGGATCAGTCCGCAATAGGTACTTGACAGTGAAACAGAGATCAAACGCATGGGTTGAATGCTAAAAGCTTGCATTTCTAGGTGGGCGCAGTCCCGTTCGCAGCTTCCCACCTACGGAGTCCTCAATTCATTCATCCCCCGGGAACCCCAGAATTGACATCGACGGTCCGAATGACACCAGCCGCCGTGGCTCGAATATCTACAGTCCTAATCGATCAATTGAACCACCTCGTACCCCTGTGCGTCGGCCTCCATTGTCACCGATTGAATTCAAATTTCCGCCGTCCCCAGCTGCCGACACCAACAGCCATTTAGGCGTATCAACATTAACATCACCAATCGAAGAGAATCCCACAGCACCCAGACCCAATGGGAAGGAAATGACGGCTTTAGCGGCACCGGGACATTTGCCGCAGCTAACGAGAATCATGTCAACTTCCAGCCTGGCTGGAAGTCACAGAAGTAGTGGAGATTACAACTCGATCAGCGACAATTCATCAGAGACTCTTCAGTCCGAGTACACAAACTATTCCACGACAGTGCCCCGCGCGCCTATTGCATCGCGTCACTCACGACATGTGTCAAGCGTGGAATCTCCAGGGCTTTCGCCCTGCAGCCAGACACTGCTTATGGGCTACGCGCAGATCAGCGCTTCATTTACTGTCGATGGCTCTCTGATCCACCAATCTATCTTTGAGGAAGTCAAGCGGAAAGGTGTCGTTGGGGGAGCAGGGAACGCAGCCGGTCTGCCCCGTGGGAAACCAGCTGCAAGCGAAGAAAAGAGCCGCAAAAGCGGCGGCTTCTGGGGAGCATTCAAATGGAATGCAATTGAGGAGTCTTTGAGTGGACTCCTTTCTAACAACGAACTGGATGGCTTGCGAGACATGCGGGGCGTCTCGTCATCTCGATCGATACCACTACTTTCCACAACGCAATCGCTTCTCTTCGTAGACTTGCGACTGGCACCTGGGGAGGAGCAGTCGTATTCATTCTCTTTCACTCTTCCAAGTGGCTTGCCAGCTAGCCACAAGGGGAAAGCGATCAAGATATCCTACAATCTGGTCATCGGCACACAACGGCCGAGTAGTCGTAACGAGCTGCAGCGGGTGAATCGCATCAGCATCCCTTTCCGTGTGTTCAGCGGAGTCAATGGTAAGTGTTGGTCTCGAATCAACTAAGAACCAAGTGATTAATTCCTCATACAGGCCAGGGAGATATCATGGGCCATGATTTGATGAGCCCCTATGTGCTGCTCCGGGACGAAGCCAGGGTACAGAAGGTCGGAACGAACCCAGCTCCAGTAGCGAAGCCCAAAAGCATTAGTGGCCCTACGTGGACGTCAGCTCCAGAATTCCTGTCATACGTGGACGACATCCTTGAAAAAGCCTCTCGAAACAACTCGCTGCACCCACCCGAAGCTGCTGCGGAGCATCGAGCAAGTCACGATCTGGCGACGGGTCGATTATCCTGCAAGGATGCCATTGACCTCGCCATCCTTCGAAGCAATCAAGCGCTTAATTCATCTCGCAGCCCCAATCGGTTCGAGATCGCCCGCGATGGACGCCGAATCGCCGTTGTTGTCCTTAATCGCCCGTCTCACCGACTAGGCGAGACGATTATAGCCACCGTGAACTTCGCAGATGCTGCACTTCCTTGCTACGCTCTGCGCGCCACCCTTGAGAGCTCCGAGCGGGTTGCTCCGGCTCTGGCTATCCGATCGAATGCGAGCATCCGTCGTGCGACTCGCAAGGTCCATGCCTCGTATTTTGAGAACACGCTCTACGCGACCCGCGTGGTCTTCAGTCCAGCAATCCCTGTCTCTGCGACACCTACGATTCTTACCACTGGAGTGAATCATGAATGGGAACTCCGATTCGAGTTCGTTACTAGTAATGCCCATGACGGGTCAGCGCCATCGGGCTCGCGTTTGTTGGAGGCCGTATCTGGAGACGAACGCGGACGGGTCATGTCAGCCTTGGAAAACCTGGGGTGTGAGTCGTTTGAGATCGCAATCCCGATCACGATTTATGGCGAGACAGTCCGGGAGCGGCTGCCAGAAGAAAACGAAGGATACGCTATTTGAGATAATATTTGTTCAAACGAAATACAAACGTTAAGATAAGAGATCTCTGGATTCTATGACGTCGCATAGAGTCTGGGACACATCCAGGTTACTTGCAGTTTAGTCCATACCTTGGCTGCGCTAGACTGAAACGACGTAATGCGAGACGAGTAGCGAGACGAGTAATTTGGGGCATGCCATGCCGGCCAGAAGAATTTCCTCTGCGTTGTGAAAACTATTAAGCCTCCATTTCCTTGCGACGCGACGGGATCACCGGGGCAACGGACGGGGCGTTGGACTACTTGGGAGTTGGAAGACTGCATCACCCATGGTTCCGTGGGTGGGAAGCGTGGAGCAATTCAAGAGTCGGTACTTAAGTTAGTCTAGTCTAGATAGTAGTGATAGTAGTAGTCTATAGATATCGTTGTATAGACTGGATGGTAGTACGTACCTGGTAGATGCATTCCCCTGCAGCCAATTTATATTAACTCGTGCGACGTTAATTAGTAGTTCCTGGTGTTTGCGCCTCATCCGATCTGGTCGGGCCCGAATCGATCGCTGATCCCATCCTTCTTCTCCTTCTTTCTACTTCTTTTGTTTCTCTTCCCCATTCCTCCTGCCTCCCCCCATTTTCGTCCACTTGACACTCACTAAGGCACACGCCTCTACTCTCGTCTTCAACGCGCCCTTGAGGAACTATTGGCGCTCCAGACCCGGGACTCTTGGCCGAGCCAGTAAGGAACCCCCGCCTCTCGATGCCTGTGCGCGCCTCGATGGACTGACGGATTGCTTGACTGTCTGGCATCGGAATGTAGGCGCATTCTCCTCCCACCACGCAATCGATCCTCCGCCGCCGCCGCCGAAGGAGACAATTCCAGGCAGTCCGAGGCCTTCGACAGGCGACCCGTTCGCTGTTCTTATCTAGTCAAGAGAGAGAGCCCTCCACTCAAGCGAAAGCGAGATGGCATCTTTCATCACCACAATGTCTGTCCCCGTCACCACCACTTCCTCTTCTTCATCTGCTGCCCCGCCGACTCCGACGTCTTCCCGGCGCCCTCTTCCTCCCCTCCCTCTCATCCCTTCAGTCTACCACAACACCGTTCATACTTCCCGCGCTCCTCTCTCCGAACCCCCCTCCTACTTATCACCGGCGGTGTTCGCGCTGAAAAATGACCCCTCTGGACTGACACCTCCCAGCAATGCTCGCACCCGCGCGCCCTTCAAGCCACGGTCGGCAGCCAAGGGCACCACCAGCTACCAACTGAGACAATTTGCGGAAGCGACGCTCGGCAGTGGCAGTCTGCGCAAGGCCGTGAAACTGCCCGAGGGCGAGGACTTGAATGAATGGCTGGCCGTGAATGGTGTGTTTTGAAAAAAAAAAAAAACTAACTTGAACGCCGAATGTGTATGCCACAAACGTGTGTCCACGTGCTGATACAACTATGTTGTTACCTTCGTTCCCGCAGTTGTCGACTTCTACAATCAAATCAACCTGCTGTACGGCGCGATCACGGAGTTCTGCTCGCCTCAATCATGTCCGGAGATGAAAGCGACCGATGAGTATGCGAAACCCGAGTTTCCCAGGTGGTATATGTTTCAGAGCTGACAAGGAGGTTTCGTTACGCATTCTAGATTCGAGTACCTCTGGCAGGACTCGGAGAACTTTAAGCGCCCGACGAAGATGTCCGCGCCCGAGTATATCGAACATCTGATGACCTGGGTGCAGAGCAGCGTCGACAACGAACAGATCTTCCCAAGCAGGCTCGGTACGTGATGCCCCATTTATGGTTCACCTGGTTCTGGCTACAGCAGCTAGAGCACTCTACAAACGATGACATTGGCGGCGGTGGCAGACGCTAATAATTGGAAAACCACTGCAGGTGTTCCCTTCCCGAAAGCGTTCCCCAGTCTGGTGCGACAGATCTACAAGCGTATGTACCGGGTGTATGCGCACATTTACTGTCACCACTACCCCGTGGTGGTGCATCTTGGCCTCGAACCACATCTGAACACCAGCTTCAAACACTACGTGCTGTTCATCGACGAGCATCGCTTGGCGAGCGGGAAGGATTTCTGGGGGCCTTTGGGCGACCTGGTGGACAGTATGCTGCGGAGCGACTGATTTGCGGGCGGGCTGTCAGGCGAACACACGAGAGGATGACAGGACCAGGGCGTTTGGGCGTCGAGGCATTCGTAAAAGGAAACATTTAAAGAAGGTCGTAGAGGCCGTCCGGCGTTTTTGTTTCGTTGCTGATGAAGCTATTGAGTTGATGGGCGTTGCATTGCCGTTATTCCATGTTTGTATGCGCCGCATCAGAGTAATAAGCAGTATCTCTTTTGTCCGAACCACCAGCTTTTAGTAGACAAGTTGTCGTATGAGTATGAGTAGTTGTAGTAGTACGAGGGGGGGAAAGAAGAATAGCCGAAAACCCGGCGTGTGCGGGAACTCACGTGACCACCCTAGCCGGCAGGAACTGAACCTGGCCCCGAACCTCGAGACGCCATCACCAAACGCACCGCAAGTCAGTCTCCATCGACGAACACCGACGTCTTCTCGCATCTCCCTCCCCTCCACTCCCCCGGCTCGCCCAGGTCCTCCTTCCTACCGATCACCATGTTCTCCGTTCGCCTCGCCCGCGTCGGCCTCCGTGCCTCCGCCCAGCAGTTCACCGTGCCTCGCACTGCCGCTCTCAACGGTCTTCGCACCTATGCCACCCCGGCCCAGGAGGTCAAGCCCCCGGTGTCTCTGTTCGGCGTTGACGGCACCTACGCTACTGCTCTGGTATGCACACCTCACAATCACTACGGTTCTGCCTGGGATGGGTGGTCCAATTCGTTGCTGTGACGTCTCCCTCCCCCTCCGCACTCGGTCCAACGGGTGTGCGCGCGCGGGCTGCTCGAATCCGTCTCGTCTCGTCTCTTCAACCAAACGAAAGATCAGCTTTCTACAACATGGAAAGGCATCAATCACCGCCCTACACAAAGACTTGAACCAACACGAGACGGAAAGCGAGCAAGGGAACACGAACACCAGCAACGAATGGGCGGCCAAACACCAGCCCTTGTTCAAACCATGCACAGAAAATCCCTCTCCCTCCAAGAAACAGAACAATACATTCGGGCTAACCACCAAACCCTCTTGGACAGTACACCGCCTCGGCCAAGTCCGCCGCTCTGGAGCAGACCGCCAAGGCCCTGGGCAACCTGGGCCAGACCCTCAAGGCCGACCGCAAGCTGATCGAGATCCTCAACGCGCCGACCCTCTCCGTCTCCGACAAGCAGCAGATCATCGCCGAGCTGCAGAAGGTGGCCGGCGGCGCCGACAAGGCCGAGATCATCAAGAACTTCCTGGCCACCTTGGCCGAGAACAACCGCCTGGGTCTGCTGGAGGGTGTCTGCGAGAAGTTCGCGACCCTCATGGGCGCCCACCGCGGTGAGGTCGAGCTGAACATCACCAGTGCTCAGGTAGGTTACTCTGGAAATAATCCCATAAGGCACCTCAAATCACTCACATTCCAAACAGGAGCTCGACACCAAGACCCTCAACCGTCTCGAGCGGGCCGTCTCCAAGTCCGAGTTCAGCCAGGGCAAGAAGCTCAAGGTTGTCTCCAAGGTAGCCCTTCCCTTTCCCCCAACTCCCTACTCAAAACCGAACAACTAACACTGGAAACAAAAGGTCAACCCCGACCTCCTCGGCGGCCTCGTCGTCGAAATCGGCGACCGCACCATCGACCTCAGCGTTTCCTCCAAGATCGCTAAGCTCAACAAGGCCCTCACCGATGCTCTGTAAATTTTTTGCTTTTTTCCCAGCAAAAAAGAAATTGACTTGTGTTGTGTGTTGATGGAAGCGCAAAAAAAAAGCAAAAACCGTTGAAAGCTTTTGTGTCCCCAAAGAACGGTCTCTTCCATCAGTATAACTATACTCCATCGCCCTCCCACCCTTCATCCATACACCCCCATTATCTCACTTCCTTGATCCGTCATATAAATGTATCCTAAACCTCAATTACGCAATTTTTCTTTGAACTTCTTTTTCGGGGGGGGGGGGGTGGGGGGGGTGTAAAATCGTTTAATAGTGGATTTTGATTTTAGTTTGGGAGGTGTAGATATGCTGTAGATGTAGATGTCGAGTGTATATACCAGGGGGGTATGAGGTGTGCATCCGCGGTGATGGTGCCACCGAGTCTGATGTTGCTTGTGGTGTAGATGTAGATGTAGATATGGAGGATATTTCCATACCAGGAGTTTTACCGAGAGCATCAATCTTCTAATGGCAAGAAGAATAGTGGTGAGCTTAGCCAGGTGAAATAGACGTACACTTGCACCATCATACATTCTGACAAAAGACTCATGGTCTAGATGGATGGCGATGATCACGAAGCACAAGGCCCAGTGACGATCCGATCCTACGCAGCAGCATTGCTCGCTCATTTCTTTTCGACCGTACAGACCCATAGCCACTACACGAGAAGCAGGGGCTAGCACTGCAGGCCAAAGGAAAAAAAATCCGGGGCAATCATTGCAGAATCCCCCCCCCCCCGCTTGCGGGTGGTCTGCGTCTCCGATGTATTGTACCGTGAGTATAGCTCGGCCATATAGTCAGGGTGGGGAGGGACTCTTGGGTTGCAGATATCAGGGACATATATGCGTCGACTACTGGTTCAAGGTGAGTAAGTATATCTCGTTGGTTTGCGTGAGCCATTCGGGCATTTCCTTTTTTTTTTTGTTGTTGTTGAAGTGAAGCGGTGTTGGTTCTACATAGTGAGGAGAGGATGCATTTGACTATCACTGCATTTAGGTTGGGATTTCGCCGAGGTCGGTCGATATCAGGCTCGGGGGTGGTTTGGTTGATGATCTTATCATGTTGTAGACATGTTCACACAGGTAACGGTGTTAGTCACAGCAGTTGTGCATCCCGCAACAAGCCGGACATGACGAGAACAAAAGCTACGGATCGATGCGGGCGATGAATCTATATCTACGGCAAGCAGTCCGTTGGAGGGATCATGGCATGATTCGATATATGCAGCAGCTCAGCGTGAAGAACACAGATGACACAGATGGACAGACAATCTTGACTTATGCTTTCGAAATGATCACCGCTCTAAAAATCAACAACAATACAGCCCATCTAACACATCTTCCTTCGGAAATAAGCATATGTCTAACTTTGTACTAGAATCCAGTCCCCGTTCCGTTCATTTCCCTCTCGTTCTGTACCCTTTCCCTTCACAAAATCAATGACCGTTGCCGTTGGGGGCGTGGTCTGCCTGCGCCTCAAACTCGTCCTCGTACGCTCCGATCGAAGCTTGACTTCTTACGCGCTGCAACTGACTCTCCACGTACTTGTGAACGTGCTCGTTCTGGAGGTCGGTGTCGACTCTCTGCTGATTCTCATCCTCGTCAAGGGCAGTCTCGGGAGCCGGGGTCTCGCGTCCGGAGAAAGTGGACTCGAAGTCGCTGCGGTTGCCGATAGACCGGGTCGTGGAAGAGCGGCGGACGCTGGGACGACGGCTGCCCCGTGGGCGGGAGAATCGGGTGAAGACGTCGTCGAAGTAGTGCGATGCTGCTGCATGGGGAGTGCGGGGGGTCTGTGGGAGACGGCAGTTGATACTAATAGCACTATTAGCCAGGAACAGTAGACAGCTAAAAAGTATGAAGTGTGACCTACCCTGTGTCGTGGATGACCTTGGCAATCAGACCAGTCCATCCGCACTGGTGGGACGCTCCAAGACCGCGGCCGGTGTCTCCGTCGAAGAATTCGTGGAACCACATGTAATCCTTCCAGTGCTCGTCAAAGTCGAGGAGGTCAGATCCGTTGTGTACCGCCCGGCGGCCTTCGTCGTTTCGGGCGAACAGATGCTGCAACCGGTGCTGAATCTCTTCGGCTATGTGTCCGAGATGCATGTACTCGCCGGAGCCTGTGGGACACTCGATCTTGAATGAATCGCCATAGAACATATAGAAGCGCAACAAAGACTCGATGAGCAGGAAGTTGACGCACAACCAGATCGGCCCACGCCAGTTGCTGTTACCTCCAAACAGGCCACTGTCGGAGTCTCCTGGAACATAGCTGACCCGGAATGTCTGACCATTGACATCCATCGAGTAAGGGTGCTCGCCATGATACTTGGACATCGACCGAATGCCGTGCTCCGACAAGAACTCAGTCTCGTCCAGCATTCGCTTGAGAATTTTCTCCAGGCGGTCCTTGCTCACCAACGCTAGAAGGAGTCGCTCGTCTTTACCGCGGTGCTTCATGCTTGCAATGTTGCGCTCGGCCACATCTTGGCGGTTCTCAACGAACCATTCCAAACGCTTCTTGAAAGATGGGAACTTGTTGATCAACTCTGGCTCAAGTGTGAGGACGGCATATAGAGGGATCAAGCCGACCAAAGAGCGCACAGGTAGCTGCTGGGTCCATGGGTCACCGTAGGAGATCGCATCGTAATAGAAACTATACAGTATAAGTAATCCTTCGATCCGTTTGGTATTGGACCACTAACCCATCTTCCTCGTTCCAGAGGGATGATTCCTGACCACCTGATCGGAAAGTCATGGCATCACTAATCAGAATGAAGTGCTCGAAGAATTTGGAGGCAACTGGGCATCAGTCAGCACACAAGCGGCTCAAGATGGAATCGAGCTTCACTTACTGTCCTCATAGATCCTCCGATGCTTGGCCAGCTCCAACGCGATGTTCAACATGCACAAGCAGTAGAAGGCCATCCATCCTGTGCTATCGGCCTGCTCCAGCACACCGCCGGTGGGAAGAGGCTCGGAGCGGTTGAAGAGTCCGATGTTGTCCAGCCCCAAAAAGCCGCCTTCGAAGACGTTCTTGCCGTCGGAGTCCTTTCGGTTAACCCACCATGTGAAGTTTAGCAACAGCTTCTGGAACACCCGCTCCAGGAAATCAAGGTCCTGCCGTCCGTACATCTTACGCTCAATCTTGAAGACTCGGAACGTAGCCCATGCATGAACAGGAGGGTTCACATCACCAAAGTTCCACTCGTAGGCCGCAAGCTGACCGTTGGGATGCATGTACCACTCACGAGTGAGGATGTCCAGTTGCTTTTTCGCAAACTCCGGGTCGATCATTGCAAGTGGGATGCAGTGGAACGCAGTGTCCCACGCAGCGAAGAAGGGGTATTCCCACGAATCGGGCATCGACAGAATATCCTCCATGTACAAGTGTTTCCACTGTTGGTTTCGAACGTGCTTCCTGCCTGGAGGAGGTGGGATCATCGCGGGATCGCCATTAGCCCACTGGTCCCAGACGAAGTGGTAGAACTGCTTGTTCCACATCATGCCGGAGAATGCTTGCCGCTGAATGTTGCGCAAGTCATCGCTCATGGGCAAAGGACTGATATGGTAGTAAAAGTCATCAGCCTCGTTTCTGCGCTGGTCGATCACATCGTCCAACACTTCTTCATCGATGAACGGCTCTAGGCGCCGAGAGAAGCGGAAACGAACGACCACGCATTCGCCGGGAGGAACACCCTCGCCCTCGTCAAAGGCATACCAGGCGGCAAACTTGGTACCCTTGTTCTCGGGATTGACTGCACCCTTCTCACCGTTGACAATGTGACGATGGAAGGCGTCCTTGACGTAGGGCTGATCATTCTTGGTGTTCCAGAGAAATTCATTGTTGGTTTCGTTCTCGGTGAACAACAGTTGGGGAACCACATCTTCCTCCCCAGTCACAGACGGAGAAGGAGAGAACCGGACATAGCGCTCGCCGAGTTTGTGGTGTTTAGTCTTAGCGATCAGAGGATAAGTTTTCTCCACGGACGGCTTCTCGTTCTTTTCCTCATACCCCCACGCCCAGGTGTTGCGGAACCACACATGCGGGATGATGTGCAAGTGTGCTGGCTCAGGTCCTCGGTTGTAGGCGATAATGCGGAACAGGAGCTCTTCCTCATCGTCGTCTTCTTTCGCAGTCTCGATGAAGATATCCCAGTAACGGTTCTCATCGAAGGCATCCGTATCGAGGATCTGGTACTCGCGGTCACTTTTGCCGCGTCGTGCGTTCTCCTCAGCAAGCTCCTGGTAGGGGAACTTCTTCTGGGGGTACTTGTAGAGGAATTTCATGTAAGAGTGCTGTGCGCGTGGTCGGATTAGAAACCACCAAAGTCAACCCACGCCGAGAGAGGAAAGGGTCTTACTGTCGGAGTGTTATCGAGGTGGAAATGGGCCTCCTTGACACTCTCGCCATGGTTCCCCTGGGGATTGGATAGACCGAACAGGCGCTCCTTCAGGAAGTCGCTAGAATTGAAGGTGAGCGATGTTCACTGCAGACATGGATCGAACACCACGTACTCTTTGCCGTTCCAAAACGCAAAAGCGATGTTTTGCAAACTGTGGGTATCGGACACACCGGCGATACCGTCCTCACCCCAGCGGTAGGTTCGGGACCGCGCATGGTCGTGGGAAAAGTCTACAGCGGATCAGAGCGATCAGTCATGAGTGGCATAATCAGCATGTGAGCGCAACTTACAGCTCCAGGCGTCTCCATTCTCACTGAAAGTGTGGAAAAAGAAGATTTTCCGTCAGCTATGGTTCAATTGATGCCATTGATGCATTCTTGCAGCGAAATGCACGAAAGAGAACGCTTACGAGTAATCTTCGCGAACTGCGGGGCGGCAAGAGAAATGAGGTCATTGCGTCAGTTCATGTGAAATCTCCCAGCCTCCAGATCGAAGGGGGAGAGCATACCTGTAGCCCATTGTCTCTCAGCGACGTAGGGACCCCAGCGTTTCCAGTAGCGAGTGCGCTCGCGATCTTCCTTGAGTCGTTGCTCCTCGCGGGATTCGTACGAATGCTTGTCGATGAGGACCATGGTGACGCCGATTGCAGGCCCTTCGGGTAGTAGATAAGATAATCTACCACGAGAGGGAGAATGGCAAGTTACGAACAAGAAGGGGAAGAGGAAGATAGGGAGAAAGTAGAAAGAGAAGAAAAAAGCGAAGAAAACGAACGAAGGAGAAGCAGGTGAGGGGAAGGGGAACGAGGAAGAGGAAGAAAGATGACGGAGTCGGAGTAAGTAAGTTAGTCTTAGTGTAGAAAGTGAGTGAGAGAAAAAAGGAAGAGGAGGAAGCCGGAGAAGAAGAAGATGATGATGATGATGAGGGGAGGGGCAGCAACACAACCAAAGGAAACAAGGAATCCTTCCGGTAGCTCAACGACAACGAGCTAGAAGACTAGCTGAACTTGATATTAATTAAACTAGACTACGGTACCGACTAGCTATCATTCATGCTGCACGACAACACAGAGCATAAGAGGGGGGTGTGATACGAGAGCTGCGATAGCAGAGTCTGCCTGCTATCTTATGGTCTGGACCCTCGCTCGGACGCCTCTTTTGGCGCTTTTCTGGGGTTTCGCCCGCGTTTTCCCTGGTTGGGGCAGAACAGCACTGACATCATTGCCATCATGGGTGTGCACCAGAATTCCACCGAAGAATTGCAATTTGAGATTGCCGACTCTGCATTGCTCCGTCCAGAGTTACACTCACCATCGACCCCGTAATATCATCAATACGAACAGGATTCGCCATTTGCGGTTAGCAGATTCAACACCATATGGCGGAAGGCGGAAGTTGAGACTAGATAAACCCCTCGGGAGAATGACTCGACCAGCGTGCCAGTCTCAAGATCTTTTCTGGTCGGATCTGGCTGACACCCCGTGGATCGGTCCTGAGTCCTCCGTGCTCTCCATTGCAATCACGGCCCGGACGATTCCAAAGCTAGCCGTGACAATCAAACCGAACGCGGCTGGCAGGAACAAAACCAATTTCAATGCTCAATGGACTATCCACACGACAAGAAAGGCATTTCTGCCCATATGGAGCCGAGTTAGGGCGGTAAGGCACCATCGAGCAGCCTTAGGGCCGTTATATCAGAGAGGAATACTCTTGTCAAGCGCTCCTGTCGCGGTAGGAGATGGATGGATCGGCGCTGTCGGTCGGGTCGGGCACGGCACTCGATCGACATCGACATGAGCCACTCTAGGAGATTTCTTCTCTCCCATTGACTGCTCATCTACTCCGTAGCACCGCACAGCAATGCACAGATGGTTTGGGCACGGAAGAGAAGGAGATCTTTTTTCTGGACTCACATTCTCCGAGGGATCGATCGGATGCTGTGCAACAAACAATTGGGCTAAAAATAGACCTTCGAGGGGAGGGGCGACTCCTCAGTCCGTTACCCTAAGACAAACACAGCAGCCAGCCCACAGCATCTTCTTCCTCACTCTCAATTCATCTCCACAGAACACTCGAAACGTTCAAGGAAACAACCCGCTCATGGAATAATCCACTTCTTGACTATCAGAATATCATAATGAAACATTTTACGCCACAGCAGAATGATAAAACACCCCTTCACCCACTAGACTCGTGAGATCGTGGCATGCACGCTCAACTCGGTCATCGACGCTACCCAGCGCGAAAAGAACCCGAGCAACAAAGGCTGTGCACCGACATCTGCTTGACCCTCCTATACGACGAGGTACGCGTGAGTGTGGGAACACGATGGCCGGTGCAAACCAACAGAAAGGTAAAGAAAGAGAAAAGAAGAAGAAAGAAAGAAAAGAAAAAAAAAAAAACAAAACAAAAAAACAATAACCAATTTCTCCCAAACATGCTCGCCCGATAAGGATATATAAAATATTGTAGCAGTGAAGTCGAAACCCATCAAATTCTCCTGTCCTTGAAACCATAACCCAGATTATATGCTAATGTGCCACCGCTGGCCCCGCCTCCATGCCGTTACGAACTGCGGCCTTGGCTGCGTCGCAGCTGTTCATCGCCACTGGAGTATTGTGCTGAATCGGTGGGCGACGACGACGCGGATGTGTTTCCTGATCAGCAACGATGGCGGTTAGCGATGTTGTTATCGACGAGATCAAATGGCGAGGCTCGATTTACCTGAGCCTCCGTAGAACCGACCGTCTCTTTGCGCTGCAGGGTTTCTGGACTCCATAATCACCGACTGTCGAGCTTTGAGGCGTTCTTCGGCTTCGCGGATCTTGGCTTGAAGTTGTTCGAGTTCGCGGGTCTGGATCATCATCTGCAGCTTCCTGGTTACGTTGCTCTGTCAGCCCATGCGATCGTGTGGTTATCTGCCAACAGAGGCCTGGCACAGGATGGGTCTCACGGTGAACATCCGTTGAGAGTGGGAGTGGAACCTACTTTTGGTCGATGGTCTGTGAGAGATGATTGACATCGGTGTCCAGAGAGAAGGCGCTATCCAGCGCGGTCGAAAAGGCCTGTGCCATGGTCCTGCCATGTCTTGGTCAACGCCCACATCGAAGAACAGAGGAGAGGAGCGCAAAGGAGTACGAACGACTGAGGGCGACCGCTGGGCTTCCATTCTTGCTCCGAGTCCGATGACATTTTGATGGTTGTGATAAGAGTGTTCGGTTGATCCGGTGGGCGTTGGCGTTGGGGAAGAGCGCGGGATACGAGAGAGCTGTGGCAACTGGAAGGTAGGTATGGCGGGAGAAGTAAGGAAAAAAGGAGTATGCGACACGCAACAGGCTGAAGCTCGGAGGGGAGTGATTTGGGAGCGCGCGCGTCTCTAGCGGAACAGGGGGTGTTGGAAGTGGATATGATAGCACGGACGGGGTGGGCCTTACGCCTTAAATTATGGGGGGGAGGGGGAGATTAGGAGGAGAAAAGAGGAGTGGAAGAAGAGGCGAAGAACAAAAGAATTTCTCCAACGGGAGAGTGCTGTGGACACAGAAGGTAAGTAAGACTGAGTTAAGTTAATGCGTGGAACAGTCGGTCAGATTGCAAGCGCTTGCTGTCCCCAAGTGACCAACTATAAGCCTGGAAGGAGGGGGGGAAGGACCACTTTTGAGTTATCTGAGCTTTAGTAGAGACACGGAGTAGTCTGGTGAGTGCTCATAACCTGGTTACAATTAAGTAGCTGACAGGGGCACACAGCACGATCGGCAGAATGACGATGGCTGGCGCTGGGAGGGGGTTCCAAGAGGCGATCTGATGCAAAGACCCTCTCTGCGTGTGGATTCCTGGGATCGGTTATTGGTGGTGGTGCATGCAAGATTCTCCCAGGGTGGGCTGGATGTTCATCCATTCATCCAAGTCCATAGCAAGCAAGAGGAGGAGTCACTTAGTCTTCCTTTACTGAGGGAGTGTGGAAGTGCCCTGTTGATTGAATCGGATAAGTTTAGCTTAGGTCTAGTCTAGTCCGTAGTGACTGAGGTGGGCAAATAGTCCTGTTACTCTTGGCCACTAGTAACTCTTGACCCTCTGGTTGGTGAGTATTGTTATTTTAATTTCATTATTGCTCCGTCTTTCTAACTGTGATGGAGATTTCCCCTGAAACTATGGAGGATTGTACCCGCTCGGTACCTTTCACGTGACCCGTGCCCCTCCCCCTAACTCCATCCTCGCCAGAGCTTTCTACCCGGAACCGTACTGCCACACACCCTTTGAGTTTAATGCCACCGCCACAGGCCTCTTAACTTAGCACTAATTACCCACTTGAATTTCCAACTATCAGCATATAGCACTGGGGTTGACAGCGGTCAAACGCGGAGTTGACTGCATGAGTATGATGATCGTTCTCAATACTTCATCTTGTCACTCCTGGCTGTAAAAATAACTTCTCATAGTGGTTTCGATCTGAGAAGGTTCTCCGGGGACTTCACCCACCGCCAACCCCTTTCGCCAGCCATGCTCGCACAGCTGCTGCTGCACCTGGCAAGGAGAGGACCGTCAACATTGGCATATGGTGGCTGCTTCTTAACATGAAAGCCCCTTTCCACCGCAAGATTGACACTGCTAAACTCCCGGTTGAGTCAACTCAAGCCAGGCCGTGCAACGCCGGACGCTTTTGGATGGTGGTAGATTGGTTGGTATTTAGGGAATACTTCCAAGATGTCCCAAGATGTATACCTAGTAGTTATCTCATAGAAACAGGGACCTCAAACAAAACCAACCGCAGCGGCTGTGGAGGCCACCAAGCCACGTATCATTCAACCCACCTCCGGATCAAAGACTAGAGTCAAGTTTGGAGAAGGAACAGGTCTGGCCCACGAGCATGATGCTGTTGAGATCTGAATCTCAGTCGAAACATGTTATGGCTCCTCTCACTCCGTTAGACCAGATAGTTCAGGGCACTCCTTCTATGCCTCGAGGCCGCTTGCATGGTGACTGAAATCTGCAACTTTCGCTTCTCATACAGATTCTGAATCCCTTTGATCTTTGGCAGATTCTCTGTTCGCAAGCAGTGGCAACATTGTGAAGGCTTCGAAGTCCCAGGGTGGCGGCTGAGATGTGACGGAAACACTGGTCTGTAGCTCTCACATGGTCAATACTTATTGAGGATAGGATACACTTCAATCTGACGCGGCGATTCTTCAAGTTTCATGCTAAGCACGGTTGGATCTGTTTGATATGGGTTGTTATTGGAGTATGCGTGGTAGCATGGATCCACCTAGTGTTGTCTCACATTTGAATGATGTATCTTTCAGCCTCAAGCTCGCAGATGCCTCTTAATCACTACTTCACTTTAGCTCATATAAATCTATAGAGGTTCAAGTAGCGACCATATTCAATGTGAGCTCAAAGCATGCCAGAACCGTCTTCGATCAAGGTGTGTAAACGCTGGATTGTGTTTATGGTATGGGACGATGTGCATGTTGCTGAAGACCTCTGTTAATCTTGGGTAGACTCATATCAAGAAAGCCCAGCCCAGATATCAATACGCATATCATCATCAAGCAACCTTTCTGGCACAGTATCCTATCACAATTAAGCATCTGTTGGACAGACAACCTGTATAGCGCTCGATCTAGGCGACACGCTAAGATCCTTCAGCTGGCACAATGCACCAAGGCAACTTGAACTGACCAAGACATTGGACCATGGGACTCAGAAAAGGCAAAGTCCTTTGGGTGAGAGCTATTTGATAGACTACCTAGTACTTGTTATTGTACATATTGTGTTGTGTTGAAGTATGTGCTTTTTTATCTACCCGAGTGTAATGTTCATCTGAGTACAATCCAGCCCAGAGTCCCGGGCTGGGCCGACGCTAGCATCACAGAGCCGGCGCTACTAAGCCCAGGCCAGGTACCGTCCACTGCTCTCTTCTTCTAGAATTACTACAGAGTAATGACTGAAGGAATGATGATGGCTGTATTGTTTATTCGTGGGTGAAAAGATTTAGTTGAAAGAGGAACACATCACACAATAGACTGTCGCATGGCCCCTCATAGGAGACAGAATAGGTGAGGCATCGACAGCACCTCAAAATGTGTATCAATGTTACGGTTATGTGGAGCACTCTCTCTATGTGCTGTAATGGAAAGGAGGGAAGGGCCGTGTTACTGTAAGAAAGCCCTCCCTCACAAGATCAGATTTTAAGCCAGAAAGAAAGAGATATAAGCCAGGTTTCTGCGACTGGGCATAATGACCATGGTCAAGCCTAGGCTTGGAAGGTGGCAGGTTGCCCTGACAATCGGTAACTTATATAGATGCCCAGTGGAAACGGGTTGCTCCGACCTCCTCCATTCCCGTCTCCCACGTGACTCGCCGGCCTTTTTCCGTGAGGTGAAGGGTAGTTGGGAGTGCTGGAGCCCAGCAGTGCGTGCCGCAGTCAACCTTGAATCACTCCCTCCTTGGAGAAGTAACGCAACATCGAGAACTGATTTGATTCCATCCTATCCTATCCACACCATTCCCTCCCTCCATCTCACCATCCCATCCCATCCTTCCCATCCATCCATCCATCCATCCATCCATCCCCGTCCCTTTTTTATCCACCATCGTTGTCGTCCTTTTACCTTTCTAAATTCTTTTTGGGTACCCCTTCCCCCCTAAACAATACTCCATTTTCTCCCAATTTCTACGGTTTCCACCCACCCCGCGTCACCCATCTTGACACGGTCGCGTTTTTCCCGTCTCTGATTTTCTGCCTAATTTTTCGACTTGGCCCTTCCCTTTCTTGCGCGGCCGGTCTCAACCCGCACCCCTAATTCTTCCCTTCCAGTTCCGCACACGCGACCTTGTCGGCCTGACTTTCAAGGCACCAAGTCTATCTGGGTTCGGTACCACCCACCGAGAGTCCTTCACTACAGGGCTAAGCTACAACGCGGTCGACGCTGAACGTTCGGATTAGCTTGCCGGGCCAACCGTCACGCAACGACTCCCTCATTTATCACCGTGGCCCCCATTCCAAAATCCCTCTCCCCCGGCGGCCGATCTGACGGGCAATGGGGGATGCCTCCTCTATCTGCTTACACCCCCTTTGAGTCGCTCCTCTTTTTCCAGTCCCTCGCTGCCTTAGATGCTCGACCCGCGAGTTTCGCGACCATCTCTGATGTTCTCCGCAACAATTCGTTCATTCGCCAAGATGCCGCTTTCGATGCCGGGCGACTCGCCCCGGAGGCCCTCGAGGACCTCTATTCGACGCTGATGAGGGAAGGTGTCGACTCGGTCGGTGTCGTCGCGGCTCATGAGCCAAATGGTCGCCATGCTGAGAGTCCCGCCAATCCGAAAAAGCGCAAGATTATGAGTCCGCAGCCAGATGGGTTGTCCGGAAAAGGGTCCAGCCATACAACCCTAATGCCAACCCTGGTATCGCGTTTGTACGCTAGGTATAAGGAGCTGGTAACGAGGGAAATACGGAACGAGGAGAGGAGATACGCGGAGATTCGAAACGAGATCGAACAGCTACAGAAGGAAGAAAGCGAAGCACAGCCGGAGTCCACTATGCGCCCACCGCAGCAGCCAGTTGCACCCCCGAAGCAAGAACATGCGCCGGAGCCAATGGACTTGGATGTGAAGGAAGAGAGACCGCCCCAGCAACCTATGCCCGCACCAACCCAGGCAAAGCCTCCGCTGCCAGTCGTGGACAGGACGCAAGCACAGTCTGTGCCGCAACCCAAGGACTTGCAACCGGATAAGCCACCACCGGAGGCTATGCCTCACCTATCTCAGACGCCGTCACAACTCCCCGCGCAACCAGTAGGACAGCCACTCAAGGATTTGGGCAGAGCGATTCAGCCCCAACCTCAACAACCGCAGCGATCGGCGCAACAACCTCCACCCATCCCACAGATGGCAACGGGCAGGCCACTTCAACCGCAGACACCAAATGGGAAGACTTTTCCCGCCCCGCAAGCTATTACCGTACCTCGGAATGTCCCCGCGAAAGCTGGTGCAGCCGGTGTGACATTCATGTCGCCGCAGGTACCACCGACGAATACACCCTCTTCGAATCTTGGTGCTGGCAAACCGTCTGCTCCTATGCAGCCACAAATCATGCCCAAGGCTATCTCTACTCCACAGCCATCCACCCCGGTTGGCAAGCCTGCTGCTAAGGTAGGCGGACCAGCCACAGCGTCCACTCCAGCTCCCCAGCGTCTTCCACCTCAGTCGAGTTTCCAGCAATGGTCTCTGCATCAACCTCCCCAGACACCTCAGCCTCAGCCTTCGCCTTCACTCATCAAGCCGAAACCTGAGCCTTCGAGCAAGCCTCCCTTGGAGAGGCCTGTCCCACCGTTTCAGCAACCTATACCCAGTGTTGAGAGCAAGTTGGCTCAACAGGGTCAACCACCAACACCCTTTCCTTCAACTCCGGGCCCAGTGCCCACAGCAGCGTCCTCACCGGCTTTGGGTGTTCCAGCTCCTGGCTTCCAGACTCCAGTAGAAACCGGGCGAGCTGCTCTAATCCCAGGTCCACCAGGTTCACGTCCTTTGCGGCCATCGATCGACATCACTGGCTCACTCACGCCTTGGAAGAGGACTCCGCGGTTGAGTCTGAGCATACCTGAGTCTCCCCGCTCGCCAGACCGACCACGCCCGGAGGAGATCAGTCCCATCAGCGAGAAGGCTCCATCCCCGCCTGGATCTCGTGAAGCAACACCAGAAGAACCCGAGCCACGCCGTCTGAAACGCCGAACGGATCGCAAGGGCAATTCAACGAGCTCAGAGTCGAACCAGCCCGCCGTCGATACTGATGCAAAGCCAGGATCGAAGAGGAAGGCGGACAAACTGACACCATCCACCGCAAAGGATCGAGATCGAAGCACAGCGTCATCGAGGAGTCGCGGACGATCCGTCTTATCGCGGGATGACGAGTCAACCACGGAAAGCGCGTCTCAGCCTAAGGTCAAGCACGAGATGCCCAGTACACCTGCTGGCGTACCTGAAATCGCAGAGCCGGAACGTCCGTCAATAAGTCGACCGGGCCGGGGGCGGCCCAAACGCAAGCGCGCCCCCAGCGAGGAAGCCGAACCTCCTCAGACCGAAGCCAGTCAGCTCAGCCGTCTCGACCCGAATCAATCGACCCCTTATGTGCTGTGTGCGCGTAGTTTCCCAAGAACCGGTGCCCCCATCATGAATGATGTCACCATGCACAAGCATGCTTCTATCTTCGCCAAGCCACTAGCGGAACGTGATGCTCCTGGCTATCGTGACCTTATCTATCGACCACAGGATCTGAAATCCATCAAATCAGTGATGTACCAGGGCAGTAAGGCTGTTGCTGCGGCTACCGAGGCTGCTAGTACACCTGCTGGCGATGGGGAGTCTCCAGCACCTGGTACAGGTACTCCTTCCAAGAATGCGGTTCTGATGCTCCAGAAGACGGAGGATGTCATCCCTCCCAAGGGTATTGTCAACTCGGCCCAGCTTGAAAAGGAGCTGATCCGGATGTTTGCGAACGCCGTCATGTTCAACCCCGTTCCACAGCGGGGCTTTGGACCGGGATTCCCCATGAGCAGCGATAGTGGCTCTCGAGCAAGCACGCAGGTCCCCGAGCCCGACGAAGGAGGGATCATCAAGGACACGCTGGAGATGTTCGAGGATGTCGAGCAAGCCGTCACCCGATGGCGGGCGGCCGAACGGACGGCCGACGAGCTGGCCAGCAAGAGCATCCTCTCACTTCGACGCGGCAGTGCCAGTGATCCCATGACGGACAGTGCAGATGAGATCAAAGGCTCATGATTTTGTGCTGCGCTATTTTACGATTCCAAGGAAAATCTATGTAATGTTAGACCCAACGGAGAGATGTAGACTTTCTTCTTCCAAGTGTGATATCATGTTGGCTTTCTTCTAATTCTATAATCATAAAGCTTTTGGGGGTTTGCTGCCCCCCCCTATATACCCGTGGGAAACATGCAGAAAGAAAAAAAGAAAAGAAAAAGTTCATATACATCATGAGTTATGGATTGTTGGTGTCATCTGTGAAGATCCAGAACGACGAGAATCAGGCAGGGATCATCGCCTGGCTCGGCTTCGTCCTGCCCAGACCCTCCTTGGCGTAGAAATCCATCGGATACACGCCGCCGTTGGCCGTGTCCCAGCTCTCTTTGATCCCCAGCGCAATCAACGCCTCGTAGGGCGTCAACAGCGGCCGCGGGAACGCATAGCCCCAGTCGATGCTCAACCGGGGACAGGCGATCTGCACCCAGCACTCGACATCGGCCATGGCGCCCAGCTTCCCCGGGAAGATCTCACTCAACAAAAGATTCACGAACGGGATGCCCTTGGCGCGGAGATGGTTCTCGATCATCGCCATGGTGTGGGGGTTGCCCTGGCGGCCCAGCGCGCCCAAGATAATGCCCCACTTCTTCGCGGAGCGGGCGGTGTGGATGGCGTCGCGGCGCAGGGTGTGCATCTCCTCGTGCTCGTAGCTCTCGCGCGAGAGCACGCGGGCGTAGGGGTCGTAGCGGTAGGCGGGGATATCCGGGTTGTGGATCATGGCGGACTCGAGGTGGAAGCGGCCGTCGCCGAGGTAGAGGAGGTAGTCGACCTCGGTGGCGGCGAGGGTGGGCGATGTGCACCCGAGGATCTCGCCCTTGGAGAGCGGCGTGATCTGGGGGATGAGGACGCGGAACCCGGCGCGCTCGAGCACGGGCTTCAGGCCGTGCAGCGTCGCGTTGAACTGGATCGTGCCCACCATGGCGATGGTCTTGCCCGCCACGAAGTTGCGCTCCAGGGTCGCGAGCAGGTGCGTCGTGTCGATGCTGATATCGACAAAAATGTACAGCGTCTTGATCTGCGTCACGTCCACCGGGATCAGGCAGCTGTGCGCGTAGTGCACCAGCAGGTCGCACCCCAGCGCCCGCGCCGTGTAGTCGTCGATGCAGCACGCTCCGTACGTCACGTCCCCCATGATCAGGGTCTCGATCCCCGCGCAGAATTGCGTCAGGATGTCCGAGATCGTCGTCGCGAAGATGAGCAGGCCCTCCGGGAATTGCAGGGCCACGCGCTTGGCGCCCGAGGTGCGGATGCGGTGGATCGTCTTCGGGATCTCGAAGGAGTAGTTCTTGGGGAGCAGGGCGATCGCTGCTTGGATGTCCGGGTCTTCGAGGATCTCCGCCGGGACTTGGTTCAGCGTTCGCGGGGTGCGTCTTGGGGCGGCTGTTGGTTTGGTGGTTAGTGATGGGTTTCTGGGGTGTGGCTCTTGAGATGCCAGAGGGAGAGGGGGGGAAGGGGCGCACCTTTCTGTATGCTCGTCGACTCGACATCTTGGTGGCTGCTGGACCCTTCCTTCTGTGCTTGGGCGTCGGCGGTGCGCCGTCCGACGAATCTCTTCTTGGGTTGGCGGAGCGGGGCACTCGATGTTGCTGGTTGGTTTGATGTTTCCTCCATGGCGGGCGCAATGAATTAGAACCAAAAATTGTGGTATGGTGTTGTTGTTGTTAAGCGTCGCGATAATTCCTATCGGACGATGGCTCGCATAGTGGGCTGAGGATAATTTAATTCTGACTAAGTGGGGGGTCACGGGCTTGGGTCGGCCGCTTCTCCGCATTTGCTCGGCGGCCGGAACATCATGATCATCATCACCACCCTCCCTCCCCCCCATCATCTTCTGGTTATAAGATACCTTCCTTAGCTTCTTACACTTTCCACCATTGAATGCATTCCCATTTGACCACTAACTTGCTGAGTTTACGAAATTCATCATGATGAGCTTCAAGCCTCGAATGCGTCTCTTCTCCGTCCTGCGCTCTGCCCCAGCAGCTCGCCGCCGCTTTGCGACCGAGGCGCGGTTAACCTCGGACCATGTTCGCATCGTTGAGGTCGGCCCACGAGACGGCCTTCAGAACGAGAAGAAGGCCATCCCGCTCGAAACCAAACTCGAGCTGATCCGGAGACTGGCCAAGACGGGCGTGACGACAATTGAGGCTGGATCTTTTGTTCCTGCAAAATGGGTGCCTCAGGTACGCGAGTAGCTGTCTTTATACATTGGAGCTTGTGCGGGGGAGTGGCTATATCCTCTAGGGGAGCATCGGGGATTCAGATTTAGTCTCACGCAGATGCAACCAAACCTTGATATGATACTCACAGCCGGTTGATCGTTCATCTAGATGGCCAGCACAGCCGAGATCTGCGAGCACCTGCTGCAAACCCCGCCGGAGTCGGCCGACGTCATTGCGTACAACTACCTGGTCCCGAACGTCCGGGGCCTCGAGAACCTCATCAAAGTGCTGGACACCACCGGCGTGCCCGCCGACGACGCGACGACCACGACGGAGATCTCGTTGTTCGCGGCCGCGACGGAGGCCTTCTCGAAGGCGAACACGAACTGCACGATTGACGAGTCGCTGGAGCGCGTGCGGCCGGTGGTCGCCCTGGCGAAGACGCGCAACATCCGCGTGCGCGGCTACGTCTCGGTCGCGCTGGGGTGTCCCTACGAAGGGCCGGAGGTGTCGCCCGTCAAGGTGGCGGACATCACGCGCTCGCTGCTGGAGATGGGCGCCGACGAGGTCTCCGTGGCGGACACCACGGGCATGGGCACCGCGCCCCGCACCATGGAGCTGCTGCAGGCGCTCCGCGCGGCCGGCATCGCCAGCACCGACCTCGCGCTGCACTTCCACGACACCTACGGCCAGGCCCTGGTCAACACGATCGTCGGGCTGGAGCATGGCATCCGCATCTTCGATAGTAGCGTCGGCGGGCTCGGGGGCTGCCCCTACTCCAAGGGCGCGACGGGGAATGTCTCGACGGAGGATATGGTGCACACGGTCCACAGTCTGGGGATGAATACGGGGATTAACCTGGAGGAGATGGCGCGGATTGGAGCGTGGATCAGTGGGGAGCTCGGGCGGTTCAATGAGAGTCGGGCTGGGAAGGCGATTTTGGCGAGGAGTGAAGAGGATAAGTAGACAGAGCCACATCTTCCTGTGTTATTCATCAGATAAGTGGTATTCTTTGAGCTTGAGCATTCAGGAATTACAGCATCAAGGTGGGCCAACAATTGTGTATGTACAGCGAGACCGTTCCCAGCCATTGTGTCACCAGTACCCGTAGCACAGTAGTCTTGCGCATAGTCGTAATAGAACAGTGTAAAGCAGCTTCAAGTGAATATCGTACAAACAACCATGATATGCATATAGCCACAAAAAAAAAGACACATCCAAGTTTGCAGACCCTCACACACACACAACGTATAAAAACCCAGCAACCAGCCCCTCAATCAAAACATTAAGACCGCCCCCCCCGCAGACCCTCCCAAGCGACATCCCGAATCTAAAAATCCGTCACCCTCCCCCCATAACTCCAATCCCCGCCAGCGCCCCACCGCAACGGCTCATTCTTGGGGCCCCCAATCTCCCCGGTCTTGGGATTCTTCTCCCCCTCGAATTCGGGCTTCAGCCCCGTCTTGATGTCCGGATGCAGTTCCTCACCCTTGCCCGTGGCCTTGATCTCCGCCGCGGTGGAGGCCGGGGACTGGTTGACGCGCGGGGTGCTGAATGCGCCGGTGGAATTGCGCTGGAGTTCCTCGAAGACCTCCTGCTGTTCTTTGGGGAGACGGGGAGGGGCGGGGCCGCGGTTGAAGGCGAACGACGGGCGATTCTCGTCTTCGGAGCGGGGGGTAGGGGTTGTTGTGAAGGTGCGGATGATTGTTGGTTTGGTGGCGGTGGTGGCGGTTGGTTTGGTGAGGTGGAGGTGGAGGTGGAGGAGGCGGCGGGTGGGTTGGAGGAGGGACATCTTGGTTGTATGTGTTGGTTGAGTTTTGGGTGTGAGGTTGGGATTTTGGGGTGTAGAGTGTAAGATAGATGGGGTTGTGGTTGAACAGTATGTTGTGTTGTGAAAGAATAGTTGTTGTACTCGGTAGAAGATGCGGAGGAGTGGCGGAGAAGAAATTCAAGGGCGGGAGAGGGAAACACCGATAAGCCTGATTGTCCCGATAGCCGCGTCTCGGGGATCTCGGCTTGATTTATGCAACTGCTCAGTGGCGCGATTGGCTTGTTGGATTGCACGGCAGTCACTGTTTGTAGTAGCGTGTGAGCTTTGATGGTAGGGCTGTACTGTAGTTTGTACTGTACTTAGTGTAATCTTGATAGCATTTCCATAGATGATGATCCATCTTCAATTCGATGGGGCTTTAATATACTGCCAACATCATGCCCATCGTCGATAAGAGACTCTATGTCAGTCACGTGGGACACTAATTCAGGTGCGGAGGACGGCAGGCCAGGCTGGAGCAGTTGGTTCCTCTCACCGTCCGCTCCTCTTTAATCGTCAACGTCATGTCCACCTCCAGCTCATTACATGCCCATTGCGACAATAACTTATAACTAAACCTCCCTGTTGTATTTTCCCTGATGGCACTGACTGCTGCTCCTGCTGTATGCTTTACTTCCACTTATCCCTCCTTGTAGTCTCCCCCGCGCCTCCTTTGTGGTTATGTCTTCACCGTCTAGAGAAGACGAACCACCAATGCTGCCTCTCCCCGGAGCGCCAGCTTTGTCATGGTCCCAGTTTCGTGGACGCCTGGCGGCTCTCTTCCATGGAGCTGATCCAAGAGTCTGTGTTGCATTTTGGCTCTTCGGTAAGCTCGATCTACTCCGCTGATCCCTTCGATATGGCGATAGCCGTACTGATCGCTGCCGGGGTTTACCGGTCCCATCTGCGACAGGCTTGATCAACAATGTCCTCTATGTCATTATCCTGTCTGCCGCCCTGGATCTTGTCGGCCCCGACCTCCCGAAAGGCGTGGTGCTCCTCGCCGACGTTATCCCCTCATTCGGCACCAAGCTGGTGGCCCCCTATTTCATTCAGGCGGTGCCATATCCCGTAAGGGTCCTGGTGTTCGTCACCTTCTCTACCACCGGCATGCTGCTCGTTGCCTTGAGTCCAGCCTACACGGACGGCGGCCCGATTGCCACTAAGATCGCAGGCATCATCCTGTCGAGTATGTCCAGCGGAGGAGGCGAGCTCTCCTTTATCGCTCTCACGCATCACTACGGCCCATTCAGTCTGGCTTCTTGGGGCAGTGGCACGGGTGCTGCAGGCTTGGTGGGTGCTGGCGCATACGCTTTAGCCACCACCTCTTTCGGTTTCAGCGTTAAAGCAACTCTTCTGGCCTCGGCGTGCTTGCCGGCGGTCATGGTGATTAGTTTCTTCACGATTCTACCACAGTCCCAGGTGCGCTCGTTCTCGGCGCGGAGGACAGGCTACGGTTCTCGGGAGGAGAACTCAGCCGATGACATTGATGAGCGGGAGCAGTTGCTCGACGAATCGACCGATGAGAGCCAGAGTCAGAAAAAGCCAGCTTCCCACGAGACTGGCCTTGGATGGCAGGCATTTAAGGCTAACCTACAGCGATCTAAGGGACTCTTTCTTCCCTTGTGAGTATATCTTGCATTCACTCCACTCGAATGCATGTTCTTACGAATTCTTCTAGTATGCTCCCACTGTTGCTGGTCTATGTCGCCGAGTACACCATTAACCAGGGTGTCGCGCCGACGTTGCTCTTCCCTCTCCAAGATTCTCCGTTCGACCACTACCGCGCATTCTACCCAGCTTATAATGCAATCTACCAAGTTGGGGTCTTCATCTCCCGGTCGTCGACCCCCTTCTTCCGCGTCCATAGTCTGTACTTTCCGTCCTTGTTACAATTTCTTAACCTGATCATCCTGACGCTACACTCGTTGTTCAACTTCATCCCAAGCGTGTGGTTGGTGTTTGGGATCGTTTTCTGGGAAGGGCTTTTGGGCGGCCTTGTCTATGTCAGCACTTTTGCTGAGATCGCCGATCGGGTGCCGGTGGAGGATCGGGAATTCTCGCTGGGAGCCACGACGGCGAGTGACTCGGGTGGCGTCTGCATTGCCGGTTTTATCAGCATGGCCTTTGAGGTCTGGCTCTGCGATTGGCAAGTTGCGCGTGGACGAGACTACTGTCGGAGATTGTAGATCGTGGGGTTGATGTAGTAATGCGATGAGGGGTGTATACAGTCTGCATAGAACATTGTGCACTAGGGTCAGATCAGCATAATCAATTAGCCATCATATACCTTGAATAAATAAATTGAATATTGGCTGGAAAATACTTGGAGTCAGTTCTGGCGCAGCTGATCCGGTGGGGGTCACGGGACTGCAGGGGAGAAGGAGGAAGGAGGGGATGAACTGACATGTGACAGACCGGGTGCATTTCACCGACTCATTCACTCCATCCACATCCATTCATTCATCTTTCATCCATTCATCTTCCCCCCCACCATTGTCTTAGCACCACTTCTGCACCGGACCAAGTGCAGATCGTTTTGCTCCGACCATGTCTCCAGCCGATTCTTACCCCAGATGAATAAGCTCCCACGTCACTGGATCCAGCCAGCAGGCATGGTCCCTGGTGGGGATTTCACATGCTCGGCTGGGCTTCGTGGGCTTTGGCTGCCCCGTATCCATGGCTGACGGACGGACGGACTGACCACACTCTTCTTTAACTATTATCTACCCCATATTTTGGCCACCATGGCGTCTCACTTGGTCTCTTCTCTGTTCCTTGTTCGATTACCGGTTTCAGGGTCAACTCCTTCCAACCAACTCCCATCCTCTCCTTCTCAATAAATTCGTTGTACGCTCCTGCTGAGGATTTGGTGTATACTTGCTTGCATTCTTCCAAGCCACAACTCCATGATTTCATGAATCCTGCACCTAGAACGCTGTATTTTATTGATTTAGACTCTTGCTTCTGCCTATAAGACATGATAGGTAAGTTGCATTGTGGTGTCCACCATCTTCATTTGAGCGGTGCCTAACAGAGCGGGTCAGACCATCTTCTGGGAAGGCCGTCCACCAAATTCCGAAAGATCCAGGTCCTGGCCGTATTCGCTTTCTGGTCGCTATATTTGACAAGGTACGACACTCCAACAAACATGGGTCCGCGGTGTCCCCGTAGCTCTGTTGCGTGGCTCTGACAATCCCAGGGGAAACAAGCATGGCCCACCCGTTGTTCGCAAAATCTCCTCCCGCCTCACGGAAAAGCTCAGCGTCTGGCAAACTACGGTCATCGTCTTCCTCTGGCTCTATGTCAGTCGCAACTTTGCGAAGATAGTCGGCCTCGAATGTCCAGAGCCCCTGGCAAACTTATACTCACGCTCTTTCTTCCGAGCGACATGGATCGCCACCGCCTTGGATGCTGGTTTCTGGACCGCGATGAAAGTCAAGCCCAAGTGGCTGCGGGAGATAGCATCGCTGGTCTTCACTGTGTACTATCTCATCGCCGCGGAGAGGGCGGATGAAAAGGTCCGTCGGGTCCGGGCCACGCTGACACTGGACCACATGCGTGTCTCGTGGAACAAAGGGACTTCGCCGTATCTCTGGGCCCTAGCGAGCCTGACCCGTCCCAGACTCACTAAATATGCGCCTCGGGCGATTCGCATTCCGCGACCGGCGTCTTCGATATATGACCAGCCGACGAATGCGTGGCTGTATTTTGACGGCCCGCTGAGTGCACTCCGGGATCAGACATGCATTGTGTTGGACATCCCCGGCGGGGGTTTTGTGTCAATGAGCCCTCGGAACTCAGAGGATAGACTGTTGAGTTGGGCCGCGCGGACAAAGGTCCCTATTCTAAGCCTGGACTATAAGAAGGCGCCGGAGTATCCTTATCCGTACGCCTTGAATGAATGCTACGACGTGTACCACACGATTGTATCCACCCGTGGGCGCTGTATTGGACTCAATGGACAAACCCATCCTCGAATCGTCGTCACGGGGGATAGCGCTGGCGCAAACCTCGCTGTAGGCATGACGCTGATGGTCCTCCAGTCGGGCAGTACGGATGCGTCACTCTGGCAAGGGCAGAATGTCCTCCCCCGGCCTGACGGCCTAGTTCTAGCCTACCCCGCTTTGAACATGAAGATTGAAAGCTGGATGACGGAGGAGCAAATGGCGCTGATCCAGGAGAAAAGCACCCGTCGGACCAACCAGAACGTCTTGCAGCGCAAGAACATGGACTATCAGCGCCTCACCCCCTTCACCTCTCCCGGTACATCGTTTGCCGACCTCCAGCAAGACTCGTGCTCCGATTTGGACCTTGAAGCCAACGACCTCGGCGAAAAGACGACGCGCAAACTCGCCCAGCACCGGCACAAATCCGCTATGCTGGCTCAAGAGGCTGAGGCCGCCGCCGTCGCCGAGCACCAACCCAAGCAGATTCGCACTCGCCTAGCAGTATCATCGGTGATCTCGTACGTCCAGGACCGTGTCCTCACTCCGGAAATGATGCGAGCAATGATCATTCTCTACATCGGACCGCATAACCGCCCCGACTTCAACACAGACTATCTCCTCTCCCCCACCCTCGCGCCGGAGGCGATCCTTGCGCGCTTCCCCAAGACGTACATCATCACCGGCGAACGCGATCCTCTAGTCGACGACACAGTGATATTCGCCGGGCGCCTCCGTCAGGCGAAACTACGACAGTTCCAAGAACGACAGGACCTCGGCCTCGAGAAATCCCACCGCGCCTTCAACGACAAGGACCACGTCGAGGTCTCCCTGCTGCCCGGCGTCTCGCACGGCTTCATGCAGATGGCCGGCTTTTTCCCTGAAAGCTGGAAACACATCAACCGATGCGCCACCTGGATCAGCGAACTCTTCGCCTTGTCGGAGACCAAAACCGCCTCCTCCTCGAGCCTGTTGCAATCCCTCCACGATCTCACTCAACCAGCCAAGAAGAAACCCCCGCCGCTCCACAGCCTCCAGCACCTCCTTACCCACCACCACAACAATCACCGCACCCGCGCCCGCAACCACACACGCCGTTTTACCGGCGAATCCTCCGCCGACGAAGACAAACCGCTGGAGATGAGCATCACCAAACTCACCCCGCTCACCCCGATGGGCAGCAAAGCCGGGGGGAGGGCCAGCTCCACCGGCCCACCCCGTCCCGATGACGGCCATGAAGCATCCATCCACAGTACCTCTCATTCACAGCCCCAATTGCCAGTAAACGGAAACATGGGTAACCCTGGCCGCCTTCGCAGCGTCTCTCGCGGCCGCTCCATCAATTCCCTCGCCGTCGGAACCAGACGGCAGCACCGCGTGCCCGCCAAGCTCAGTCTCCCACCGGAGGATTTGGAGTGCGAGGAAGAGGAAGAGGGATATGTCTCGGACTACTTCCAGAGTCCCGTGGCGATCATCCCCCTGCGCGAGAGGAATCGGAGCATGAACAGCCTGGCGAGCGAGGAGGATCTGCTGGATCGGCGCATGACGGGGCTGGCCGGGGGGTTGATGGGGATCGGGGAGGGGGCGCGGACGCCGTAGCTGTTACCAATAGAGTGTGGAGCCTTTCATTCCATAATTTATCCACAGTAGATCCCCATGTCTAAGAAGAAAGAACAGTGAATGTTGAAGAAAGATGAAGCTGAGCCAAAGAGTGGATACATTCGAATGTCCACCATACAACTCCCACGTTATCCCGTTTATGTCTAACTCCGACAATGATACAGACAACAAGTGCTAGTACACTTCTAGAAGAACCAAGCCTCTATATTCATCGAAGGGCAAAGACTCCGAGAATCAAGCCTGTCCCTGCGACTTTGACTTGGGGTCATCCTTTCCTTCGGACTTGGATGCTGATTGACCCGCTCGTGAAAGAAACTCCTTCCATGTGCCATCTTCATGTGCATGAATTGACAAATACCTGGTGCCATTCCTGGAATGATACCCAACAGTAACGACATTCTTGGCGTCGGTTTTATCTCGGCTTGATAGATGAGGTTTTGTTCCCCTTCGGAGTAGATATGTTAAGTAACATGTTGAATAAACCAAAATGTGCATTGTACATACTGAATTCGACCTTCCACGATATCGGGATACTATCTGTATCTTGTCCGGCCTCCACGCTCATACAAATAGTTCAGTGTGAGCAGATGTGGACAATACCTTCTTCTCGATAGAAGAACTAGCAGCACTGACTGTGTTGCTGTAGCCTGCCCTCGCCTCCTTGGCATGGGATCTTCGTGGGTCCAGCTCTGAGAAGGGGACCAACCCTGGAGAACTGCTTCAACCAACTTTCTCAGACCTTGGGAACTTATTGATCTTTGAACCGCTCCGGTACATATTGTATAATGTCCAGACTCCTTCCATCTTCAATCAAGGGCACCACATATCCCAGTATTTCCTTAAGCTTGCCTCGTCCTTCAGTATCTCCGTTATCAATTCCCGTGAAAACGATGGCATCTACTCCCCGTTCTGCACGTCAAATTTCCCAAGACTGGATTTGTGATACTTGACTCCTCCGAGACTATAGAGGAAGAAGACCTATCTTCCTAGAATGCGGCAAAATCCTACCCGGTTTCTATCGGCGAAGTCTTCATTCCCGATATCAGGTGGTTTCGAAGCTTGGTTACGGTGCATCATCCACCGTTTGGCTTTGTCGGGACCTCCAGTAAGTGTGCACATGAAACGACGGTGCAAAGATGCCTACTGACTCCCTCCAGAGTCGAGCAATACATGACCCTCAAGGTTTGTGTGCAGGGCCTGTGTCCACGAGCAGAATCACCCCGTGTCCGAACAATTATCCCCAGCCGACGCGCACTTCGGGAAAAGGCTGGTCCGTCTTGTCGTGGATTCTTTCAAGGTTGGCGCTGAGGTTCCTTTTTCACACGACGTGGAGAAAGATCAGGCACCTTATGCCTGCCTTGCCCCCTTCCCCCTGGGCTAGAACCATGGGCCACGTTCAACTTTCCAGTTCACTTCTGTGTCCTCAACACAACCCGTCATGTTTAGTCGGCCGGGGTGCATAGATAATAAAGCAACTCGGCCAAAGCCCCCCGTCGAATCCTGTCGCGATCCGTCGTGGGATGTACGAAAATTTCCAGTATGCATATCACCAACGATGGAAGGAACATATGTTGATATGGTGGGATATGTTCTTGGTGATGGATGGGGGAAAACTGCTGAATGATGCATTCGACCACAATTCTCGGGCGATCAATCATCAATGAGTCGGTCAACCGGGATTATGACCAAAGACGCCTTGGAATTTTGTGGTAAATCGAATCATACCACTCACCCTGTCCTAGGCGGGCAGTTTCGTGGTCCTTTTCACGTCTATCAGGGTAAGCTCATAGACATCACCAGGAACGGAGGTAAGAGAAGCGCCTGGTTGCTGTTCGCTTCCTTTCGTACCAGTTGAATGATAAGAAAATCCCGGCTATACCTCTAGACAAATCCATCTCACAAAGACGGTGCTTGAAATCAGGTCCAGCTCTTGGTTCACTCCCCTTTTCGCCCAAGTTTTCATGGTAGCCTATTTACTTCGTTCTTCCTCCTCTCTGATATTGGCAATAGCAAGAGGGCTCCCAAGCCAGCTGCACACGTCGCCTGAATTTCTTTCTTATATTTCCGTTGAATGTCTAGATAGACGAGACGGTTCTCTGCCTGGCGCCGTTTGCAATCGGCTGGCGGTCGCCGTCCGTGTGCTAGCGATTGGAGAGAGAGCGCACCATCAACGCGGCTTTATTCTGCATCTTTCAGATATGGTTCGTTGCGGTGACAATCTTGGAGAATTTAATGAGGCTTGGTTACAGCTTCATCGGCTGTAAGTCCCATGTTTGGGCATGGTTATCGGGAAGCTTCCACGACTTTGAGGATCTAAAAGAGAGAAAGAATAAAGAGTGATGATAGAACAAAGATTCTCTAATTCATTTATGCTCTGACTGTGAAAATGGGTGAATCGTGCTAAATGTTGTTAGCTTTGGTTGGAAATCCTCGGATCACTTATAAATAGGTGGGAATCTCTCCGGCCGCTTCGCAGTCCCAGTATTTCTCCGCTGGACAAACGAACAATCAACAATTTCTGGGATGATGATCACACCAAAGCGCTAAGAGAAGGATCACAGCTATTATTAGAGTACGGAGGTGGGCGTCAAATGTACTCAGAGGTGTGTTAGTGTTGCGCTATTTTACACACATCCAATTATGCAGGAAGAGCCAGACAGGCACAATTAATGGCAAAACACGACTAGGTACACAACCCCATCAATCATCCCACCAAACACAAACACAAAGATCATGTCTTGAGAATTACCTATAAGCAGAATGAATGTACTTCGAATCAAGCTACACACACAAAAAGAATTCCCCTACGCCTCGCTAATGATACCTCGATGAAACATATAGGAATAAGACCTCGCAACGCCGTACAAAGACAGATAGACAGTGACAAAAGCCGAACACTTCCAGACAACCACTAAAAAGCTTCAAATAACTGGATCACAATTGAATTTAACAGAAATCCGCTCACGAGACAGTCTGCATGGGCGACGGCTGTTCTCGACTCGGTTCGATCTTCTTGCGGCGCGGCACCTGGATTCCGTTGCGCAGCTGGTCCAATTTGATCACCCCAGGTCCCGTGCAGATCCGGCCCGTCTGCATCAGAGTACGCAGGCGCTTGCGGCGGGCGGCGCCGCTTCGTTCTTCGCCGCGGCCGACGCCCTCGTCGACCCATTCCGTCCGCAGGATCTTGTAGCTCATGCCGTCGTGGCTGCCTTCCCAGGCACGGGACCGGAGGCCGAACAGCACGCTGGATTCGTAGCGTTCTAGACGCGGGAGGATGAGGATGGTGATGTGCAGGTCTTTGTCGGAGGGGGGGACGGGGGGCACGCGGGGTCGCTCGCCCTCTTCGAGGCCGATGTCCTGCGCGGTCTGGGGCGCGTGTTGATAGGTGTCGCGGATCTCCAGGTCAAGCAGGTCCACATCTACCTCCTCGCTCCAGGCGCCACGAATGAAGCCAGAGTGAATGGCTGCCGCCACGGGGTCGGAGTCGTCGGTGTAAACGCCGGTTCCCCAAAGCGCACGGCGAGCACAAATCTCCTCGCGACGGCCGTTATCGATTCGGAAGCGGGGAACGCGGATGGTGAACGTGCAATTCTCGTTTCCTTCGAAGCGGGGCAAAGGAACAGGCGTGGTGGTGTACCCAAACTTGGCACTCTCGAGGGTAGCCTTTTCGGTTGGTACCCCGATTTGAGGTGCGTACAGGGTAGAGCCCAGGTGATGACGAGGAAGATGGGCGACGCTTGTCAGAAGCGGTTCAATCGTTACCACTGTGCGAGGTTCCCGAATCGGAGCGCCAGAGGAAACGGGGACAGCAGATCCGGCTGGTCGGGAAACGTGATGATGGTGGTGATGGTGGTGTGGGTGGTGGTGGTGATGATGAGCAAGCGTCGCTGCCGCCGCGGTGGCTGGCCCATCCGCGGGGGTCGCGGTGCGATGGAGAAAGTTCATCGACGATAGAGGTCGATTCTGGCCGAGAGCGGCCGCCTCTTCCTCGGGTTTATGCCGGTGGTGATGATGGCTAAGCTGAGATTAGCATACGTCATAATCAGGAAAAGGTTCAGAGCTTACTGATGGTGGTGGTGGTGAACGTGCCGATTTCGCCGTCCGCGGGAGGCTGCGCCCAATGCCCCAGCCTCGGTTTCAGGTCGAGTATCTTCGTCGCGCGATTTCCGAGATCGCTTTCCGTTGGCGGAGGTAGGACGGGGAATCTTGGTTTCATCCGCTGTGGTTTCACTGTTGGTGGACCGGGCGGTGGCACTGTCCCGTTTGAAAGGGCTGGCTGAGGTCATGGGCGTCGATGGTCCGCTGCCGGCCGTGGCCCCCGTCACGCCGCCCACTCCACTTCCGATTCCCGAGAACACACGGCCCAGCTCATTCTTGATTCCTGATTCCCCAGCGGGACCCAAAATCTGCGCCTGAGCTCCCTGGACCGCCTGGGGCAGCGGGGAGGCTCGTCCACCTCTTTTCGCGTCCAGTCCGACGCCAAGCAAATTCCGATGGGCCAGGAGCTCATCGCTTCCCTTGCGGCGCTGTTCATCCGAAGCGGCGGAAAGAATCATACCCGCAGAGGCAGCGGCAGAGCTGACCGGGAAGGCGCGCGTGTCGGTTTGTAGCTTGCTCAGGTACGGTGTCTGCTCATGCGACGGGGGAGTAGGCTGGCCGGACTGCGAGTGCACGGAGAGCGATGGGGCGCGCGATCCGCCTAGCTGAGACCCCAACGACTTGGTGTAGTTCTGGATGGCACCGAAGCCAAAGCCAGCGCCCGGCTCCGGAGCGGGAAAGCGCTTGACCTCGGGAGACGCGGGTTGCGAGCGTCCAAGCTCCCAGGCGGATGGCCCCTGGGGCCGAGGAGCGGCTGCATCGCGGTCTCCATAAGGTTGGCCAAAGCGAGGAACGACATGAGCCGCAGCTTTGGACTCGGCTTCATGTGCTACTGCGCGCTCCCGATCCCGGATGGCTTGTTCCTCCGCGTGACGATCAGTATAGAGTCCCCCGTAACGACTGTGCGGCAGTTCGTGGCCCATGTAGGACGAGGCTCGCTGGTGTGTAGGCACAAAAGATCCTTCTCCCATACTAGTAGTTGTAGGCACTGCGATCGGTCGCGACAACGGACTGTAGCCGGCCGTGCGAGGCGGTGGTTCGAGATGTTGCGGCTGACTACTGGGACGAGGTACCGGCCCACTGAAGCTGGTTCGGCGAGGTTCATTGTACGGAGCATCGGCCGAGGGGATCTGAGGAGAAGGATGTGTGGAGTGGGGTTTGTCGGGGAACTGGGTGGATGGATGACCGCGTGGCGGACCACTGAACTTGACCTGCTCGGGAATCGCCTGAGGTACCCCACCGGAGCCCGATCGATACGGTCGCGGGGGTTGATTCTTTGCAAAGGACTTTTCAGGAGTTTGCGATCGTCGGAAGACAGGGTAGTCGAGTGGAGACGGGCGGGCGGGCGCGGTCGGCGGCGACATCGCGCCGGGAGCCGACGGCGGATGCGCGTTGCCAAACGAGGCTGACGTGACAGGCAGACGGCCAAAAATCGAGGAGCCTACATCCCGGCCTGGTCGGTCAGCGTCCGCGCCCAGCATGGAAGATATTGACATGCTGCTCCCGGGACGATGATGAGCCGGATTGCTGGGAGGCTCACGCGACAGGAAAGGGGTGGGCAGAGAGTGTGTGGTGCCGGGTGGAGCGCGTGCGGGATAGTGCTGCGGCGACGAGGGAGGAGGCATGCGGCGGGTGCCCAGCGGCTGTGCGGTTGAGGCATCTTGAATACCTAGAGAGAAGAGAGTGATCGGAGTTAGCTCAAGTATGTCCGACGGAGATCAGCACAAGGGAGCCAGATAGCAGCCGGCAAAGGAGATTGGTCGGCGCGGGCGATAGACTGCGACAAAACACGCTGCGAGCCAGGATGTCTGGCACATACCAGGAAACCCAGAGCTACCACTGCCGCCCAAGGACCTTCGACGGCCCTGGTCATGCGACGGGGGTGGATTCATATCGCATGCACAGACGAAGGGGCTGAGGGAGCGCTGAGAACACGAAAGAGGAGGGGAGGAGGAAACAAGGGGCAAGAATCGGATGAGGAATATTCCAAACCCCGAAGCGCAACAACACAGAGCAAAAGATAGGGTATAAGGAAGTGGGACGCAAGAAGAGAAGGGATGAAGAGGGAGGAGAAGGTGAAGGCGCAAGGTGCCGAAGCTGATGGGTGATGGTGATGGTGGATGAGATAAACGGGGAATGGGAGAGAAACCCGAAGGAAGGCGCGCGACGGACAAGAAAGCAAAGCGAGTTCCACAACCGGGGCAGAACCCGTGACTCTGGGCGGGCCTGGACCACTAGTCCCGATCGAGTAAGGATGCCCTGGCAGTCGAGGCTAGACTCAAAGAGGACTAGCTCTCCCGAGGCTTCCTGGGCTGGAAGGCGATCAGGCGCCACAGACGCGGCTGATGATCCCTCGCTGATTGGCTCGGCCGCCCCAGTCTCTGCTTCCCCTCCCCGTTTGTAGGTAAGGTTGTTTGTAAATCGATGGATAAACAAACCAAACCAACCCAAACCAACCCCAAACCAAACGGTGCCGCAGCAGAGCTTGGGTTGTGGGAGAAGAAATGTGTCATAAACCGGGAGACCGGAAAGCAAAGAAAGAAAAAAAAAAAAAACTAAAAAAATAAAGGAGTCATCTCCCCGCCTGCAGCTACCGGGTTTTCTGCCACGCCCCTGGTCGCTTATCCCGTACATTTTCATGTTTGCCGTTGGTCATGTCTAACAGGCATTGGCTGCCATCCCATCCATGATCTGGCCTTCCGAGATGCTACCCAGTTCGGCTCAGGCACCCAGCAACAACACCACCATCACCACCACCACCACCACCACCACCACCACCACCGGCGGGAAGAATCATAAATACTTGGATCGCAGAGGTGATGGGTCGAGGAAAACAAACCAAACTGATATCTCAGAGCAAGAAAGAACTGAACTGGCCTACCTTCACGATACACCATCCGTCGATCCTGGTGATTGAGGTAATTATGATCATAAGGGGGATCATAGCGGTTGTCCGAGTCTCGCTGCCCAGCTGGAAGATTATGCTTCTTGGAGGGCCCATGGCCTGTCGGTGCGAGGTGATACCCGGATGATTCTGGCCGCAATGACGCATAGGCGGGCTCATGGGTGTACGCGACGGAGGAAACGGGGGCGGGAGCGGACGAAGGGGTCGGATAATTGTAACCCGGGGTCGTGGCAGCCGATCGAGGCATCTCGGACTCTCGTCGCTGAAGCATCTCATAGTATGGGCGTGGTGATGGTGGCCGAGGCGGTCCGTAGGCGCGCGCGGAGGGCGGCGCTGAGGGCGCTCCTCGAGGATCGTGGGCAACCGCTCCCAGCAGCGAGGGGTGAGGGTGGTAGGGTGGTGGCGGGTGGTGTTTTTGGAAATCCATCATCATGGTGAGTGAGCGGAGAAGCGATCGGAAAGAAAAAAAAAATAACGAAGAGTGAGGAGATGTGTTGGGTTGCGTTCGGGCGCGGATGGGGGGTTCAGCGAAATGGCGGTGGAAGCTGAGTTTCAAACAAGCAAGCACAAGCAGCAAGCAGCAACAGCGGCACTCGGTAGCTTGCAATCCCCGTACAAGTCGAGTTTATTCTCCCTCTCCAGAATATTCTAGTGGAGTGAAACAACAACTCCTAGCTAGCCAGTGCTGAGAGGGTGAAATTCAACTGGAGGAGAACCAAATCAGTGAGGGGAGGCAGAGGCAGAGGGAAAGGTAAGGATAGGAGATGGGATGGATAAAGGAGGGAGAGGGAGGAGAGACGAGAGAGAGGAGAGAGAGGAGGGTGTGGAGAGAGGAGAAGGGGAAACAAGCGCGAAGGAGGAAAGAAAACACGAAGAAAAACGGTGAGTAATGGATGGATGGATGGATGGATCTCACTCCGACTAGCGCAAGTAGAATTAGAATAGAGTCGAGTAAGTTTACCTTGTAGTTGGGCTAGTGAGTGAGTGGCTGTACCAATCACGCTGGCTGCAAATCCAGGCTAGGAGAGATTTATTGGGGAGGGAGAAAAGGGAAAGGGAAAGGGAAGGGGAAAGGGAAAACTGGTGCGTAAACTGAGAGTCAAGAACGAAAGAAAGTCATTAAAGTCAGGACCAGGGAATGCGAGGGAAACTAACAGGATGGGGCCGTCGTGGCAGCGGGGAAAAACGGGGTGGACCCATGCAAAAAAAAAAAAAGGAAGGAAAATGAAAAAGCAATAAAAATCACAAAAGAGTAAGAATAAGGCACCAACCGGACGATATACAGCTATAGAGCTGCTGCTGCTACCAGGTAGGCGAACTACTACCACTACGACTATCAGTATAACCACCACCACCACTCCTACGAACTACCCCTCTCCTCTTTCCCCCTCCCTCGCCAATGCCCAATATATCTTGGGTTTTAGTCGACCATGCAGCCAGCGACGTGTCATGCGTCCTGCCAATGATGAACCTCCTCAACCAGTCAAGACACATGGGAAAGTATTCGGATTGCACTGAAGAGCATTGCTCCATGTACGATACAGTACAACCATCAATCAGGAAGCGAGAGCCAACTCGGACAAGGTTTGAATCTGATATCCAACAATAGGCGCCCGTCTGCCTCCCGCCCGCAGCCTGCTTCGGCCCCAAGTATGTAACGTATCCACCTGCAGTGCGTGACAATCTGCCGATCCCAGGACCCCCTTCCATGGAATCGATTTCTGGGGGATCGCCCTGCTACAGTGCGATCCTGCTTACTTGAGTAGTACTGCACAGTACGGTACAACTTCCACATAGTACCCTCGGAGTTGCACCTTACTCGGGATCTGAGCGTTGTTTTTGTCTATACATAAACACAACAGATGGCAGTATTTTGAGGTAAGATTCTCCAAGAAATGCGATTGCTCTTCTACGACGATCGATCGGGTTGTTGAATGGTGTCGACAGGCTGGCCCGCTTGCCACATTCGTCGCTACACAGCAGAGAGCAGAGTGGAGGGGAGGCGAGCGCTCCCCTTGCGTCGGTCCGGTTGCAGGATTGAGGAGCACCCTGCTAGCCACGGTGCTCTGCTCTGTTTCGCTTTGTCCTGTTCTTCTTTCCTTCTTTTTGTCTGGGTCGCACTGGTGTCACGGACTGGTTGAAATCGGCGACCAACGGTCCGTGCACCGGTCATAGATCACCTTTAGTATTCAATTTGTCGGCCGAGGTGGAAACCGGCCCCGAGCACTTATCAGCCCTTGCACTAGACATCTCCATTATCCATATGTACACAGCTTGTCATTACTATCAACTGGGTAAAAGAGAGAATCGGGATTATATCTCCCTAAGCCAACCCTGTCGTAAAGAACTGCCGCCATGCTTGACGATGACAGCCTGTCCAGTCTACATCAATGAGGTCTGCGCCGGCCTTGACCAAGACCCTCCATATCAAACGTTGCAGCCTCTGCGAGCTGCACGGAATGCCCCCAAATCGCGCCTTTAGCCCGCGCTTGTGGGCTTGCTCCACGTGGGCCTGGATCAAATCGAGTTGCTGTCGAGAAAATCGTCCTCGATGAGGAGCTCCGACCTCCTCACTGAGGTTCATGGTAGTGGTGAATGCTGATTGTACCTTATGCTGCATTTCCTTCGAGGTCAATTTTTTCCACTCTTCCCAAGACGGCCGGGACTGGCTTCCTTTGCCCTTGAATAATTGGGCCTCGTTTCCTTGAGGCTTCGACGCTGACTCAGGTCTTTTCATGAACAATTGGTCATCAATAAAGATACTCTCGTGGTTGAAATCTTGATGGTACTCTTCGTGAGCAGGGTCGACGCTCTCGTCACCCACGATGACGATCGTGACAGCCTTGTTGACTATCTTCGTGTCGTCGCGATGGGTGAGATACCCTCGTTCGTTCAAGGTTTTCAGCTCAGCGAGAAGATGTGGCCAACCGTCCCGAATCGGCGATCGGAATTCCAAGAATAGAACAAACTGCTCGTCCGTTGCAGTTCCGTGATGGCTCATCGCGGTAGACTGTACAGAGCCTTCGGGAGTCTTCTCCGCGTCAAGGTGTTGCAACAGAGGGTCAAGGTACACATTACGCAGGGTGAGATGTGGTCGCAGACTCGCGTTGGAGGTGCCGACATAGAGCTCCTCGTCCTGGAGCCAGATGTCCGCTTTGATTCCCGTGCAGCCAGCCGCGATCACATACTGAATGGCATCCGGATGCGATCGTGGATTGTAGGCAATACAGGCAGCGGGTTGCCCGTCAAACTCTGCAGGCCAATGAACAAACCCTGCCTGGGCTGTGTAGTGCTCCCGGAAAAAGAGATAAGAAAGTCCATCAGGTAAGAGAGACAGGAACTGCACCATTACCCTGAACGTCACTTAGTCAGTTACATTTATTGCGATTGTTGTATGTTTTGAGTCAAGGAGAAGGTGAATGGAGACACACCCAAACATCAACAGCAGGCAGATGATGGAAAAAATGCGATCGCCCCAGAGCTTCCGAACGGTGGCATACCACTGCTGAAGCATCCACCAGATCCCTGGACAGCATTCGGTCGGATGAGAGCGGAGCGGGTGATCTTCCAGCAGCACCCAGGAGTAAGAGTCGTATTCCTGCGCCTCTAGGAGGGGTTGCGTGCCATCATCAGCGGGGCGAACGCGAGTCGCAGCAGCCATGAGTAGAAAAGCGTGCAAAGATCAGGATTTGTACATCTATGGTAGGTCCGGGCAGCGACTATCTGCGCGAGCGAAAATTGCCTGCTTGAATAGAGGAGTTTTGTAAACCGAGGTTGCGGCGGGGAAAATATAGAGATCGAGTCGATAACTTAAAAGGGGCCAATGGGTGACACGAGGGAAGCACCGGACAAAGAAAGGGCCATGACTCTGTGCGACTAAACCGCAGGAACAAGAATAAATAAGTAGCCAAGATAATGCAGAGGGACCAGATGAACAAAAAGGCTGATTGTTGATGTGAAGGGGCAGAAGGGGGAAGGGGAGGCACAGGCGGAGAGTGAATGGCTCCAGAGCACGCAATTGCCGGATGGGATGATTTCACATCTTCAAGGAGATCAGCACCCAGTTTTCGGTGAAGAAAAGCAATCAATTAATTGCTCGTGGGCTTGGCACTCAAAATCCAATATTCAATGGGGAGGGTATCAAGTGAACGAGGAATGAGCCAGTACTGCAGTGAGGTACACATGCATGCGACCAGGATGGAGAGTGGAAGGAGAAGGCAGGAGGATGATATTTATTGTTTATTGGCGCGGGATTCCACCAAGACACCCTTGGCGGGTCTACCGTCCAGTACAGTACACCTACCATCCACATCAATCTGCTTCGCTTCATCTCGTAAAGCTCTCTTGCGACAATGGTCGGAATAGCGTGCGTGCTGTCCATCAAACTCCACCAATCAATGCTCCTGTGATCGCCCCGTCAAATCAACGCCTCTCAAGCCCATGGCGCCGATAGACTACCACAGAAAGAGGAGAGCGCGACTTGACTTCCCACCGAACCCGTGCCTCCTCGTATCAAATCCCGCGCCTCTTTTCTGATCTGTCACCGCGTCACCGCGTCCCCGCGTCCCCGCGTCCCCGCTTGCATCGAAGCAAAGCATCGAGACAGCATTAAATAGTGACTTGGCGTTGCCTATGATCGTGCACGTCTACGCCACGCCTCGTGATCGCGATACGCCGGGTCTCCGCCTGGCTAGTCGCTGACAATCATTCGTCTCGGAAGTCCCCTTTACGATAGCCCAGAGACGTATCGATTAAGGCCCAGAGGTGTATGGGCTGCAATGCGTTGTCCCACTAAGCATGGTCCCCACCGATTTGACCCGACGGAACTCATTTTGCGGTTCGTGCCTTGACTAAGGCTGGTAGAAACATGGTTCAGAGGATGAAGCCAGCGGAAACCCAATCCAATGGATTTTCCGCCTGGCCTAGTCAGAGAACGCCCCTGGCGAAGTATTGCGAAGTCAGCTTTTGCTCAGGGTGAACTTGGTGATCTGTTTTCGCCGGGAGGGTTGTGCTCGATTTATTTACGCCCAGGCTGCCAGTTCTCGAAATGGATAGTGCTGACAACTGCAACGACCATAATGTTCTCGTTGACCATCAGCGACATGCCAGCCTTGATGAACTGTCCCGTGCTGCTCCTAACTGTGGCTGTGGCGCCAGTAGTTTCTAATCGATGGTATAGATATTCTCAACTTCGCACATGGAATTGAGGGGCGCGACCATTGAGTGTCTGGTCTAGCTAACAGGCGATGTATTACAGGAACATGAAAGAACAAGACAGAAGTCGTGGTACACCCGATCAGTCCGCGTCAAGATTATAACCGGACTGCATCGGAGATGTTCTAAGATCTTGTCTCCATTAAGTCTAGTGCTGGGGAGTGTCAGCTCAACGGCTGTGACGATAAGGATTCAATGCTGGTAGATTTGCGCTGTGACCCTTGCAGCAATTTTTCCGAAGTACATACTCTGCATGCACAGGAGACGATATAAGTTGAGATGAAATGGGATGAGAGGAGATGAAATAAGCACCTCATGTATTGCATGATGGCAGAATTCTTCATCCGCCCGCCGATCTCTTCCCCTCATCGAATCACTACAATCATTGATCATTCCCATTCTATTCGCAGAATGCTATCGTCCTGCGCTTACTCGTGGATCCAATGGCTCTTGGACTGTGATTTGCCGGTGCCTTTGCAAAACGGCACACTAAACCACTCCGCGCATATCCACATTCTTGACACCTCAGTCGGGGCTCCGACGGCCCCCTCATTGTGTATATGCGCTTGTCTCGGACACCAAAACCAGCTTTCATCTCGGTAAGAGATGGATGCTCAGAGCATGATGTGGGGCCAACGGCTACGAGGCTGCTCAGAGCGTGCCCCCTCAAAGTCTACACGCAGGCCTATAAGTAGGCCGATGGTCGAGGGCTTGGTTGGGAGTCAATCTTCACTCCATACCTAATCTCAAGATGCGTTGGACTACGGCCATTGCGTCACTACTGTTGGTGGGCTCTGTCGCCAGCCTGCAGAATCCCCACCGTCGCGCTGCGTCTGCCTCTCAGCGCAAAGCATTGGCTCCCCGGTCTGCGTCGGCTCCCGCCGGCAGCATCAGGGATTACTCGTACCTGACGAACAAGACCGCAAGTGAGTGTGATATCTTGTACGAAGGAGCTATCTTGGTGCGTCTTGCTCACGAAAGCTAGGGTTCCTGGTCAACGGTACTGGCATCCCTGAGGTCGACTTCGACGTGGGCGAATCTTACGCTGGACTGCTACCGAACACTCCGACGGGCAACAGCAGTCTCTTCTTCTGGTTTTTTCCCTCGCAGAATGTCAACGCCAGCGACGAGGTGTGCAGCTCCTTCATGTTACTCGCATGGTGTTTGTCAACTAACAAGCTAGATTCTCATCTGGTTGAACGGGGGCCCAGGCTGCAGCTCTCTGGACGGACTCCTGCAAGAGAACGGCCCTTTCCTCTGGCAATCTGGCACCTACAAGCCCGTACCCAACCCGTACTCCTGGACCAACCTCACGAACGTGGTGTACGTCGATCAGCCCGCGGGCACGGGCTTCTCGCCTGGCCCGTCGACGGTCAACAACGAAGAGGACGTGGCCGCCCAGTTCAAGAGCTGGTTCAAGCACTTCGTCGACACTTTTGGTTTGCACGGCCGGAAGGTCTACCTTACCGGCGAGAGCTACGCAGGGATGTACATCCCGTACATTGCGTCCGCAATGCTCGACGAAGAGAATGAGACTTATTTTAACGTGAAGGGCGTTCAAATCAATGATCCTTCGATCAACGATGATTCCGTCATGATCTACGGTACATCCCCCTCGAAAGCCCCAAATCAATCCCACACCACCCATAAAAGATACTAACCCTCCCGTCCAGCCCCCGCAGCCCGCCACCTAAACCACTACACCAACGTCTTCGCCCTGAACACCACCTTCCTAAGCTACATCAACCGCCGCGCCGACGAATGCGGCTACAACGCCTTCCTGGACGCCGCGATCCAATACCCGCCGGTCCATCCATTCCCCGCGCTCCCCAACATCACCGACGACTGCCTGGTCTGGGACGAGATTGTCGGCGCCGCCTACGACGTGAACCCCTGCTTCAACTTCTACCACCTGACCGACTTCTGCCCCTACCTCTGGGACGTGATGGGCTTCCCGTCCCTCGGCTACGGACCGAACAACTACTTCAACCGCTCCGACGTCCAGCGCGCCCTCCACGTGCCGCCGACCGACTACTCCGTCTGCGGCAGCAACACCATCTTTGCCGATGGCGACGCCTCCCAGCCCAGCTCGTGGACCGTGCTCCCGGGGGTCATCGAGCGCACCAACAACACCCTCATCGGCCAGGGATGGCTCGATTACTTGCTGATTCTGAACGGGACTCTCGCCACCATCCAGAACATGACCTGGAATGGGGCGCAGGGGTTCCACCGCGACCCGCTCACGCAGCCGCTGTTCGTGCCGTATCATTACGGACTGCAGGAGTTGTATGATGGGACCGAGCCGGACCCCTATAATCTGGACGCGGGGGCGGGGTACCTGGGCACGGCGTACACGGAGCGCGGGTTGACGTTTTCGTCGGTATATTTGTCAGGCCATGGTAAGTTCTCCTTTCGGTTTGCTTTTGGTACTCAGAGGGGGGGTTTCCTCGCAGGGGTAGGGTTGCGCTAACGTCTCGGGTGTTGTGCTGGTAGAAATCCCGCAGTATGTCCCTGGCGCTGCGTATCGGCAGGTGGAGTTCCTGCTGGGGAGGATTGGGAGTCTGCAGCAGAGGGGCGGGTATACTGCTTGAGCTGCAGTGTTGTAAGTATGAGAAGAAAAGGGGAGAGGCTGGATGTGGGGAAGTAGCTGTATATGCAGGACTGGAACGGTACTACAGTACATATGACACATCACGACCAACAAGATGTCTTTCAAAAAAGAATAGCTTATAGCTTATATTGTGCGACGACATCGTTCTGTATATCCCACAACACCACATCGTAAAGAAGTACAATAGGATTTGAAATACGACGACACTGATTAAAAGATGATTGCGGAGCAGGGTATTTCCCACATTCTTTTATTCTGTTAAAATTTCTTTCCTGTTGTGGGGATGCAAGTTCCTCAATTTCCAGTTCAGGTTCGAAACCCAGCGACAATATAGGAACCGCCGATTCTATCATCCGTCTTTCCCTTCACATTCTCATCCACTTGCAAGCTCAAGCCCGCCAGCTGTACCAAGTGTCCCCGGAATTCCATACCGTGAGATGTGATATTACCCCCAGAGATCATCCCCACCCGCTCAAGCTCTTTTGGAGAATAGATCCATCCGGCCGGTGTATCCAACGCAGGCGGAGCGTACACAAATACCTCAACCCATCCCATCCCCATCCCCATCCCCGTGAGAGATATACAGCCGTGGTCCAAGAAGAAACAGAGACCTCGAATCTGCTTCAGATGGTAAGGTAGTGAAACAATTCAACATAAATCATCAGCAAAAGTAGCCGTCCCCAAACAAGAACCAAAGAAGAAAGAATGATAGAAAGACCCAGGAGGCCTATATATGAGAGCCGATTGAGTTTAGTAATCCTTCGGACTGCGGAGAAGCCCAAGGCTCCCACTTCTCTGGACCGGCTTGATCAGAGGACGGATCTAATTGGTTAAATACGCTGGGATTAGTGGTCTCCAAGTGTTGGGTTCGGTTCCTTGATTGTTTTTTTTTTCTCTCTTTCTCTTTGTGGTGGGTTGCTAGGTAAAGATAAGGGTCTGGCTTCTGGTGGTATACTTCACAGATGCTTGCCGCACTAGAGGATATTCAGTGCATGGGCCGGATCTGGATCATCGCGAGATGGCGGTGCTGTACGGTACTACTGCGGTGGCGGAGCGGGTTTGGGTGATTTGAAGGAAAGGCTGGAGCCGAGATCTTAGAGGGTATGCTATATGTAAGGGGTAAGTTGGATGGCACTATTGTCGCTGACTGCACTGCCGCAAAGCTTAATGGGATCTGAGCGGTGAGGGGCCTCGGTCATGTGTTTGACATGGGGAAGGATTTGATTTGAAGAAGAGAAGCGAAGGCCAGGTCTAGGTCTTTCAAACTCAATAACAAACCCACAGGCCAGTGACTGGCTGAAATAACATCAACGCCGGGTTCGCTGTGTACATTAGGTCATTAGGTGTACTTATGTACAGCACAGAAAGAAAGAGAAGAGGTCAACAGTTGGCGGGTCGGTATTCACCACAGAAAAGAGAGGGAAGGGGGATATGTGCTGAACAATCGGGTCGGTTCACCACAGAAAAGAGAGGGAAGGGGGATATGTGCTGAACAATCGGGTCGGGTGAACAAACAATTTATACCACATCTTCTGTCCCGCAGCAGCACTGGCCGGGTAATCGGGTAATCATCGTGGTTAGAGCCGCCCGGTAAAGACCAGAAGAATGTGCCGATCACCGCAGATCTGGAGGTATCCTCAAACTTTATGCTAGAAGGGGAAGGAGACAGATGGTGTTCCCATGTGGCCTAAAGTCATTTATGTCTTGTCCGACAAGTCGCTTGCCGATCCTCGTCCCGCCGGCTCCTGAAGACCGGCATTGTCGGTGTCCTGGCTGTGCGAGAGTGCAGAACGGTCAAGCGGTTGGGCACCAACAGTGAGTTCGTTGACTTGGCGTTCTGTATATCGAGGATTAAAATTTGGCCATTTGCAGAGGAACGCATGTTGCCTGGAGTGACACTTCTCCGCTCCATGCTTTGACCCTTGACGGATGGACACTTACCCAACTCGCGAATGCGCTGTCGCAGCATCTGATTCTCCCGGGTCAGCATAGCCGCCTCAGCCTGGTAGAAGGCACTTTCATCCCTGCTTCCCCGCCGGACAGGACTCTCCCCAATGCCCCCAACCCACTCCATTCCCTCCGGGCCGCGTGACGAATCAGCGCGGGGACGCAGGCTGGGTGAACCGGCTTGACTGGAGGGCCGGGAGGGGCGCCGACTCGACAGAGAGGACGCTAATTGGGTCGATGCCCGACTACCGGAGGCGGGGTGCGGAGGAACCGGGGGAAAGGGGACGGCAGCGTCGTCGACCACTGCCGTGCCGGACGATGGGTGCGAGAGCTGTTGCTGCTGCTGGAGTTGGTGCAATTGAGTCTGCTGGCTACGGATCATCTGCAGCAGTCGATTCTTGATCGAGCCATACCAGTCAGTACTTTCCGCAAATAATGAGAGGGAAGAATTCGAAATCATACCACCTGTGCTTCCTGCTCCTGTTCTAATTCCTGATGGAGTTCCCCCAACGAGGGTGCGCGCTGGTGATGCGGGTCCCCCAAGGCGATGATTGGACTGCCTCCGAGACTGGAGGAACTAGAGGTGCGCAGTGCATTGTGGCTCAACGAGGAGCGATGGTCGGGAGGGGCAAGCGGGGATTCGCCAGACACCGACTCACTAGCGTTGCCATTGCTGTTGCTGTTGTTGTTGTTGCTGTTCAGAATTGAGTTGGACCCGGCGGCGGACCGGCGTCGTTCCGGACCTGAGATTCCCGAACGAGTACTGGAAATCGGAGCAGGCCGATGAGGCAGCTCAGTGGCAACGGCATGATTGGGATCGCCCAAGTGGCTGTTGGGATTGTTATTCATGGTGGCCAGACTGAGAAAGGAGAAACCCGACGGAGAATTCTGCAGATGCAAGGGGTCGTACACAGCCCGTTGGCGATGCGGGGAAGAGGAAGTACGGGTATGAGGCGATGGGGAAGCAGGCAAAGAATTGATATCAGGACACATCACCGTCGGGACCGTGATCATATGACGGAGCGGGGTCAAGAAGTGGAAAACCTCTTTTCCAGGTAGTTGGGGACTCGATCCCAATAATCGAGGACCGTAAATTGATAAAAAAAGGAAAAAGGATAAGCAGGAGGTGAAACAAGCTTGGCGAAGATGGAGTATGGAGTAAGTTATTGTTTGTGTTGATTTGGTGGATTTGGTGGATTTCATGGGGAAGGGAAGGGCAAAGGACCGGGAAAGGGCGGGAACCCAACTTATGGCGGGGATTGGGTGGAAAGGGCAAGCGGTGAGAGAAGACGCTCCTCTGACGCTCCCACCCGGCTTCCCCCCGACTTCTATCCGCAAACATACAGTACAAAAGTTGCCGGTGCTGGAAACAGACATTCGGCCATCTCCCGAACTTCCCGGCACGCCCATCCTTCGGTCTCGCCTCCCTTTCACTTGTCTTTGCTCTTCTCAGGGTATCACACATGAATTCAACCGAATATTCCCCCAAATCTACTGAAAAATGTCTAGACTCGAGAAGCCGACTACTAAGACAATGCAAAATTCTGCAGTCGGTTGCAGTCTGCAGTCTGCATAAAGTCGAGAGGAGGCCCGGCCGCTCCTGGACCCAAAAAAAAAAAAACCACCTAAGCCAGGGGATTGTCCGCCACATCGTCTTGGCTTCGAGCCTTAGCTCAACCACCGGGCAGTGGCTGTCGGCACCAACCGACTCTTGGGGGTGATTGGCCTCACTGGTGGTTCACTCTCATCATTTTCCCTTGGTTCCCAATGACCGTGCTACGACGTTACTACCGTAGACTGCTGATGAATCTTTGTCGAACTTCATCTGAACTTAATCCCGTGATGTTGTTCGTCTGCTACACGCCACAAACACCACCTTACAAGTCGAAGGTCGGTAAGACCGCTCACTACTGGATGGTCGGCTGTTGACTGCAAAGAGCTTTTGCAAGACTAGCGCAGTCGGTCAGGGAAGAAGGATGAACCAAGTGGTCCTCTTCATCCTAGTGTAGTATACGTGTACGTAGTATGCGCTAAGTCTGATGTGCCGGAGGTCGATTTTCGTCCCAGAGAACCTGGTCATCGGTGGCTGAGATTCAGTCCGGGGAAGATCGAGAGATGCCCATGAGGCGTTGGCTATCCATGTTGTGCAGTAAGGAAGCCCCTGAAGCACTGACAGGATTCGACGCGATTTTCTGGAATTAAAATCAGGCTGAATAACAACCATGACAGGCAAATGTCATGGAGGGGAGGGTCGATCCTCGAGGAAAATACTCGATATAATCTGAGCGTTGAGAAGTCGGGGAAACGATCGGCATGGAACTGGCGCAGTTGACGTCACGCACGGCTACCCCGAGCCAACAACCCCGTGGGAAACCGACCGAACCCAGAGGCCAACCAACCAACCCGCGCTAGTCAGCAGTCAAAGAAAAATCAAGGATTGGGGAAAATCATCCCACCATCACTACCACCACTTCCATCATCATAATCATCATAGTCTGCTTTCCATGAATCATTCATCTAGCACTTTCTACCTGTGCTTTCTTGGTGATTTTCTTGGCGGGATCATGGCCGTAGTGTTGACCCAGCGTTGGGCCTCTCATACAATCGATCGTCCGGGAAGGCGCATACCGTACTGCTCCTGGCCACTTGGTATCCCTTAACCCCCTAACCCTTGCGTCGCACACGCCTTTGCGTGAGCCTTATTGACAGCCTCGACCGTGGCCATCTGTACGGTCCCGACAGGAAGAGACCGCACTCATTATTGGCTTCGGCCTCACGCGACTCTCGTGCCGTGGTAGGCTTTCCCGAAGCGGGCATTCCTGAAGTCGAGATTTTTATCGGGCCAGAACGACTCCGGCGGCGGCCATGGTGTGTGTTAGTGCCTTAGTGGTATCCAAGCGTAGTAACGCCGACCCCGGAGTGGGGTCGATGTATTCTTTCTTCTCCCCGGCCACTCTTCTTGCAGGTTCCCTTTCTTCCGGGGCTTTTGCCCGTTTGCCTCCCAGGTCAGACGACGGTTTTGGGTAATGATGTGAGCGACGGATCCATCCGGCCCAGGGATCGAGTAGAAATGACTGGCTGCTTGACTCGATTCAGGTAGCGTGGCAAGTGGAACTCTGCGTGTCGTCTGAATGAGGTAGTACTCGAGTATAGCCTGCATCCTGATCTGGCAACCCGCTGCTGCATCAACGTGCCCCCGTCCGCTGGCCCACGAGGGGGATTCTGCATTTTTGGTACAACGATGGGAGGCAATTAGTGAATGGCATGGGGAAGAAGAATATTAAAAAAAAAGTAAGATCTGGATGGCATCTCAACAAAGAAGAGAAGAGAGTGTGACTGAAGTCCAAGCCACAGTAGGGAACGGTAGTGTTGAAGGGGGCGGAAGAAGTGAAGTTCAACTTGCATGGATCCATTTTCCACTTTCTGCTCGTGGCCCTCGTCGGGGATACCTGGGCAGCCTGAACTTTAACCACTGGCATTATTTAGCTCCACTGGCACTGTAGGGGAGGCTCGGTGCAGTATTATTAAAGGAAGAGGTTTCCCTCCTGAATTTGCATGGATGAACTGATGCTTGTGTGATCCACCGGATCTGTTGTTGCAATCGCATACTTCTCATTTCCTGATTGGGATTATCTGCCGGAAGAAGCACATCTACACTATTGCAGCACTTTTCTATTGTACTGTACCTAGTACAATACTGTAGTAGTGCCAACTGCAATCAGTACTGGCAATTGCACCCTCCTTCTCTTTTGGGGTTACTGTCCTCAGATCTTTCTTCTTCATCTCCTTCGCTTCCTCCTTTCCCAATCTTCCCTCTCTTCTCTCTTCCTCTGCCTCTCACCCGCCTTCTGATCGATTCGATTCTGGGTTGCTCAGCTCTTACTTCCTCATCGCAGCTGCAATTCGCACATCCCCCATCCTTCCTTCCTGAGGTAATTGCTTAGTCGCTTTGTGCATCTTCCATTCAATCCACCAGGTGGATTGACTCACCTTGTAAGTTTCACCATTCATCCAACCCATATCCTTCACTACAAACCATTAGTTCTTGCTTGCCTGCTTGTTACGTTCAATGCTAGAAAAAGCTATAGCCTTCCCTCTTCGCCTTTTCATTTGCTTCTTGCTATTTCCTATTCTCTTTGTCATTGCGTTCGCTGAATTTTTCCCTCAAATTTACTACCGCGTGGTGCACTACGTTTTGCGTGCCTGGGACTGCGTTACTTGGATTGTATACTACCTGTTGACTCCCTACCGCTGGGGTCGGTACTTTCTTTCACGTCTTTGCCGCTTGGTTCGGTACTACATTTCAAGTCCGTGCCGCTTGGTTCGGGCTGTGATAAATCGACTTTGGCGTGCAATTTCTCTCGCATTCTTACTTCTTAAGATCGCGTTCTTTATACTAAAAGACACTTTTTACAGGCCGCCATGGGAGGAGAACTTGACCGACGCAACCTAAGCGATAACGAAAAATACCATAGCTCGGAGGCTTCCTCTTCGACTCACAACGATGTTGTCCTGGATCCGGCAACTGAAAAGGCGTTAACAGAGCAGAAGCCTGAGTTGGCGGCCAACCGCGACTCTGGGGCTACTCTACAACATCATGAGGAAGGACCTTACGACAAGATTGAACTTACCGAAGACGACTGTTACGATGAGCTGGGATACTCATTCCCGGCATGGCGGAAGTGGATGATAATCACCGTCATCTTCCTTGTCCAGACATCTATGAACTTCAATACCAGTCTCTACTCGAATGCTTTGGGCGGCATCTCAGAAGAATTTGGTGTCAGTATGCAGGCCGCCCGCTGTGGTGCAATGATCTTCCTGGTTTTATATGCTTTCGGCTGTGAACTGTGGGCTCCGTGGAGTGAGGAGCTTGGCCGCAAACCGATTCTACAATTGAGTTTGTTCTTGGTTAACATCTGGCAATTACCCGTGGCCCTCGCACCCAACTTCGCGTCGATTATGGTCGGACGTGCTTTGGGAGGTCTCAGTTCAGCCGGTGGTTCGGTCACATTGGGTATGATTGCTGACCTCTGGGAGGCTGATGACCAGCAATATGCTGTCGCCTGTGTCGTGTTTTCATCTGTCGGCGGCTCTGTGATTGGGCCCGTTGTAGGTGGATTCGTCGAAGCGTACTTGCCCTGGCGCTGGAACATTTGGATCCAACTCATCTTTGGAGGATTCGTTCAGGTGGCGCACTTCCTTCTCGTGCCTGAGACTCGAACCACAATCATGATGGATCGAATTGCCAAGAAGAGAAGAGAGAGCGGCGAAGACCCCAATATCTATGGTCCCAACGAACTTGTTCCTTTTAAGGAACGCTTCTCGATGAGTGAGGTTCTACACACCTGGATCCGTCCTTTCAAGATGTTCTTGACTGAGCCAATTGTCCTCACCCTGTCTCTTCTGAGTGGATTCAGTGATGCACTGATCTTCATGTTCATTCAGTCATTCAGCCTCGTCTACGATCAGTGGAACTTTAGCACTGTGGCCCTGGGTCTGTCCTTTCTTCCAATTCTGGTTGGATATTTCATCGCGTGGTTCTCATTCATCCCTGTCATCAAACGGAACATCCAAGAACGCCGGAACAAGCCCGACGATGAACGTGCTCAGTACGAATCTCGACTTTGGTGGCTGCTCTATACCGCACCCTGCTTGCCGATTGGATTGATTGGCTTTGCTTGGACCAGCCTCGGCCCCCCCATTCACTGGATCGGGACCATGGTCTTCTCCGCCATCGTCGGTATCGCCAATTACAGTATCTATATGGCTACCATTGACTACATGATCTGTGCCTACGGACCTTACTCGGCTTCTGCGACGGGAGGTAATGGATGGGCGCGTGACTTCTTGGCTGGTGTCCTTACTATTCCTGCTACACCCTTCTTCCAGAGTGAGTTTCTCCATTTGATGCTCCGTGATCCGTTGTTCTAACCAATTGTTTTATAGATATTGGTGGAAAGTACCATCTTGAATATGCTTCCACGATTTTGTTCTGCATTTCATTTCTGCTCGTCATTGCGGTCTATGTCATTTACTGGTATGGGCCTGCTCTCCGCAAGCGGTCGCCGTTCGCCCAGCAATTGTCCGATGCACGAGTCGAACTCCAAACCCATGGTCGAAGACTTTCTCGGATACCCTCTGGGTCGCGTGCAAACTCCTTTGCTCGGTCTCAACAGAATCTGCGCATCCGTCAGACTCTTGGTAGCCGGGCTAATAGCTATGTGGCTTCTCGTCCAGCCTCTGGGGTTAACTCTCGAGTGCAGTCACGCAAGAACAGTTTCTCGCGATAGGCTTTGGCATGCTACGGGGAACAATATTCTTTCTCCTTGATATCAGTGCAATGATTAACGAGCGTTGATACCCCCTTTCTATGGCGAAGGGCTTCAGCCATCTTGTTTTGTTTGACTTCACTTTCGATTTAGCCTCGTACCGTTCAATCTGTTTATCCTTCCAGGATTCTGATCCACTGAGTTGGACTCTGTTACTCTAGGTAGTCTAGATATTATCTATTTGTTCTATTTTCATTCTTCCTTTTTTCCATTGGATGGAGCTGATATGGGTAGTTTGGTAGCTTCTGCGGAGCTCAGTTCGACCATTCTCCTTCACTGTTTGGTTTTTGCTTTCAACCTAGGTTGAGTAACTGTGATATCATTCTTCAAAATACAATCCCACAAGCTAGTCTCGAAGTTGTCAGCAGCTGTCACAATTGCAGTGAGATATCCTCAATAGGAGGGTTAACTAGCTTTTTGAATGACTGGGTGTTAAGGCCAGGATCCGGCTGTTCGTAATCAGGCTTTGTCCTAGTTATAGTAGGCTTGTCTTGTAGTGGAGACAGGTAAGTAGGATTAGGCTCTGGACCTTTGCATCTCGAGAGTGCTGGTGATTACAGTTGGTTGGTCGGCTGACTGGCTGACTGGCTGGTCCCGTCATTCTCTTCAGCGCGGCGGGAGATCGACCCGCCCGCCGCCCCGGAGGCGGGTCACGTGCCTTACACGGGTGGCCGAAGCTTCTCACCTCCACCCGCCGCAGCAACGCGCGCATCCCCGACCGCAATTCTGGTTGACACACTCTCTGGCTCATCCAGCATGGACCACATCATCAGGGCAAGCTCACGGCCTTGCGTATTACTCTCTCGCCTGCAAAAGAGCCAGTTCGCTCGTTCTTCTGCTTTCCGCTTCTACTCTTCTGTTTCTTCCCCCACTCTATCCCCAGCTCGTCCTCTTCAAACTACACCTCGCACCCGGAACGAGCCCACCAGCTATCCCTCGCAAAGGAGCTTAATATTCTCCCCATCCACTACGAAACGCCACTTCTCCTCCAGCATGTCCACTTCCGCGGCCGTTGAACCCCAATTCGCCGAGGGCGTCGACGCGGACGAGCTCCGGCCGCGTCTGACCGCGCTGCTGCAGCCGGAGCAAGGGTGGACGCTGGATGCGGAGGGCCAGGGATTGCAGAAGACATACTTCTTCAAGACCTATTTTAAGGCGGTGGTAAGTTTGCTTGCTTCGCCCTTTCCGATGCGGTTTGGCTCCTCCTCCCGAATTGCCCTACCTTTCTTTCCGTGCTTTATTTTCCGGGGCAAGGTACCATGCTCGGGAATGCGGGCAAAAAATGGGTTGGGGAGGTGAGAGTCAGTGTTTGTTGATTGAGGGATTGACTGATTGGTGGTTTCGGGGAAACCTGTAGAGCTTTGTGAATGTGGTTGCTTCGCAAAGTGCCACGATGAAGCATCATCCGACTATGACTGTTGTAAGTTTTCTTCTCTATTCTTTGTGATTTGACTATTCCTCTTTCTTTTTGGGTGCCATGCTTTTTGATTTTATGAGGGAGAATTTGGACATTCAGGATGGAGAAGTAATGGTGGGTGAAATAGTTTGATCTGACGAGGAGAAAAGGGGGTGGAGGAGGGTATGGACACTACATGAGTAAGAGTAAGAAGCTGACTGTGGTTCTGGTTCAATAGCGGATTGGATCGGTGGATATCCACTGGACGACGCACCACCCGCGAGGTCTAACGGGCAAGGATGTGGATATGGCGCAGCATTGTGACGAGGCGGCGGAACTGATGGGGGCGGTGGAGGCCGGGCAGGGAAGAAAGTGCCACTGATGGTTGAACTGCATTGCATTGCATCGATCTGGGGGGTGTATTTATGAACTTTGTATGAAGTCCCGTACGTGTGTGCGTATAAAATATTCGAACCAGGAGGTGAGATGAAACTGCCAGCCAGCCAGCCAGCAAGTACCAGACCTGAAGGGGGTCAAAGTCCCAACTGGAACACAAAAGTCAAATTAAAGAAATGGCAACAAGAGTCTGGAACCACCAGACAAAAAGGGGCTGACTCAGCGGTTTTCTCTTTCCTCGGTTGTAGAGATAAGATGGGCGGAATGTGGAGGTTGACAGCTTCATTTATCTTCAATTCTCCTGGGATTGGCAAGTCAGGAAGAGCAGGGGAGAGACAACAAACAGGACAACAGACCTGTAGGCTCTCTACTATTACAATGTCTCCATCATCATCTCCCTCCATCTTTCCACCCCCGATTTCTCTAGCTTCAAACGCTCAACTTCTTACACGCGATGGGGTGGGAAGTGGAGCCCTGCAAGGCTGGGTCAATTCAGGGGCAGCAGCAGCCATTGTTGTTTTTGTGAATTGAATTGAATCTCTGGCTGGCTGTTCGATTCTCCCCCCGGACCCCATCTCCCTTCTCCTCTTCATTTCTACTGACCACCCTCTCACTCGAATATTATCCTTCCAGAAGGAGATCAAACTCAAACCAGTGACTTTTCAGGGGGTGGGGGACTCACAGACAGTCCACTGCCTCATCGGCTACCAAACCGTTTCGGATCGCAGTGGGAACGCTTTGGGATCCTTCATCCTTGCCTGCAGCCCGTTTCACGCGGGTTTGCGTCCATCGTTCGTCCGTCCCATCGTTTCTTCTTTAGTTTCATTTTTAGTTTCATTCTCTCTCATCATTTCTTTGGAACAAAAGACCTATTTTATTTTTAATACTTTCTGCCCCCCCTCTCCCTCTCCCTCTCCCCTCGAGTCCTGCCTGCCTCTCTCTGTCGCCAATTTTCGAGTCATCAACGCTTTCTTCCTCTTTCTCCCACCTCCCCTCCCTTCGTCCAACCTGGCCCTCACACTCTCTTGCCTCTTGGTTTCCCCTCCTTTCGCCCTGCTATCGTTCATTCTTTTTATCCTTGCTGCTAGCGACTGTCTCCCTCGCTGAACGACCTTCGATTGCGACTCTCTTATAGCTCACGGACGGCAATGGATTTCTCCTGATCTGATCTTCACCCCGGTGATCTGTTGACCCAGTTTCCCACTCGCGACAATCATCCCCTGTTCGTCGTATACTCTGGGGTCGTCCTGTATCCACAGTCTGTTATCGCGATCGCTCTCTCTCGTATTTACCGCTCCGAGCTCTGTTCTGGTGGATGCGACACGGTGCCTCCACAATTTGGCCGGGAATGATCCACGTCTAGTGGTCCGATCATCGCTCTATCCCGCCCGTTGTCTTGCATTTGTCTGTCGATGAAGTCATCCAGCCAGTTTGACCACACTCTTTACCTGAATCTCTCGTTTTAACCATCATTTACCTTCTGAGACGGATGCTGAATGCTACTCGGATTTCGATTATACCCCGACTCGCACCAGATCCTCCAAATTCCCGCACCAAAATTCTGCGCAATTGTGGGAATCCGCGCAGAGAATGACGCTCGAAATTGATTCCCCGCAACAATCGGTTAACGAGCGCAGAGGCCAGCGTTTGGCACCGCTGCAAACCAATTTCAGCCGTCCCACCGCGCGCCCGATACAAGTGACAGCGACTCGACCACAGCGACCCCGGCCATCCGACTACCAGACAGATGAGGAGGGTGGAGAGCGAGTCCCTTTACAACCCGCGCCGGTGAAACGCCAGACATCCAAATCCAGTCTACGCAACATTTTCGGGCGCGACAAATCGGCCCGTAAGCCAGCCACGGAGGCCAAGCTATCTGGTATCGATGAACAGAAACCTGCCACGGAGCAACCGGCCCCCAATTCAGGGGCAGTGCCATTGTCACCAACTCTGGTCGCGACACCGAGGACCAATGCCTCTGCTGCAACACTGCCCACATCTCCCACCACAATTGCTTCTCAGCGCTCGAGGCTACCTGCAAAATCGCGAGGGAAGTCTAGCGATGACCAACCTCCAGCAGGTGACTTAGGCTGGAAACCACCGCCGCTGTTCCAGGCATACCCGCAGTCAATCAAGCATGATTCGTTACCGGTTCCTTCTCTCTCGGTGGACACCATTTTGCGCATGCAGGCTACGGCAAAAGCTAAAGGGATCGTGTCTCGTGAAGATGATCCATCAAGCAAGGCGTCGCAGAACGGAGACGCCGCGGAGGACACAACCACCAAGAAGAAAAAAGAAGAGAAAGAGAGGAAAAGGCACCTGCGCACCCTGTCCGAAACAATCAGCAAGACTGAATGGTCTCAGAAAGTGTACGTGCTCGCTACCGCCGGCTATATCCTACAATATGCGGGCTCCGGCAAGCACGACCGTTTGCCTGAAAAAATGCTTCAACTGGGACCCAAGTCAGTGGCATTTGCCAGTGATGCTATTCCTGGGAAGCACTACGTGCTTCAAGTAACGCAATCATCGGACGAGGAAGGCGTTGAAGGTACCAAGCATCATCGATTTCGCTTTGGATTCCATCGTTCCCATACTCGACGGATGGAACGCACATTCCTGCTAGTCTTCGATCATCCCGAAGACATGAATACGTGGCTATTGGCAGTCCGAGCTCAAATTGAGGCGCGTGGCGGCAAGAAGTATATCTCCGAAAGAGCCGATGACGGGGAGCCAGGCCACCAGCTTCAGAACAAGCCCAGCCTTCGTCAAATGATAACGAAGGATACGAAGCGATATTCCACGTTGATCCCACCCCAGCTGCCTGCGTCCGGAGAGGAGAGGGATCCAAGCTTTAGTGACCAGTCTCGCCGGAATTCCCATGTCTCGATCAACCGCCGTTCGATAGTGCTGCCTCCAGCATCCGAGTCTCGTTCGGGGTCTATCTCCACAACTCAAACCGAAGTCACGTCTCCAATTAGCAATTCGGGACGCTTCTACTCTATGACAGCATCGAGTGTTCCGAGCGTGCCTTCGGCTGATAATGTGCCTCGGCCCGGTGATATGGCCAGCCCAACATCTTCGGGGTCAACTAAGAGACGATCGATGCATGCGTCGCCAACGCAGACCGTGCCCACCGCTGCGGAGTTGGCGGCCGAGATTCCTCGGGCTCAGTCGACCCAGCCCGACCCAATCTACCGCAGCACCTCTCCGCCTGCGCCGAACTTCAGCGTACCCTCCTTCAGCAAACGGTTTACAGCTCGGTTTGGGCCCCTGCAAGTCCCGCAGTTTCCGCAGGCCCCGCCTGCTCTCGACCTTGTTGACGTCGACTCTCCCGCTGATCCTCTGTTAGCTTTCCCATCTCCTCCACATTCTCCCGGCAAGATCATGAACGGACTTGGGCAAGGGGCTGTGATCGAATCGCACCAGGTCGGGCCTGTCCAAGGATTGTCTCCACCCAAACAATTACGAGTATCTAGCTCGCAGGATTCTCTGGTCGATCCCGCACGAAGCGTCGATTCGAAGACCCATCGCCTTTCCCGCTTGTCTCGGAATCCATTGAAAACCGCAGCCAACACACTGCGTCCTACAACCGCCGTGGGCGGAAAGCCTCCTCCCGAGCTTCATCTTCTGGTTGAAGAGCAAACAAATGGTCCGGATCAGGCCCGGATGCGGGGATCAGTGATGTATCCCACCGATCCTAATGCACGCTTACCGCCGGCCGGGATGGGCCGACGCAAGAGCATGCCAGGACTAATCGGGCCACCTGCAGCACCACCCCCTAGCTGTCCGCTCCCCAAGATTCCCTCCCCAATTGACCCACAACCGCCTGGCTGGGGTGAACCCGGCATGGATCCTAGGCAAGGCATCGCGCCGCCATTGCATCCAATCCAAGAACAGCGGAAAAGCCTGGCTCCTAGCCAATTTGGCTTGAATGGCCGTCGCAGCGCATCCCGGCAATCGAGAATCGCTCCGTGACATCGTGTCTTATTTCTATCTTGTTGAGAAGCCCCGCCAACGCCAAAAGCTCACTCGTCGGCCACCATGTTAGGCTTCCCTTCTTTCCTCATGTATTCCACGGCGCCACGGCACGATATATTTTTGCACATAAAGACTTTGACAGTCAATGCAGTTGATCCAGCATCATCACATAGCGATCAGCGATTTCTTTTTCTTCTTGTTTGGCTTTTCATTGATACCATTCTGAACCCTGTACTTGCACATGTTGGCTGTCGATGAGGTGAGAGTATGCTAGAATACTTGATCATCTACATATTTGGATTTTGGCTGTTCAAACGGACGATAGAGTCCTTATTTCCTGGGAATATATGTTTATTACTAGATAAATTAGATGTTACAATACACTTGCTATACTACATATTTTGGACAAGGGAATGTTCGTCTCAACAGATAGTGTTGTCGCACAATCTTCCCGCCAGCTGAACAAATTGCCTAAAGGGGAAACTTGGTCCCCCGCCAAGATGCAGGCTGATGTGAATTGTGAAAGCAATCGGATGGGAATCCAGGCTGGCCCTTGCGACCTCTCTTCAGCCGAACACCTGTTTCCCTTTTTTCTACCGGGATTCACCTGGTCAGTCTTTTCGATGCAGTGACCGACTGCACGTGACTGCTCTCCTGCTACCAGACGGTATATCATCCACAATCCACAATCCACAATGAACAGCCCTTCCATTTCCGTGTATTCAGGCGTCCACCAAAGTCCCCACACACTGACTGAACAATGCAATCTCCCAAGCAGAAATACTTCCCCACATGGCAACTGTTTCTTCTGGGTAAGCTTAACATTGATTCCTTTCGAACGTGAACTCTACCCCGCTCATGTCCTCTCTTCATCGATAACAGGACTATGCCGCATCGCCGAGCCAGTCGCTCTGACCTCCCCCCTCCCGTACGCATATGACTTGATGGTCCATCTGCTGCGCAATGGCGACAACAGCAAGAACGACGACAGCGGCAACAACCCGGCTGCGTTCTACGCCGGGCTCTTTGTGGCTGCTTTCTCCGCGGCGGAGACGCTGACAGGGTTCTGGTGGGGGGCGCTCTCCGACCGGATCGGAAGAAAGCCCGTCCTGTTGCTGGGATGCGCGGGCACGGTCTTATCCATGTTTGTGCTTGGCTTTGCGACCAGCATCTGGATGGCCATTTTCGCAAGGGTGCTAGGGGGTGCCTTGAATGGGAATGTCGGGGTGGTTCAGACCATGGTGAGCGAGATGGTCAGTCGGTCGGAGCATGAAGGTGGGTTTGGTTCGATACCTTGGGAGTACTGCGAGCGGTCGACTTCAGTGTTTCCTGGCTGACGCTGACGATGTAGCACGGGCGTATGCTGTCATACCGTTCTTTTTCAGCATCGGATGCACAATCGGCCCGGCCCTCGGGGGGTTATTGGCGCAGCAGCAGCTGAATCTGGGAGAAGGTGGGGGTGAGCACTTTCTCAGCTTGTTGCTGCGTCAGTATCCCTATCTGCTGCCAAACCTTGCGTGTGCGGGTATGGTTCTGTTCACGATGGTGCTGGCTTGGTGCGCTCTGGATGAGACCCATCCGGAGTTGAGATTGAAGCGCACGGATGAACAACAGCCACAAGAACCAGCCCAGTCCGAAAGCTCGCCCCTCCTTCTGCACCACCCGACCAGTTCAGATCCTGCTTCTGTCCGAGCTCGTGCGCCGACGGAGGGAGTCGCTACCCCGGCCTTCTCGCTGTGGCGTCTGAACCGCAACGTCAAGATGCTGATCAGCGCCGTCTGCTTGCTGAGTGCACATACCGTCACCTACATCCAGCTGCTGCCCATCTTCCTCCGGACCCCGCGCGATCCCAGCGTGCCTCGGTACTACATCGGCGGGGTGGGCGGCCTGGACATGAGCCTGTCGACGGTGGGTCTGGTGATGGGCATCAATGGGATCATCAGCCTGGGCATTCAGTTGCTCTTCCCCGTGTGCACGGACTGGTTCGGCCTCGGCCGGACGTTGCTGGTCGTGACCTTCCTCCACCCGGTCGCCTACTTCTGCCTGCCCTATCTCCCGTTCCTGCCGGCGCGCGGGTGGCGGCCGGTGGGGCTGTGGACCTGGCTGGTGGTGCGGAATGTCTTCTCGTCGTTCAGCTACCCGGCCCTGTTGATCTTCATCAAGCGGTGGACGCCGGATCCGTTGATCTTGGGGCGGGTGAACGGGCTGGTGACGAGTGCGGGCGCGGCGTGTCGGACCTTCTCCCCTACGGTTGCGGGTCTGTTGCAGAGCATCGGCGAGAATCACCATTTCAGTGCGTTGGCGTGGTGGGGGTCCGGTGTGATTGCTTTGCTTGCGACGCTGCAGACATGGTACTTGGAGTTGGACGATGAGGAGGGGGTTCCTGAGGCTTGCTGAGGCTGTTGTTGGTTGGTCACATCTCCCAGTTCTGGTGTACAGTCGAAACTGCCCTAAGTTGTTTGTGATCACAGCGTGAAACTTTACTGTACTTTCTACACAGTCCTAGTCCTTGTAACTACAGTCTACTACCATCTTGATGACGAATACTCCACCACCAATGACGCAAATAACCATTAACGACATCACTGTACCCCTGCTGCCTATCACTATCACTCTAGCCTTTCCATAATAACAACCGGTCACACCCCCTCTGCCTCATGTCTCTTCCCCAATCCTGTCCCGAGTCAAGTGGTTGCTTTAGTAGTTGTACAAGTCGCCATCCAGTTCGGCATTGGCTCGTTTCTTGTAGTTATAGAGGTCCCCGTCAAGCTCAGCATCAGCCCGCTTCTTGTAGTTGTAAAGATCCCCATCGAGCTCGGCCCCATCGCGCTTCTTGTAGTTATACAAGTCTCCGTCAAGCTCGGCTCCATCGCGCTTGTAGTTGTAGAGATCCCCATCAAGCTCAGCGTTGCCACGCTTGTAGTTGTAGAGGTCCCCGTCGAGCTCAACCCCATCGCGCTTCTTGTAGTTATACAAGTCCCCATCAAGCTCAGCGCCGCCACGCTTATAATTGTAGAGATCGCCATCCAACTCGGCGGTGGATCTCACCTCTGCACACACCAACTTGTCAGCCTCCATTCCAACTCCAGCCTATAGCCTATAGCCCACAATGCCTCAATCCGGCATTTCCATCCGGTTAAAACCTCCTTCCCACGACTCAACCACCACCAACAACACCAAAGAGAAAGCAGAACATACTAGGCAAAGCCGTCACCATGCCGACGGCCAGGCACAGCGCCAACAGGAACTTGGGCGAGTACATCATTTTCGCGGTTTTGGGGTGGATATTCTCGGAGCAGGGAAGAGGAAGATGAGCCTTGTTTTCTGGTGAGGAAGTTGATTTCTGATGGAGAAGATGGGAGGGGTGAGAGTGAGAGTGTGCTGGTGGGAGGCATGGGTTTTATGTTGCTGGGATGAGGGGAGACGACAGCGTTGATAGTGATGAGTAGGTGAATATGGTGTCGTGACGCCGAGGTATGCGATGCCAGGACCGTGCCACTGGCAGTCCATTGTTCCTCACTCGGTGGGTTTGGAGATGGAGAGAGTCAGGGAGAGTCATCGCGTTAGGGAAACAGCCGGCTGGATTGGAATGGGGATGGGGAAACGGGCTGTCGGAATCCTGTTTTCTTGGAATTCTGGGATTTGGGTGGATATACGTACAATGTCTTCATGACGTTGGGATGTACTTGTTTTGTAGATCGTAGGGTTGGGAGGAGAGTTAAGATTGTAGATGATGGATGGAGATTCGTTAGGGCTGGGGGAGGTGCAAGGTGTATCTACTGAGGCACTCCATCGAAGTGTGCTTATCGTGTTGGAAGAAAGTGCCGAGTAGGTACTTGCGCACAAGTGTCCAGTCATGGTGACTTTTGCCGACAAGTGGAAGACGCTATAGTGTTCCAAAATTGTCCACTCGTCTCTATCGACCATGATACGAGCAGCACTGGCCGCCAATAATTCTAACACCAACCAACTACCTCGAGTACGATGACTCGGAATAGCAGTCCCAAGGACTGAGATTGAAATCCATTCCAGCCCTAACCAGTTGCCGAAGGATAGCTGCGTCTCCGACGCAGAAAGCAGGTTTTCCTCCACCACCGATACTGATGCCCAAACCCATGCGATACCTACGTGTGCTCGTGCAGTTGCTGCTCCTCCTGCCTGTGGGATTATACCTTCTGAGATTCGAGTTCGTTTACTGCCATCATCTTCTGCCTCCTCCAACCCGAGCAAGATGTACGCAGCTCTCAAGAAAAGCAGCAAGGACAGCACCTCCTCCGATAGCTTGGCTCTCTCAGACTACCACGACGAGCATCTCGGTAAAGACCGACCGCTTCTGGAGGAAGAGGATGCCTGCTACATCAACCGCCCTTCACGGCGCCCATTCTCCCTTTTCCGATGGCAGAGCCTTTGCTTCCACTTCCTGCTTGCCTCGCTCTACGGCGCGGCCTTCTTGGTCGCGACGTCCAAGTCAAGGCAGGGGGCGGTGGATAAGCCAGCGCATTTGATTGATTGTACGCTCTTCGAGCCCCTATCTCCGAAGAAGCCAACCTGTAAAGAACTGGAAGACTAACGACAGACCAAATGTCCACTGTAGCCCCCCTCCACGAAGCCATCCAGATGGAACGCAAGACCATCTACGCCTCCATCGAGAGCGAGAACCCGTTCAAGGGCGTCCCCTCGGAGGAACTCGACCACGCGTGGCACCAGCTGTTCATCAACTCCAATATCCGGGTCACCGCCGAGGATCTGGCCCGGATCAACCGGACTTCGGTGCCGATTAATGATGAAAAGGGGGGGTTTTATGCTATTCCCGGTAGGTAGTCAGCAATGTCATCGTCCTTTTTTTCCGTTATAGGGGTATGAACGGTCTGTGGCTTGAAGGCTGACTGGGCAGTAGATGTGTATCATCAGCTGCACTGTCTGGTAAGAATCCCCCGCTTGGCCGGGTGATAAGCCTGGAGCTGAAAGCCAGTTGGCAGAAATTCTTGCGGCAGGTCGTCTACCAGAATTACTACCACATCGGGAAACCGACTACGCCAGTTCATATCGGTATGCCCCAATCCCCCATCCCAGCATAACGCAAGCGTAGGTTCCTTGTTTAAGGGAATGGAACAGAACACTGCGTCGACAACCTCCGCCAGAACATCATGTGCAAAGCCGACGTCGCCCTGCTCACCTTCACCTGGGATCCGGCCGACCGCGCCCCGAAACCCAACTTCGTGGTCGAGCACGAGTGCGCGAACTGGGAGAGGATGGACAATTGGGCCAAGGAGCATGCGTTTGATATCTTTGATGAGACGACGCTGGTGCATCCGACTTTGGGTGAGTCTTGCTTTCATTGGAGGGGATCAAGGGGGGATTTGACGGGGGGTTTGAGGGGTGAGCTGATTTTAGGTGAATAGGTCCGTCGTTTCCGGAGAAGGAGTATAAAGCTACCGGGAAAATTCCGGGGCATCCGGATTTTCATCCGAATGAGTATCATGGCGGGGAGATGCATCATCATCATGATGGTGCTTGAGGTTGAAGGGAGTAAGAAGGGGTTGTGGACGAGGTTGGGTGGAGTGCATCATTCCCATGGTGCTTGAGGGGAGGTGGACTGGCTGGTTTGTCAGTATATGAAGCTTTATGGTGAGATACGCGATTATCGAGCAGGACATGGGCAGTGCACAGAGTGCTGTTTTGCCAATGGGCGAGGTAGTAAATCCTATTTCCAGGATCAAAAGGCTGATCAAAGAAAGTCAGTTCAAAGGGTGAGAGTGAAAGTAAACAAGGCTACATTGCTTTACTCCTGTCCTGGGTTTTAAAGCCCTAAATCCAGGTTGATTCACACTCAGTAGCTGCCAGTGAATCCATACCCAGTATTGAGTAATGGTGAATCAGCATCTCTGTATTTCCTTTGAATAAGAACCATTATTGAATGCAATAGACCAAGTGAATGGGCACCTTAATGCAGCGGTCCTCGCCCGACGAGGTGCTTAAATACCTCCTTCTTTCCCTTCTTCCTTCCTCTTCCTCTTCCTTCCTCTTCCACCTCCACACTTCTCAACTCCCATCTTCCCTCTTCATTTTCCATCTCCATCCTCTATCCTCAATCTTCATCTTCCATCTTCATCCTTCAGCTTCATCCTCCAGCATCACCTTCCATCTTTCATCTTCCATGCCATCCTTCCACCTTCCACCTTCCACCTTCCATCTCCCACCTTCAACTCACCCTCTGCATCTCCATCTTCATAGCCCACTCCTTCTACTTCGCCACTCCACCACATGCTGTCTCTACGGTATTCTCTTCTTCGTCAGCTTCTTGCTCATCATGCTACATACCATCACTCCAACAGTTCTTCCTCCTGACTCATGTCGGCAACATTCACAATGTTACTTTGCAACCTATCCTCGTGCCTACACATCACTGATACCTCATCTGCTGTCCCCCACTATGTTGGCTGCTGCCGACTGCCTGTTCATAGGAGCAGTGGACCCGAAATCGTTGTTAAAGAAATCCTCACAGCTACGGGACCCGACCTAAGACTGCTCGGTTTCTTCTCTCTTCTTCTTCACCATAACGGAGGACCTATTCTGCTGGTGTGCGATCAAAGCAGTCACAAGCGTCTGCAGACTTTCCATGTACCGCTCTCGTGCATACACCCGGCTCATCTCGTCTATCACCCTTATGATGCCTGCCCACATGACAAATGGCCAATACAGGGCAGCTTTCCCAGGTGGGAATCCAGACGCCTGGGACACCTTGGACGAACAACCACTTACGCTCCTGGAATGAGACTGGAAGGGCAATTTTCACAGTGCACGGAACAAGGAAAGCCTGTGGGAAAGACTACAATAGAATTTTGAATGCTTACCCCAAGTCTTTTCGTGAGGAAATCAACGCGCACACCGACGAACGGAAGAAAAATATCGGCTGGAAGGCGTTGTGAGAGTATCCTTTACAAGCTCTCGAGAACTAGCCAAACAGCTTTTCGGTCAGGAGGCTGATTATTGATTTTGGGTCTGCCGAAGTGGATGATATTGTCTCAGTCGCGAGTTTAATCACCAGTATTAATGATACCGGCAGCACATTGAATCGGAACCAGTTGAGGTTCGAGTTTTCGAAAAATATGCCACAGCAGGAAGAACATACAGTGTGATGAGCGATGCTCCTTGTACCCAGGACAAACAAATTGAGATGCTGGGCATTGGAATCAATCCCACTCGAGCGAAAAATATGGTTTTTGTGGACCTGTGCTTTGTACCTGAATACGAAAACCAGGCGAAGAAGCGCATTAATAAGTGGGGGCCGAAGGCATCGATGACGTTCACTGGATAGCATACATCAGCCTGTCATGAAATGTCGGCTGTGAGGCTCACACGCGGTATGAAGTCGATCTAGCTTTTCATTTACTGATCCTCTTTTCACGCGACCGAGGTGCCAAAAAAAAGGCAATTCCGACACAACGGAAAACAATTAGAGGACTTCGTGCTTCCTCCCCCTGCGGGTTTCACCATGCCCGTCCCTGTTGCTACAACCCCCTCACAGTGGCCACCTCTGGGCAGCTTTTGCGGCAAATCTTTCAAGTGGTTGACACCTACACCGTGCTCCCCTTGCGCCGCGGCGGCAAAGACGTTAAATGGGTGAAGGTCCGACTTACTGCCATGGACCACCGTGCCCTGAATGAAATGTGCAAGAGCGCACAACAGAGGACCGTCGCCATTTTACATCGAATACCATCGAAAGACTCTATGACCATACCTAGATTCCTGAACAGTTGTGGAATCAACTTGAATGAGTTCGAGGAGCCATCAGGTGCAAGCAGTGGTTCCAAGAGTCCGAACGTCTCAAGGGCAAAGCGAGAAAGCTGCCCAGACGCCCGAATGCATTGCGGTTCCAATTCGTTATCCAGCAGCCCAGTACCTTGCAAGGTTATTGTTCGCCTTGGGCGGGCCGTTGAATATCGCCATGAGAATTCTAAACCACTTCAGAGCATGACGCTTGGAGAGCAATCAGTCTTCAACGTGAAGAATCATGCAAAATGCATCTGCTCTGCAACCTGAAATCATCGACATGCATGAACCAGCTTGAACAGAATGTTGGATTTGTGTGTGCTGGCAACAAATCTAGAGCTCAACGGCTCCAACATATTCAAGTGCACTGATCAGCAGCAAGCAGATGTGGAGCTTCGACCGAAAAATGCTTCGAGATAATGCAGCCAGACACTTTTCTCAATGAGAGCACGCGTGCTTGGCACGCACAAATGTCTGCACTATAGCCTTACAAGAGGGGATTGATCAGACGATCTCACTGTTCAGGGGATCCAGGGCCGAACCAGTTGGGGGTGTGAAGCCATACATTGTTCGTTGGAACAGTCAACGGATCTTTCGGAGACGGTCGATGTCTTCGTCCAGAAATCCAGCTCCCAACTGAGGGAACACGCCCAAGTGAGAGTCTCAGTCAACTTCGAGCGCACTGAGTCTCATCTGTTCATTTTGAACGGATGCAAGACATACGCGAGATACCTGGACCATGCTGACGATGTAATAAAACCCTGTTGCTTACTGTCCGAAGAGTAACTGACACTTAGTACAGTTCGATCGCATTGTGGCTTGGTTAGAAAAAGTAATCAGCATGTCTCCACTCCCTGGGCATGCTGTAAGACTCCAGATCATGGTCACAGTGGCTTCTCGGACAAGAGGGCCTGCGGCAAGGGCAAGGGAAGTGCATGCCGCTGCAAGGGCTGTGACCGGCAGCTCTTCCGAGCCGCAGTCAAATCCTGCCGGCACTGCGAAGCTAGATAGAATGCATCAAATACGGCCATGCAGCTGATCAATGGACCTCAGTTGCTTTTACAGAAAGCAACAGCCCAAAGGCTGCTTCTACAGCACATGTCTGACGACCTTATTCTATGATTAGGCGGAGTCCTGGACTGGAGCTGCGAGGCTTCGGAAAGGCGAGGAAAACGTCAACTTCGGTCTGGTCACTTTGCGCATTGCTCGCATGCATCTGATCTCCAATGTGTAGCGATGGTGGTCAGCCAAGAGAATACGATTCAAGATGTATAGTGAGTTGAGTTTGACTTAGATTCTGTACGAACCCGCGCGATGCAGTTCTTAGGGCCTATGCAGAGATCCGGCGATCATGTCAGGGGCCCGCATGAACACCAAGGCTTTACTGTATCCTTGCGACCTTGCTAACTAGACGGTTCTGGAACCCAGAAATCATGCAGACATAGAACCGCTCAGCTTTCAGGATAGCAAGTCAAACGTTACTCGACTTCCTGACAAGCATCGGTGGGTTGTAGTTGGCTACATTGACGCTGACTACGGCGGTTGCTTGGATACACACCGTTCGACTACTGGATACGTCTTTGCATAAGTGAACGGTCCGATCTCTTAGTCATTACGCCTATAGACTTGCGTCACGGCGTCAATGCATAAAGCCGAATACATAGCGCTTCATACCGCGAGCAAGAAAGCCTGCTGGCTCATCTACATGCTTAAAAATCTCGGTTTCCAAAGTGCACACCTGATAACCATTTACATTGACAATAAAGGCGCAATCGCATTGGCGCAGAACAACCAGTTCCACCGGAGGACCATGCATATCAATATTACATATCATTGGATTCATCAAGCTATTCAACGCGGCGGTATACACTTAGAATACGTTAAATTCCTAGAGAACCTCGCGGACTTGTCTACCAAGCCACGGAGCCCTGCAAGGGGGTGTATCGGCGCGTGTGGCCTTATATCGCTGAATCACATAACGCGGAAATATAAAAACACCATATAGCCGTGGCGAGTTCCTTCCTCAGTTAATAATTCAACCAATTCAACGAATTTGTATTGCCTCAGTTCTTTTGCCCTTGATATCGTATCCTCCAACAAGTTCTCGTGGGAGGATGCCCTGGGTATAAAGTACAGTATTTGCATGCTAGGCGAGCCCCCTCCCTCTTACCCAAAATTGACAGCCCTAAGAGGTACTGTACAGTACAGCCATTATCAATATATACACAAATCTCCAACCAACCCAAGCAGGAATCTCCCCTATGACCAGTCCCCCCTCTACCCGCTAACCCCCTTGCATCGACCGTGCTATCAAGCATCATGCAGGGAAATCAATAAAGTGGCAGATCATCCCGCACCAGCAAGAATATCACCTCCTCTTCCGTCCTCCCACCTCCCACCCCCGTATCATCCTCTGCCTCTGCCTCTACAACAACCCCATAAAACCCACCCATCCCCAGCACTGACCCTGCTACCTCCCCTCACCACACCCTCTTAACCTTCCACCCTCTAATCCCCGAAAATGCGCCTCCCACTCCCTGGCCCAACAACCCTCACCCTCCTCCTCCTCACAACCCTCCACCCCCCGACAACAAAAGCATGCACCCCACCCCCCGACCCAACCCCCGAATACCTCCTCACGCGCGCGCCCTGCACCACGGACGCCACCTGCCAGACCACAACAACCACAACCACACCCCCGAGCACCGAATTCTGCTTCCACCCAGCCAACCGCTGCCTCCCGCGCCTCGCCGCAGGGACATGCTGCACGACCGACGCCGAATGCACGGCCAACTACTGCCAGGCCGGGAGCTGCGCGCTGACGCAGACGGGGAAACCCTGCACGCAGGGATCCGACTGCAGGACCGACGATACCGATCCGCAACAACGATGGGTGTGTGCGCCGCAGACGAACACCTGTCTCCCCGGGGTGCTGGGCCTCGGGGCCCCGTGTCGCGTCGACGAGCAGTGCGGGTTCGGGCTTTGTGCGGCGGGAATTTGTGCGCGGCCTGCAGGGGAGTACGGGGCGGTTTGTCGGCAGACTCAAGAGTGTGCGGCGGGGCTGGTCTGCGCGTATAGTCTGTTTAGTGAGGATCGCGCCACGAAAATGTGTCAGGCGGCGCCGGGGCCAGGGGCGTATGGGGCGCCGTGTGCGGGCGATGGGGATTGTGTGTCGGGGAGTTGTGGGGTGAATGGGGAGTTGGTCTGCGGGGAGCCGAGGGTGTGTAAGGAGGAAGGCGAGGGCTGTTGGCGCGATGCCGATTGTTGTCGGGGTGGGTGTCGGTTTGGGAGGTTGTGGGTTTGGAGGACTTGTGAGGTTTAACTTGAGGATTTAATTTGTCAACCAGCTAGGCTATAGCAGAATGTCATATTAAACAAAAGCACTAGATACCAAACCTTCGTAATCCAAGAACGAGACAGAAGCTTAATGTAAGTTCAACCGCGCCAAACTGTCCTCCAAGTCCGCCGCACGCGTCACGCCTTCGGTAGCGATATGATTCTGTCCACCGACGGGCTCCCCACACTCGGAACATACGGCCCTCTCCATCGCCATGCCGCACTCCCCAATCGTGAAGGGATGGCCATTGCGACGGTAGTACCAATGCCCCGTGCCACGGAACTCCTGCGCCATGGCAGTAATGACCGCCATGCGTTCGTCGTTGGTCACGGGAGTATAGAACTTCGCACCGAGAAGCATCCTCTCGACACCGTGGACTTCGTCCATCATGCCACGGGTCTGAGCAGGCCAGGAGGTGCAGAGGGTCCTGGCGTGATTGAGGGCTTCCTGGGCATGGGCCATGTGTCGCTCTACCAACTCAGGCGAGGCTGCATACGATCGCTCAAAGCCATGGAGCTGGGCGAGGAAGATATATCCCTCCGTCTGGTGAACAATGTGATTCGAAAGTTCCGCTGTCTTCACGAGAGCCTTGCATTGGTCGCGATTCTTCGACAAATCCATCTCAACCGCACTACGGGTCTGTTTCGGGGCCTCGCGATGAAGTCTGAGAAAGTCAGCGAGCAAGGCGATATCCAGACGCAAATTGAGCGCGGTGGCTTGAGCCGACCCCTTCAGCTGAAGGATATCGTCCTCAGGCTCAAAACTCTCAGTGGCTTCCTTTCGACGACGAGCGATTTCAACCAAGTTGCGTACTTTACTGTACTGCTGCTCCTCGGGCGTTACTTGCTTCATATATCTCTTGATTGCTTGCCGTAGATCGAGAATGTACCGCCATCGTCTCTTGCTGGCTTGAGAAAGTATATTGCACATCGTAGCAAGTCGGCCTTCGCACTTGCCCGCGATCTTGACAGTGGCCGGCCAGACAATAGGTTGTTCATTTGTCAATTCCTGGAGCTGTCGTATGCATCGAGGGAGGGTCTGCGCTAGTGGGACGAATTCGCGATTCATGTACAATATTAACCTTTTTGTCGATTCATCCAAGAGAGCACGGCGGACCAACCGTCCGTATCGGGCGATATCTCTCAGGGGCCCAGGGCAGCTGGCGCACGTCTTGATGTCGTCCATGGAGAACGGCTCCATTGCTGCGGCAATACCAATTGGCTTCTCCCTTCCGTCAAGAATGTAGTATTTCTTCATGTCCATCTGGGCATCCATATTCTCAACTGTCAAGAAGTGCCACAACGAGGAAAGACGCATGGGTTCTCGTCGAGGTTGATGTCCCGGTAGGTCTCTCCAAGGATAAAGTCAACCATGTGATTCTGGATTTCATCATCCCCACATACTTGACAATATCGCGCAAGCGGGCAAATCTCCCCACAAATGGACGGGCATTGATGCCCGCACGCTAGAAATTGATCACACCTCTTCGAGCATGGGACATGGTCGCATGGAGCAGCACAGGGCATTGTGCAACGACTGTGAGGGCAGGCAGACAGGCAGATCTCTACGACGCAAGGAGTGCATGAATCCGAGCATTTATTGTCGCATCTAGAATGACCACAGCGAATATCACAGGCTGATTGACAAGGTGGACACACTGCTGCTGATCCATGACACGGCGTCTTGCATCTATGAGCGCAAGTAGATTGGTTTCTGCCACACTCCTGTTTGCAAATGCCATGATCGGTCTGAGTTTCGGCCGTATCACTTCTGGTGACACACTTGACACAAGGATGCTTACACAAGTGGCCACAGGTTAATGGGGTCCGACATTGAGCAGTACATTTGTAATGTGGAGCGGTGACATCAACATGGCATGCCACGGTAATATCATTTCTGCAGCCAGGAACGGTCTTCTTGAGCAGCACAGCGCACCGGACTGTTGACAAGTCCTGACTTTGCTAGCATGGAAGATTAGGCATCAAATGGTCGCAGTCGAGCTGCCTATTCTTCTGGAAGACATTCGTCATGCATTTGGGTGGGGATTGATCGCCGCACTTCTGGGGACAGGGATGAGAACATCCTCGAAGTGGTCTTTGACAAGGTTCCAGGCAGTATACCGCATTATGTAGGATTTCAGAATGACACTTTTGCACGCATGCATGGCCACATGGCATACGCCTTTCACATCGCAGATTGCATCCTCCTTCGGGTGAGAGACGTGGGAAGTCGCTTGGTTCGCAGACGGTTATCTCACTCTCCGGGTGCCGTGGGCACTGTAGCTCTAATCTGGTGCGAATGTTCCCGTTCTCCTCGAGCATTTCAAGAACATCAGCCCACATGGGAACATGCGTCGACGTCATAGAGTTGCCAATGATGTACATGCCATGTTTAGCTCGAGAAAGAAGGACATTGACTCGATTCGGCGTCCGGAGAAAGCTACAATGAGTCTGCGGATTGCTGCGGACCAGTGAGATGACAACCACGCTCGCCTCCTCGCCCTGGAAATTATCAATTGTAGCAACCCGTACGCTCTCCAACAGAGCTGACCTTACTCCAGTACAGTTCGAAGTCGGGTCATCGTCAAAGCCAGCCTTATTGAGGTCATCCTCATCATGGTCCCCCAGAGCGATCGTATACAACTGGCCGAGTCTGCGTCGTAGTTTGTGAAGCTGACCAAGGTAAGGCGTGATAACAGCAATATCATCACTCCTGTACTTCCCCTGCCGTAAGAGGTGACTGACATGGGCTGTAGTCATCTCAACTTCATAGTCGTTCCATTTGGATGTGGCTGTTGCATCCTCAATTGACGGATCGGCCTCTGGTACACGGTTATCTAACCACAATAATCGCTTTCGAAGCCCAGCAACGCCAGGATATACATCCACAGATAGTGCGTCTTGGAGCTGCGGATATAATGTGCCACGTACAAGCTGGGCGATGGATGGATGCATACGCCGCTGCGTATTCAAAGTACTGAATGGCAGGTTGGCATCCATAGGGCTCTCTGTATCGACAAGGCATTCGAAGAGAGATACATCCAGGCCATACTTTTCGCCACCATTCTTGTTCTCGCGCGATATTTCATAATTCTGTACTTGGGGCCGGAGCTGGAGACGATCACCAATGAGGATTGCATTTTCGACCGATAGCAAAAGAGTGGTAAGGACATGAGCTTCAAGAACCTCTCCTGCCTCTTCGGATAGCACAACCTTGGACTTCAGCCTCCGGAGCATATCGAGATTTCGAGCCAAACCACTCGTTTTAACGCCAACAATATCAGCCTGAGCGAGACATCGCAGATCAACTTCACTGCGAATGTTGTCAAGCTCACGTTTGGCAGTGTGATGTGACCCGCAAATTTTTATCAATTGCTCTTCCATTTCGCTCCGTATGTCCATCTGCCAATGTTGGTACAAAGCTTGTCGTTCAAAGTGTGACATCTGCGTTAGTTTGACCGAAGTCATTTCTTCGACCTTTCGAACATGGTTGGTGTCGGCCTTCCCACCGGAAAAGCGCCAACGATTTAAGACTTTCTTGCAGTTCTTGCCCTCTTGATGTTTGAAGCCGTCCTCACCTGTACCGAAAAGCTGGTTATAATGATCCGTATGGTGATCGCACAAGTGATGCATTAGTCAAGCAGGTGTGATTCTGTGTCAATTCTATGTTCTTGAAGTCACGAGCACAGTCTTCTAGAGAACGATGAGACTCCCACTGACCTCTCTTTTCAAACTTCGTCTTGTCAAATTTTCTCGCGAGTGTCCGTAGTTGAAAGAGCTCCATACATTCAGCTTTGGACCGCGAACCGATTCGAACGATTTGCTCGGTGACTTTGCCTTCAAGTAGGGAACCCAAAAGTTGGTCAAGAGCATGATTGGTGTATGTTACACATAAGTTCGGTCCTGAGTCTGCCATATCAGGGCCCTTATTTGCAAGAAGGACCTTGATAATAGCAACACCTGTATAGCTCTTGCCAGTTCCTGGTGGTCCTTGAATCAATCCAAGTCTTCGCTGAAGAGCATCGACAAGGGTAGTCGCCTGTGCATCGTCGAGGCTGGAATGCTGACGCAGAGTTTGTAGGTCGGCTGGCTGATCGGGGTAAACATACAACTCTCTATCTTCATTTGTCAAGCATCGGAGATCGAACCGGAAGCCGGGCTTTAGGGCATAGAGCGGGGGGGACACTGTATTGGGCTCTGAGGTACTAGGACGAGGAGGAATAATCAGGCCAGACAGGGGCAAATTCGCGGTCCGCTTTAATTGGAGTGCTCGTAAAGTCGGCTCAAACGCTGGGAGAAGGACACCAGGAAACTCCACCAGAGCGGAGCACGGTTCTTGCTCGGTGTATTGTCTAAGGAGACTCTGGATATTCTTGTTTCTCCCGTCGGTCAGCTCCACAGTAATGCGTGCAACTTGGGGATCTTCCGATAGAGAGCGCAAATGATTCTTCTCTCGTCGCTGCTTTCTAGCGCCGTGTCCTTGTGCCATATTCACTGGCTGCTGCTGCTGCTGCTGAACGACGGTACAGAAAAGTACAAAATTCGTTCTTGCTATGAGGCATACTAAAGCACCTGGCTGCAAGCGTTTAGACATTTTCCACCATTCTTCGCGCTTCGTAGCCGTCATTGAAGCGACATTGGCAGGCTGATAAAAGCCAACCTCAAATTGTACACCGGATGTTGAGTGGAACTCGACACTAAGGATTCTCACATCGTGGTATACATTTCTGCGTTGTTGACTCTTACCTCTCTGGGATTGTCCCGAAAGTCTGAACTCTGAATGGATAGCATCGCGGAGAAGACCAATGGTATCCTCTCGCAACAAACGGAAGTTGCGATCCAAGAGCCCTTCAAGACCACGTACATGCCACTGTGAAGGATCATAGAGGTGAAGGTACTCGTTTCGCATACTCAAGATCTCTTGGTAGCTGGGCACGATGCGAGCCTGACAGATATCTGCATGGTCATTGTCATGGCGGCCCCCAGGTGGCTCGCACTTACTGACAAAGTTCCCACGATCAATAGCAGAACCTTGAGAATTATTCTCTACGATGCTGGGAAGAGAACTACCGATCTCGAACCGTCGCAGTAGGCGTTCTAAGTGCACTTGAGATTGACGGTGTAAAGAGGCCTCCGAATAGCTGCTCGTCCAGGCGAGAAAGATCTCCTCGAATCCTTTAGCAACCGTTCTGAGATAGTCTTGAACAAGTGCCTCCGATTTGAGCTCGACCATCTGAGAGAAGACCGAAAGAGTAACCTCCAACCAGGATGCAGTGGTTTCATCCTTTACACGTTTGTTCAAGACGTCTGAGACGTAGGCAAAAAGTCGTGATGCACTGGCACCCCCTCTGCCGTATAGCAAGTTGTAGATGGTTCCAACTGCTTGCTCGAGGACTGGAGAAGATAGCACCTCTGGGTGGGAAATGACTTCGAAGAATGGGATGGCCTGGGCTCTGAGAATTTGTTTCTGTCCGAAGCCATCCAAGCCTTCGAAGGTCTGGTCGAGCATTTTCTTGATACATCTCGAACCACTCTCAGTGCTAAGGGTTTGTATGACGGACTGCCGCATGCCAACATCAATGTCAATAAGTCGTCGTGCCTCTCGGAAGACAGAGCTCAACTGAGAGGCTGTGCTAATGATATCAACGTTTCTTTTCCATGCTCGAAAGTCTCTCTCTGAGTTCGATAGACGAGGATATGATGATCTGTTACGGGCTGCTGGTCTGGGGAAAGAACTCGCTTGGTCGTTTTGCACGTGGGCGTATCGGCAGCTCCTTCTGTTGCAGTTTCCGTTGTTCGCAAACTCGTAACATATCCTAGATGAAATAGGGTTGTCAGGTCAGGAGACATGAAGGAAGTGTGAGGGACAACTGACCCTGGAGTCATGGTCACTGAACACGGAATATATTGATGATATGATCGTAATGATGTCAAACGAGTGAGCGCGTAGAGATAGTTCTCGAAATGTTTTCTTGCCGTCTCGTGAAAGAGAGGTTATCCAAAAGAGGTTTGGCTGAGTATCAGAAAGTAAGAAGGAAAGTGAAGATAATATTCCAATTTGGTTGATGATATACCAAATTGCCTTGTGAAGCTGGAACGGAGAAGAATGAATGACGGTCCGCAGAAGTACCTTTGTGAATTTTCAGGATGATCAATAGACACTCACCCAGCCCACAGACTTGATGGGTAAGCGATGACTGATTCCTCAGCCCGTATCACAGTTTTGATAGTGAAGATAGTGTTTAGACGATGGTGGAACAGACACAGTCGAGCAGGATATGTGTTGGGCAGGATCGCAAACGAGACGCAAACGCAACGGTGAGTTGATGAGGTTGATGAGAAAAGGGGGAGATTACGTTAGTGGACAGCGTGACGTCCTTCGCTCTTTCCCGACACACACATCATAGTTTGCTAAGGGGTCGGACGGATTGGTGTGTCGGTTGTTGGCTTGCTGAAGTTCAGCAACAGGAAAGGAACAAATTCATGAAGAACACATAAATTAAAGTCTAAACTCCGGAGCATTTCAGGAAGGAAAGTAATGATAATTTTCAATCGCAAACCCAAGCCCAAGTTCGTTTTGTGCCCACATATAAGTAAACCCGGAAGCATGAAACATGAAAGCCGAAGAGATATGATACCTAACCCAATCGTGCCATTGAAACAGTGCCAGACAGTACAAGGCGAATCTGCAATCCACTCACTTACCCCTTTACTCGTCGCCAACCTCCTCCACTCGAGGCGCCAAGTCGCGCTTGACAGTGCTGGAAGTATCGGGTGCTTCGGTTGCCGTCGTGGATGCTGCCGGAGCTGCGTCGGTAGCGGGGTCGGTAGCAGGTTCCGTGGCCTCCCCAGCCACAGCCTTCTTCGACTTCGACTTCTTCTTCTTCTTATTCTGTCGAGTGTGTCAGCTTTTGTCCCAGACCAGGAGAAAACCATATACATACCTCTTGCCATCCCCACAAGGGCTTGAAACTATCCACGAAGCCGACATCTTCAAAGAGGTTGGGGAAAAGCCAGAGACCAGGCGGCACCGCAAAGACAGTGATGCAGAACAAGATGAGACGGAAGATCGACATGGCGAAGAACAATCCCAGCAGACCCATCATGCCGACACTCAAGTACCAGACTCCCTGTCGCAGCATCATAGGCCATAGGGGGAACAACACGACGGCAAAGATACCCGCCACAACGGCACCGGCCATCAACTTCTGCTTCAACTGAGGTCCCTCGTACAGCCAAACGTAGTGCATCATGGGGTTGGTTTCCTGGTGCTGCTCGATCTTGACCGTCCACAGCCCCTTGACACGGTTCTTGGGCTTGGCGTGGTTGTGGCCGGCGTGGGGATCGACCTTGGAGACTCGGAGAGCCAGAAGAGACAGGGGCAGAAGCTTGAAGACGTTCTCAGCGGAAGCACGGTCGGTCACTGGCGGGAGGAGGGAGTTCTTCTTGGCGGCAGCTTTAGCATAGGCGGGGGACTCGAGGGCGCGAATAGCGCGTTTCACTGGAGAACTGCATCAGCACCACTGTTATCAGACGAGCTACCAGATTGTCAAACCTTTGAACATCTCCTTCCGTTGACCGTCCATGATACATGTCCGCGTCTTGAGGTTCTGCGACTGCAGGAACTGCGCCACTGCGATCGCCTTCGGGTCGGGAGGATTGGACGGGTTGACGGGAACTTGACGAGTGGTCTGCTGGGGCTGAGGTTGTTGAGGTGCTGGGAGATTCTGGCCGGGCTGACCGGGCTGGCTGGGCGGTTGAGCTCCCTGAGCTCCCTGAGCTTGTGCTTGGGCCTGGGCCCGGGCTTGAGCCTGAGCCTGGGCGATCTGTTGCTGGTGTGCGGCGATGGCGCGCGCTCGGAGCTGCGCGACATATTGTTCGGTGCTCATATTGTGCTTAGCAGCCTCTGCAGCAAGTTGTTCGCGCTGCTGTTGGGCGAACTGTTCCGGAGTCATTCCGCGTCTGGCAGCCTCAGCAGCGAACTGCTGCTGCATGGCCGCGATCTGCTGGGGGGATGGCCCACCGGGCGCCGCCATAGTGAGCGATGGATGTGTAGATCGAACTAGCTGAGAACAGAAAAGATCATGCGACGTTTGCAAGAAAGCGCCTGCGTTCTTTCAAGCTTACGAGGAGCACGCCGAAAGACGAGGAAGAGTTGGGGCGGGTGGAAAAGGGCGGGATGAGATGAGTTCAAGGGTGAGATGTGAAGTGCAGTCGAGTGCGGTGGAAGCAAAGAAAGAAGAGGCCAGATGGTGTTTGGGCCGGGCTCCGAGTCACCCACCGCCTTCTTCTCCGCACTCGGCCGGCCGGAGCTTTTCCTCCTCCCCCTCTTCCGTGCCCTTCCTCTTCGTCCCTTCTCCACTGCCTGCCTCAACTCATGCTGTATCGCATGTAGCTCCCAATCCAACGGTCATGCCGACTTTTCCATCGCGCAATCAGCCTCTCCGCTGTCTGCGGCTTGTAGTCACGCATCAATGAAGTTCGATCCCGATATCATTCTCAATGCGACGCAGTCGGCTGTCTTCCTGGTGAGTTTGCGACAAAACTCCACCTTAGCACAGATCACACCACTAATGTCGCATAGAGCGAACGAGACGTCGCCGGCCAGATTCCGCTGAATTTCGTCACCACCTCGTCCGTCTCGCTGCGCGCAGCATGCTTCGGCAACAATATCTATGACGAAGACGCGGCGGGGCGATGCATCTCGAACCTGCTCACGGTCGGATATCGTCGCCTGATCGTGGACCTGTACTGGTCGCCCGACGAACGCAAATGGCAGCTATGCCCGGTCTCGATACCCCAGGACGCGACGGTGGTCAGTGTCTCCGGGACCGCGACCGAAACCGCGACCGCGACCGCGACCAACGCAGCGCAAGCGACCGTCACCGCGACGGCTAGTTCCTCGGGGTCGCTGCTGTACGAGCTCGGCTCCTACCGGTGCACCACCAAGGTCGACCTGGACGGGCTGATCGACGTGCTCCGGGGCCTCTTCCAGCGCACCAGCACCGAGCTGACGGCCTACATCCGCTTCGTCACCTTCAACCTGCACGCCGCCGCCAGCGCCAGCAACCCAGACGAAGCCGCCGCGGCGCTGACCGGCGACCAACTGCCCACGGGCTCGGACACGCTCACCTCGATCTTCGACCACCAGCTCTCCTCGTACGTCTACACCCCGTCGGAGCTGGCCTCGGAGCGCGCCAACCTCAACGAATCCTGGTACGAGGTCGACGACAGCTACAAGCCGATCACGGAGTACTTCACGGTGGACTCGGACGCCAAGGGCATCCAGAGCACGCCGGACGGATGGCCGTGCGGGAAGTTCGTGCAGCTGGCGCGCGAGAAGCGGCTGCTGGTGGAGTACGGCACCGTCGACCCGCAGCTGGAGGGGTACGAGCTGTCGGCGGCGCACAGCCTGATCTTCCCGGCGCACTACCTGTCCTCGACGATCTCGATCGCCGTCGACGCGGCGGGCCAGCTCGACTCAACCTGCTACTACGTGCCGGGCGCCACCAGCGTCGCCGAGGCCAACTCCTCCTGGGCGATCTCCGACTACATCCCGGTGCTTGGCGAAACCTCGCGGAACGCCACCATCCAAGAGATGTCAGCGGTCTCCGTGAACCTGACAGCGTGCGGCCTGACCCCGTCACTGAACGACACGCTCTTCAACACCACCGCCGCGAACACCATCGCGCCCTACGAGCAGCTCTCGATGGCCAGCTCCTGGGCCTGGTCGATCAGCCAACCCGCCGACACCTCCTCCTCCACCACAGACTCCGATGCATCCTCCGACTCCTCCTCCACCTCCTCCACAAACAACAACCACTGCGCCGTGATGGACCTGACCCTAGCCGGCCACTGGCGCGCCGTCAACTGCAGCCTCACGCGCCACGCCGCCTGCCGCGTCGGCACCGCCCCGTTCACCTGGCGCCTGTCGGCGACGGCGCACGCCTTCGCCGACGCCTACGACCACGCCTGCCCGCCCAACACCTCGCTGTCGATCCCGCGCACCGGCGTCGAGAACTCATTCCTGTACCACTACCTCCTCACGCAGTCCGACGTCCTCGACCCCGCCGCCACATCGTCGCCCAGTAGCACACACGAGGTCTGGCTGGATCTCAACTCCCTCGACGTCACCTCCTGCTGGGTGACGGGCGGGCCCGACGCCTCGTGTCCGTACGCGGCCGACCCCGGCGAGCTGGAGCGCCGCACCGTGCTCGTCGCCGCCATTGCCGGCATCGTCATCTGCATCATCGCCGCGTTGACGCTCTTCGTGAAATGTAACGCGAACCGCCGCAATTCCCGCCGGAATAAGCGCGTCATCAAGGGGTGGGAATATGAGGGGGTCCCTTCTTGACATGCTCGAATGATTCCCCTATATCTCAAGGCGGGGGAGGGTAGCGATACTTTGAATATTTGCTTAAACCTTGAAGTAACCTGTACATATTCGTTGCTTTTGTTTTGTCTTCTGCTTGTACATTTTCATTGCTGATATTGTCAACTGTACATATTTGTATCACGGATTCAAGATACCTGATTGATATGTTCTTCTGTCCCATTTTTGTTCGTGCTGGAATCCAGCTAGTATGGACGTCTGTACACTACTTACAATACACAACACAAGGAGTAACGGAGTATCACAGCTGACCGTAAAATCCATCAAAGCAAAGCAAATTAACCAATCATAATCCACATAGATCATCATAATCCATCCAAATCAATAGCCCGTCGAGTCATGAAGAAAATAATCACAAGGAAACCTTCCCGTAAACACAAATGAATACAAGCCACACCACGGCACAAGATACATCCCCTATATCATCGAGCCTACAGCCCGGCGAACCGCGCCCATCCGGCCGCACGGACGGGCTTGGCATTCTCGTCACCGCGCGCGGGACTACTGCTCTCCGATCCCGGCTTCTTGCTCGTCTCCGCCCGGCCTTCCTCCGCGATCTTCCCGCTGACGTCGCGACGTCTGCCAACCCCAACGACGCCCAAACCGGCAAGGTAGTTCCCATAGGACATCGACGAGGCAGAGTTGGCAGTCGCAGCGGGATGCGACTCCGTGGCCGTGCGACCAAAGTCCGCGCCGGAGTTGCTGACCACGCGACCCTTGCGATCGCCTGCCAAAGTCCCGGGGTCGGCCTGCAGGTAGTCGTTGTCGTCGTCATCGTGCTGCTTCAGTGCACCGTACGCGCTGCGCTTCTGGTTTCGATTCATGGTGAATTTACCGAGTTTCTGTCCCAGACTGGCCTTGCGCGTCACGTTGTTGCTGCCGCTGTCGTTGCCTCCGCCTGCCCGAGATACGTCTCCGTAGAAGGTCTTGCCCTTCTTCGGGGTTGGGTCGGTAGAGATTGCCTCTGAGGGTTGTTGCGGGTTAGGGGATAGGTTTGGAATGTCGGTCAACGCCATACGGCCGCTGCTGTTGCTTGGCGAACGGGTGACGCTGCGGATACCGTTGAGTCTGGGCTGCGGGGTCGGAGGGTTCAAGGCAAGGGGATTGACGCGCAGTGAGTTGCGAGTTTCTTCGTCAAGGTATTCGTGTTCATGGTCGCTGTCTTGAAAGATGTCGATCCGGTTGTCGCCAATGTCTTGTTCAGCGTTATCGTAAAACCCAGTTCGGTACAGGAAATCGTGAACGTCGTCGTCATTGTTGTGGCTGTAGTACTCGTTGGCTGCAATCGACTCATACTCGCCGCGAACATCTTCTGTGATGGCTTGTCCAACGGGCTGACCCTGTCGCTGCGAGCCGTTAAACCAATCCATGACCCCGTTTTTGGCCGACGTCAGAGTCTCGGCGGCACTGTATGCGGAGGATGGTTCACGAGGAGCTGGGTGCTGAGTCTCTGCCTCAACAGGGGTCCCAGAGCGAGATGGGTATACGATCCAGTTATCCGAAGCAGGACTTGCGCATTGGGACCGGGGAGGCATAGCAGGCGACGGCTTGCGGACTGGGGAGCCATGGGAGATTGTTGTGGTTGGTCGATTGAAAATATCGGGATTCTCGATTGGCGAGTTGATAGTGATGTCGTCCGGAATATCATTAGGCTGCTGGAATGGCAGCTGAGGGATCGACTCGGCCCGCGACATGCGCTGATTGGACTGCGAATATTGAGAATGTCTCTTGTCGGAAACACTGGGAGGATAGCGGCTCAAGCCATCGAGGTACGAGTTCTCGCGGGTGTGGACGAAAGGCATTTTGCGAGCATCGATCAATGGATCTTCACTTGAACCAAGGTCGGTATCCAGAGTGGACAAACTAGCATGCTTCTCTTTGATACTCTGTCTGCTGCGACTCATTGGGCGCGCAGTGAGATTGTCTTCCAGTGGGTTCATGTCCGGAGGCAAACGGTGGATCTGACGGAAGATTATGCCCAAGAAGATGCAGATCCCAAGGGATATAGCATGCAACCCTCCGTTGACGACACTCAGCAGAAACGTGGATTCGGCGATCTTGGCCGTCACATCAAACTCAGAACTCAGCATCGTGGTCCAGTTCCAGGCGGTATCAGTCCACTGCCTGTAGCCCAGAAATGCCGCAAAGACGTAGAACGGAACTAATCCCAGATCTAAAGTTCCAGCGAACAGCATGTAGCTGGCTTGGGAACCAGGAGGCCTGCTGATCGCAGACCGACTCAAATGCCAGACGCTGTATATGTTATGCAGAATCGCCACAGCGGGCTAGAGAGCGATCAGTACCTGTCCACTCCTCACGTTCAGATGCAGCACTTACCCCCACTCGCACGATCCAGATGATGGTGTTTGCTGCTTTCTTGATGACAATTGAGCAGAACAACGATCCCAGCGCACCGATCAAGGCGAGAACTCGCAGTCCCAGTTGCACCTTTCTTCCGTAGATTACTCTACTCTTTGTGTGGGGGCTCATTGGAGTCCATCGCGTCCGATCGGGAACATTGTAGTACTAGAAGTCATGAGCATGAATAAACAGACGACGCGGAAGATCGGTAGTGGTGATGCTTACCGAGTCCGGGTGCCGATTGAGATCAACCAAAGGGCCTTTGACTTCCGCCCTCGGCTCGGGTTGAGCCCAGCTTGCTTCCGTTACGGCCTTGGGGTTGAAGGTTTGGCTGTAGAACCGTGGCGAAGCTGTATGCTGGCGGATGGGGCGATCATACAAATATGGAGGGTCGGACTCGCCCATGTTCGCGATGGATGACGACGACGCCGCGAACTAAGGACTAGAGCATTGACCCACGCGATAGGCGGGGTGGAGAGCAGAGAATGGAGGAATGTGGACTGTGGAATGCGAATTCTGCGATAAGCTTAAAAGAAAGAAGGAATACCCGTCGCAACCACCAGAAAGAGGCTCACGAGGGGAGGAATAGGAAGGGAACGACAGTAATGACAGCGGGAGGGAGAATGTAGGAACCGTGGAACGGGGAGGAGGAATGGGAAGAGCAGAAAGAGATGGGAAGTGGAGGGGAGGGGAAGCAAGCGCGCACCTGCAGGGCTGGCACCTGCAGCAAAGCAAGCAGGCTGCGTCTGTCATCATCCATCACACTCCAACCATCGTCCACCATCTTTCAGGTTCCTTCATTTCCATGGTTTGCGACCCGATCGTCAACAACACGCCCGATTGTCGGCCCGGCAACGGATGTGATGAGCTATCACGTGATGCGATGTCATCGGACCCTGCAAGTGGCTTGCCCGTGGCTCTTCCGCCTTTCCCCCGGAATGATTCATTCTCTTCCCCTCAGCCACGATGCATCTCCAACGTGCCCCGTATGTCTGCGCTCAATGCACCGCGCAGATCACTCGCTCCTCGAGGGGCTCCTTGACACGCTCTCGGCGAGCTCACTTCATCAAACAAACACGTCAATACAGCCAAGTCGTGCAGAATGAGACACCCTTTCGCGTCGCCGTCATAGGCTCGGGTCCGGCCGGCTTCTACGCTGCCTATCGCCTGCTCGCCAAGGTGGATGAAGCAGTGGTCGATATGTACGAGAAGCTGCCCGTCCCGTTTGGCCTGGCCCGATATGGAGTTGCCCCTGATCATCCCGAGGTTAAGGTACGTTCTGACATCGCGACCGATATTGCGACCGAGCATTGACTCGAACCCATGACTTACATGCCGACCGTCCAATTCAGAACTGCGAGGATAAATTTACCGAGGTCGCGACATCCCCGCGATTCAACTTCATTGGCAACATCGAACTCGGCACGTCTCTTCCTCTGAGTGCGCTCCAGCCCCACTACGACGCCATTCTTTTCGCATACGGCGCACCCAAGGACAAAGAGCTCGGCATTCCCGGTGAGAAAGCCGCTCGGAACGTCTACTCGGCGCGAGAATTTGTCGGATGGTATAATGGCCTCCCCGAGCATCGGGATTTGGCTCCGGACTTGACCACCGGGGAGAATGCTGTCATCGTAGGACAGGGCAACGTGGCTCTGGACGTGGCCAGGATCCTGCTGTCGGATATCGATGTCTTGCGCAAGACGGACATCGCGGAGTATGCAGTGGAGGAGCTACTTAGAAGCAAAATCAAGAGGGTCCGCGTCGTGGGTCGTCGAGGACCAATGCAGGTATGTCCTACTTGACTGCCCTTGGCCGTGCCTTCACGCCAACTGACCACGTTGGGCTCCAGGCTGCGTTCACCATCAAAGAGCTTCGCGAACTCCTCCAGCTACCATCCGTGGCGTTCGACCCGGTTCCCAAGGATCTCTTCCCGCCCGAAGAAGTCATGTCAGCGCTGCCTCGCGCTCAGAAACGCCTGGTCCAGCTCCTCGCCAAGGGTTCCACAAATGACCCGTTCACCGCGCAGAAGTCATGGTCGTTGGACTTCCTCCTCTCACCCGAAAGCCTGCATACATCCCCCGAGAATCCCGACCGCCTCTCACATGTCACCTTCGCTCGCAACCAACTGGACACGTCAGATCCATTCCTCGCCAGCGCCAAAGTGACCCCTCGGTATCTTCCGACCGGCGAGCGGGCTACCGTTGACCTTCCCGCGGACGCATTCTTCCGCAGCGTCGGGTACAAGTCGCTGGCGCTGCCGGGCATGGAAGACCTGGGAGTACAATTCGATGCACAGCGCGGGGTGATACCCAACGATGGATTCGGACGGATCACTAGCCGCACCGCGACCGGCGACCGTCAGGAGCTTCCCGATGGCTCGATCATCTCCCATCTGCCCGGTCTGTACTGTGCTGGCTGGGCCAAGCGCGGTCCGACGGGCGTAATTGCCACGACAATGACCGATGCGTTCACGACGGCCGATGCCATCGCTGCAGACGTGAGGGGCCAATCCTCGCTCAACGGTCCGAACAGGAGCACCGGTCTCGGCTGGGAGGGCGTTCGTCCGGAGGCCGCGAAGCGCGGTCTGCGACCCACGACCTGGCAGGACTGGCAGCGGATTGACCGCGCCGAGCGCGCGCGCGGCCAGGAGAAGGGCAAGGTCCGCGACAAGTTCGGGCGAGTGGAAGAGATGCTGGATGTTGTGGCATGAGACGACAGACTTGTACTATAGAAGAATCAGAAACGAACATCTCCCTTGCCGCTTTACCAACCTTACCACTGCAACCAGTTATGTGATCCTAGCGGCAAAGCAAGCACCCTGCATCAAACCAAAGCCACGAGCACGAGCACGAGCACCAACCCTCCGATCCACAACCGGTAGCCCCGTACGGACAGTATCATCCCGCTCTGCCCGTTTTTGAGCCTCTGAAACCCCCAGCCTTGGCATCGTCCGACCATTGAACCTTGCGCCCCAATACCTCATATTCGAGGTTATTTCCCCATGAGGCGGTCATCTACCGCACACCAAACCACATGTTGAGTTCCGACATTAGAAGAAGCTGTATGCTACCGTGCTATGTCTCACATCGCCACGGCATACTCATAGAAGCAAGAATGTCAACTTCTAACCCCAGGACCATCCCGGTGGACCGTAGGATTCGGGGAGCGGGACCAGAACCCCGAGTGTCTCCGCTCCGGCTCAACCACGTGACTGCGAAGAGCAAAGACAAGACAGACACAAGGGGAGGGGAAGTCCAGACCGACCACCTGAACCTCTCGCCAGAGGGTCTCCGCAAAGCTTCTGGAACGCATAACCCAAAAAAGGGACGGCACATTTGAGGCAAAAGCCAACAAACCGTACACTCCCTACCCCATCTCATCACCTACAAACATTCGTGTGCGTAGGGAAGTATATACTGTACTTTACACGGCACCACCATCCACCACAACTGAGCAATAATGCCTCAGACCCAACTCAAGTTCAGCATAAACATAGGTCTCCCCTAAACACAAAAGAAACAAATCCAACCTCCCCTGTTACCCCTCCATCCACCCCGTTGATCGGTCACACACTCTCCCACCTCCAACAATCACCCAGCCAGTCCCTAACTGACTGACTCAGTCAGAACGCAAGCAAAACCAAGTGGAAACAATTACCACATCATAACTCCATTTGCAGATGCTCAGCATCGGGGATCATCATCCGCCCGTTCCGCCAGCTAGTCTTTCTCCTTCCCCTTTCTCCAATTCCACTGTTGGAGAACTCAACTCGAGAGTAAAATGAAAGCGCCGGAGTGAAGCTAAGATGTTAGGGTGAGGCGGAGTCTTTAGGTAGAGAGATACTATAAAGGAACTAGGGAGGGAGGCACAGTAGTCTAGGCTAGGCTAGGCTAGGCCGGAGCTAAGGGATTTAGAGCAGCCGCTCCGATCAATCAATCTATTTGAGGATTGAGATGTGTTGTTGTCTCTGGGATATAAAACATGACGATATAATATACCTTGGGGAAATTGTATGCATTGGATTGCAGTCCTCATGGTGGAGAAAGGTTTAATTGTGTTGTTAATAAACTGCAATTTGAAATGAAATGCTTTATATGCATAGTGTGATGTTGTGTGGCAAGTCAGTTCGGTATATATATAAGGCTCTGTCGAGTAAGCAGACAAATGTTAGAAGTCGTTCAATTTGGTGGTGTGTTGTGGGTGCAAGATCTATTCCTCATATCAGAGTATACTATATCAGTGTCTTTCCTGCTGTGAAAGTTCAGACTTGGAATTCGCAGCATAAATTGGCATACATGTATCACTGAATACTAAGCCAGATTTCAAGGCTGTAATCTTTGGGAGGATAACAGGTCGCTGAATGTTATGCCCTCGAGAGAAATGCGCAGCTCAATGGTAGTGTTCCTTCAGGCAGATTTGGCTTGTCCTGGAGTGAATTATAGAAACCAAGGGAAGGAATGAATATATATGTTTTGGGGTTTGACGGAAGCAAGGAATAAATCCTAGAGTAGAGGGTCTAGGTGGCAGATACTTAAACCTCATCCTTATAATTAGATATGGCCTTTTCAGCTAGTAGACTCGTCCTCACTTTAGAAAATGTTGTGGTGTTATGCTCTCAAATTGTCATCCTCATGCAATCTATGATGGTTAACAATGATGCTATGCTTCACCCAGCAACGGTCTGGTACCGTCAGTCCTAAGTCTGGTCCAAAAACTACAGCTTTTGGTGAAGGGCCTGTCAAGCGCGTCCATCAATCGTATGACAAGAGTATTGAGAGGCGGAAGGAAAGCCCATCCAACTGCAAGTCACACGCAACCGCGGCTGCTCTTACTCCAATCTCGACCTAAGAATATTAATCCACAGCACTCTAGCCAACGAACCTGATCAAAGCACACGGAGCTGACTTTATCCATGCTTCTCTCCAGTCCGTCTCTGATCACCATAGTCTTGCGTATCATTCCTTCATCTAGACAAACCTCGAGCAACAACTGTCGCACAGCTCGCTTGCATCCATGTCCCTAGTCACCCAAAAGTGTTATCCCCCCTCTCACTACGCTCGACTGTGTGTTGCACTGTCGACTAGGTACTGGGCCTCCACCTCCTTGTTACCAGCACAGCACGCCCGTCTATAAACGAAGTCTTGGCCCACTGGGTTCTATCCACGGTTCTCCATCAGCCACCAAGCCACACCCACAGTTACGGTACGGAGCTCCAGCCACAGCCACTCATCGTTTCGGCTTCGAAATGACGCTCGACTCGGGAGTTGCGCAGGCTCTCATTTGCTAGCTGCGCAGCCACCGAGAGGGGTGTGCGCGTATAAGTGGATACTGCTTTAGGCGACAGACGCGAGAAAACCTGCTGCCATCGACGACAGCGCAAGCATGCTGCAACGCGTGTCGGTAAGGATGACCACGTTGGGAATGGTTGCCCAGATAGGAGTCATGCTGTAATTTGGCGGCGAGTCAGTGGCACAGATGACAGCGCAAGCGACAGCAGCAGAGACAGGTGCTTGATTGTGCTGCCAAGCTGAGGCTGCACATGTATGTACTCGTAGTTAAGCTCAAATGTATGCTAGCAAGTGTCGGCCGCTAGATACGCAAGGGACTGCGGCATCAATTTAGGTACCGGATACTAGGTAAGTACCCCTCTCTTCAAATCAGCAAATGCTTCACGCAGTCTTGCTCGTCCCGAGCATTCGGGAAGATGAAGGTTTTCCTGCCGTGTTTCTCTGCGACATCCTTTTCTCCGGCGACTGGCAGCACCAGCACCAGCAGCCATCTCGTATAAACGGGAAACAACCGAGAAGTTGGTAGAAAACTTTAATTGCCAGTCGATGAAGGTGACGATCCAGCCCCTGTTTCGTTGAGAACTCAGAAGTGACTGAGAGAGTCGGAGCTGGAGCCGCAGGGAGTTGCCGAAGAGGGAAAAAACCAGGCTTGTTTGCTTCATACCGGATTGGGCCTAGTGTGGCAGCCGACGAGGTGGAGACCAATCAGATTTCTCGCTGGCTCAAGCTTCCACGTTGTGGGGCCGGCCTGTCGATCTTCATGCCTGCTGCTCTTCCAGACCGCCCATTGGTCGGGGCGGCGCCATCCAGGGCAGCCGGCTTCGTATCCGGCCCAGAGTGCGTCGGTGGGGTTGATTGACAATTGAACGTGCAACCAGAAAGGAGGGGGAGGTAATCACACACCAACATTGACAGGCCGCGTCATTCACCAGAAAAAAAGTTATTAGTGATTATGAATTGCCCTCAATGGACAACCTAGATGTGCACATAGATATAGATACAGGGATTGGTATAGTGATCATGGATATTCTCGTAAGAAAGATCGTGACAGGTAGTGAGATATACTCAGTAAGTAGAAAGAATGACTGTATCCACACAGGAGGGAGGATGAAGGGGTAAAGAAAAGACGGAAAAAAAAAGAAAAGAAAAGAAAATTGATCGAGGGAATGAATGGCAGGTGGAGTGGGAGTCCGGCTGAATTCTCCACCGGCATCACCCGCTGTGGCGATTCATCTTCTGAAAATCTTCGGGCTCGGCTGGCTCGTGCGAAATTTCGATGGTCGTCTCCTGGTACACGCCATGCCCCAGATCAGCGAGCTCCATGTCGGTTTTGCGCACAATGTCTTCGGTCGATGAGTCGCGGTTATCATCCACCGTGTCATTGATGCTCTGTAGGCCTCCTCGCCGGAATCGAGTCTTCATGCGGGGCTTCTTCGTCTCGCTGTGGCCGTGACCTGTCGTAATGTGCGTTTGGTATGCTGCTGAATCCGTGTAAGCATACATCCTGTCCGAAGCGCTGATCTCGGTTTCCAGCAACAAGTGGCGACGTGTCAAGGTATACACTGCCACATCCACAAAGCCCGATAGAGCCATCAGGGTTCCGGCCACTGCAAAGTAAGCCCGGCTAGGAACAATATGTCGAGCGGTTGACATGCGGCCAGCCGCCAACGGAAGCGACAGCACTAGATAAACCAAAGGATAAATGACCATGTATACGACCACCCGATTCAACCGCTTCAGGTTTTCTTGGTGATTTTGACGCAGAGACGCTGCCTCCTTCATCCGGCGTCGAAGGTAGAAAAACATGATCCCGTAAAGGATGACTGCACCGAATTCGGCGAGGAAAATCCATAGATAATGCAGCCATAGTCGCTCCGTCTCGTGTTGTGGACTTAACCAGCACTGTAGGCAGGATATAAAGATTAGTTTCTGAATATGTGTACAGATCAACTTGAGGGCCACTTACCCAGCCTGCTTCGGATATAACAAACGTCTCGGAACCGAATAAGCCAACGGGGATGAGACCAAGGATGATGATAAATATCCAAAGGCCCACGACACTGGCGACAAAAATTGGGAATGGCAGCTGTCGACCTCGCAAAACCACAGCACCCGTATGCATGGCGATCGCCAAGACAAACAGACCACTTCCAGGATCACCAATCTGAATCCACCACCCCTGGAGAACGCAGGGTGCACTTGGGTAGTAGACATAGCCTTTGGAAGCCCAGTGAAGACATAACAAAAATGCCGTGGCTTGCTGGAGATCGACAAGGAGGAGATTATAAATTAAAACAACATACTGGTTCTGTGCCAGCGGACGCTTGTAGTATTGGCGCCAGAAGAGGAAACGATAGGTAAGGAATGACAGCAGACCGAAGGATGCAACAAAAGAACAGAGAGCGACAACACCCATGGCGATGAACCCTGCTTTGTCGCTGGCCGTGAGGATTCCGACCTGCGGGGTCGACCGACCTGCAAGATGGGCGCGACCAGCATCACTGCTGTACAGCAGGCGTGACAGTAGTGACAGAGCAGGCATCGTTCATCTCCCTGTGCAAGAATCGCTGGATCCAAAATACTAGGTTGACAGAGGTACCAGGGTCCAGCCGGCTTAGAAGAGTGACAGGCGCAGACTTTAAATCCTGGGGCAGAAGGCTGTTGAGGATGCTCAGGGAACTGCCAGGCTAGAAATTGGGTTATCATGCATGGCAACGTCCAGTCTAAATTCTCCGCGAAGTATCCTTAATTTTCGCTTCGCTTTCTAGCTGAATCCTGCCAGCACAATTGGTCGTAACCATCCACACGTCTTGCCTCTTCCGACTGGAGACCCGGATAGGGGCCACACAGATCTGGTATGGAGCATCCGAAAATCTGACAATGGGTCAAGCTTAGTGCGGGTTAGTGAGTGGACCACAGGGACCAAAACACCAAATGCTAAGCTCGCATACCGCTAGCGCAGGACTTAGCAGGAATAGTACTCCGTAGCTTGCAGCCTGCACGGTCTTCATTCGCGGGGTCCACTTCTGCATCTAACAAGATCATTTTGATTATTATTCTCCGAGTCTGTTGCGCTGCTGCACAGCCGCCAATTGCGAGAGAGTCTAGAAAAGATGATTGATCCCAGAGGAGCGGAAAAGCCGTCAGGACCGGGTTGCCGGAACGTAATCAATGAATGTTTACGTCAATCTGTTGTCACGATGTTCTTTAAAAGACGGTTGCCGTCGGTGCGGACGAGGCGACAAGCTCCTTACTGAGAGATGCTGATCCATACTGGAACAGTGAATCCCCTGAAGTCTCGTAGAGTACTTGAGAAGGAGTCGGAACGTTCTGTGCAGGATCGGCTGCAGGAACGAGTATCGATCTAATCGGCACGGGGAAGTCGGGCTGGTGCGCCAAAGATCTTCATGATTGGAATGCACACTCTCCGATGATGCGACGGAGTCTAAACGCAGCTGGGTCAAGTAATTGCAGGCTTATACAGCCACGGACTGCTTATGGGCTAGTAGCTTTAGCACGCCATCGAAGTTTGTCAGTCAGGGAGTTTACGTAGACACAAAGCTTCTCGACCTCAAGAGTTCCGTCAATGGAGGGCGATCGCAGCCCAGAAATCTGGGACCGGTCGTGGGTGGGAAATGATCCATGGTATTGGCATCCTTGCATTGCTTAAGGCGTTGGTGACTGTGTTCTGTAGTACATTGAGAAGGGAGTTGACAGGGAAGAGGAGTAGGAAGTGGAAAGAGAAGGCAAGTCAAGTGACCACCAATGCGTGTCTCTCCGTTCTTTCCTCTTCAAGGTCTCACCAGTACAACCAACACAACCAACTCAACTACTCATCTGCATACTACCTCGATGTCAACTCAGTTGTCTCAATTCCTCTTTCTCCAAGTCATTCCTTCCACACACCCTCGCATCTCTTACTCCAACCTTGACTCATTTCGGGTTGTGCAGTGATCTTCAGGGATGAGCGGACCTTTCCAAAGCCATGGTCTTGAAGCTTAATTGCTCGGGATTCCCCCATCGTGGGCAGGAGCTGACCCGATCGGCTGGGTACCACCTCGTGAGGCTCATAGATAGCCAATCTTCAGAAACAGCCATGTGATGGCTCATCCATGGTTCCTGAACCATGCCAAACTTCCCAGCCGCGAGGGTAGAGTCGACGGACGGGCTGGTTCCAAGGAATGAGCTCCTAACCACGAACCGTGGTCTACCCCAAGTGCCATCCCATACTGCGACTAGCCCGATACCTTTATCATCCACACCAGACACGGATTCAAGCGTCAGATCCAGAGTGCATGGACAGGGCCTTGACGAAAAATGCTTTCATATTTGATGGTGTAAGGGGCATGGATTGTTGTCTTGGGCACAATCAAGAAGATGCGGAGACCAAGTATTTCTGGTGGGATTTCCAACCGGTCGGCAATGGGAATTTACAGCAACTATCTCAGCTGCACAGTGCCTTATACTTATTCGGCACCTCAATGTCTAGAATAAGCCGTCGCGGCCCAACACAAATGCAGCCGTGGTTTTCCACCCCAGGACTTCGGACCTCCTGCACTGTGCGTACCCGAAATTCTGTCTGGGGGTTACTCCGAACATCGGATCTGGAAGGATTGATCGACGGGAGGCATCGCGCTGCTTCGACGCCGGATGCGACGATCCCTCCCTAATAGCTCTTCTCGTTTCTTGGCATGATGAGACCTTAACAATTAATGATTAAGTGGCAGCGTCCGCCAAGCTACTCGCCAGAGTAGTCAAGCCTTCGCAGATGATTTTCGGTTTAAGATTCAAACCATTATAGAATCGACTATGTTTGACTCACCAGTACAAATATCCCCATGCGGCTTCAACGTTGGATTTGATAATCGATGTTGTTAGAGAAGGAATACGGGAAGGAATGCTGACTCACTTGGCATGGGGCTGCATGACCTGGCCATGCTGCAGTTGTATTACCCGGTTGCTCTATGAATAGGATCCATTGCCAGTCAACCCACAGCCTCCAAGACAAGTCACCTGTTCTTTTCCCAGTCGGAGGTAGCCGGATGAGAGGGAAGCAAATGCCTCTAAGGCAGTATGTCTCATCCCAAGCCCGAGCTCGTTTGCTCTGACTGGTCCGGATTATCTGTGCTGCGGTCCCTGCCACCCCCGCATGTCTCTCCCGCTCACTACTGATGTGGTGTTGCTCTCCGCCAAATGAGGGGAGATGTCTCACTCCCGCCTCGTTGCGTGCAGATCTATACCTGTCACTGTCCTAGTTCGGAATACGTGGACGATATGTTCTGTGATCATGTTACTATTCCCAGCATCAGGCCCCCAGTGCTTAGGCGGATGCGACGGATCATAGCAGCACGTTGACCAGGTAGGTCATATCCAAGGCAACTACCGAGCGAGGCTACCTTCGATGATACACCGCTTCGACCAAGTCAGGGAAGAGAGAAAGCTATATAAACCGCCGTCCCTCGGACACTTCAAATTACCTGCTCATCAAGTTCGTCTCACACATCCTCTTACCTCACGCAATCAATCAATCAAGAGCAACAACCTCTTCATACTCTCCCAACCCAGACATAAACCCATCATTCCAAGATGAAGTCATTTGCATCCGCTCTTGCTGTTCTCAGCGTCTTCTACACATCCACTCTGGCCTCCCCAGTCGAGGCCACCACCGGGGCCACCACCGAGGCCGCCGAGGCCGTCAGCGTGTCCGTCTCCTACGACACTGTGTTCGATACCGGCAGCCAATCCATCGACACCGTCTCTTGCTCCAACCTGAACTACGCGACCTTTGCCGACATCCCTGGCTACCCCAACATTGGTGGTGCCCCCACCGTGTCGGGCTGGGGCAGCCCCAACTGCGGAAAATGCTACCAGCTGACCTACGGCACCACCTCGATCTACGTGACGGCCATTGACGCCGCACCCGGTGGTTTCAACATCGCCGAGGCGGCCATGAACAGCCTGACCAACAACCAGGCCGTTGCACTGGGCCGGGTCACCGCGACCTACACTGAGGTTGATTCATCATTCTGTGCATGAGCGGCCGAAGGGTGCGAGCTTGGATTTCTTTTGTCCAATTTGGTCATGGATTCGACGATGAGATGACATGTCAGGTTTCGGTTTTTAGCTTCTCTAATCTTCTAATATCATAATATCAAGTATCTGCATGCTTTGTCCGCCGCCATGCCAGTCATTGACCGTGCCGTTCTAAGTAGCGGGTCACAAGCTGATCTGTAGCGCATCTACGGTAACACCCCGAGTTAGTGCTTACCGCATCGAGCATCGAATCGACAGGGCAATAGAGGATCAATTCAACAGCCGTCTCAGTTCAAGACGCATACCACAAGCCACGGCTATTACCATCAGGATTCTGGCCGGCACAACAATAGGCCCAGCTTCCCAGCCATTCGGATAACCCTCCCCCGTCGTATCGTCCCCATCTTAGTCTGTCCTCAACAAGCTTGAAAGAGCCTTACATTTATCGAGCAGGTACAAAATCGCTGATGAACCAGTCGTACCTCTAGCCACGTAGAATCGCGAGGTGGCAGTCAATCGATTGATGACTTTCCTTCCCGAGCTACTGTCCCATGGCGCCTCACGCAATCCAGACGAGCAGCAGTTGGAAACAGGACACATGTCCCGTCGATTGTTTGTGTCGGATCCTCTGTCCTTGCAAGGCGGGCGGACTGGCTGCATGTTCGAAGTCTGTTCGACCTTGGCGGATCTGTTGACGCTCTGCCTGCTCCCCTCATGGATAAACTTTCTCTTTCTCTAGCGAATACGCCTCCTCCAGAACTCGGGGACGGTGGTCCCACCGACCGGCATAGCAGCCAAGACAGTATTCAATGACGGGACTGGGATGGAATTAGCACAGAACACAAAATAGGTTAGACGGGTATGCGCATTCGGACCAAAGCCATATCAGAGCAGTGGCATGTTCCCTTCCCGGGGGTGTTCGACCACACCCTGCCTAGACCTTAATGAGAAGGTATACTGATCGGTTTGGGCATTATAAGTGTGACATATAGATGAAGATATATACTAGTCCTATATGCAGGGTCTCCGCCGAGGATTTAATCGAGAAAGGGTCCAAAGACTGGCAAATCTGTACACGCGCGCGACTTCACGTAAAAAGAAAAAAAAAAAAAAGAAAAGAAAAGCAAGAACCCAACACCGGTCACAAGCAGAAGAAGAGAAGAAAGATCATCGCCCATAAATCGTCTCCAAAGCCCTCGAGATCGTCTCACATATATCAGTCCGCTGTCTCAATCGTTTTGCCGCAGGATCCTGATCATCGACATCCAATTCTGGGGGCAGAATCTTCCACGGAGCGATGCAATGATACCCATTATCCACCGCTTCCTTGGACATCTTGTTGAAAACCTCCGACATGCCCTCCACGGTGCTGAGTCTGTCAATCCGGCGAATGCGGTCTTGGATGCCCAGTTGCCTAGAAAAGTCCAACAGGCGTGCAGCAACACCCGCGCCGATGACTGTCGAGAATGACGTGCCGGAAAGTGGCTTGCTGACGAGGGGGTGAGTGATATTTTCGCCGAGGATAGCAAAATTATACCGCGCCCTGTCCAGTGCGGAGGGGTTGAAGGAGGGCGAGGCCCGGATACTCGCGTCGGTGGAAAACATACACAGTAGTTTCAGATTCAAGTAGAGCCGACCGGGAAAGGCAATATCTGCGAAGTTGCTGTAGTTGGATGCGGCGGCGAATATGAGGATATGGTCACTTCGTGCCTCATCGATCGCCTTTTCTAGGTCACTGTCATCGGATTGGAATCCAGAGGGGATGATTAGGATGTTGGCTTTCCATTCGTTTTTTGCATGCCGGATTGCCTGCGTTGGTGTTATTTGGGAGAATAGTGAGTCAAATGGTGTGCAGAGGATCCTACCTGAGCCATTAAAGCCAATGTGTTTGCGGTTGCCTGAGACGTCTGGAAGACTCTTGCAACATATATCTCTGCCATGTGGTAGACCTTCTGGACCAGATAAATTGCACTAGTGCCATGCCCTGTGCTGTCCTGGAGATGCTCTTCCTGTCCGGTGACAAAGTCCTTATAACCCTTGATGGATTGAGTAAGGTTCTCATCCACCCCAGTGTCAATGATAGCCACCTTTATAGGCTGGTAAATGTTACCCTTTTCTTTGGGTTTCGCACGGAGAACGTAATTAAGCTCGTCCAGCTTCTGAAACCAGTCATCTGAGGAGAAAAGCCGAGCGCTGAGATTTCAGTAAAATTTCTACAAGTCGCATGAAACTCCCTACCTTGCTGACATGACAGAGTCGGGAATCAGTCCCGGAGACGGTGACATTGCATATCTAGATGTATATATTAGACCAAGAAGATCGAAGAAAGATGACCGGGAGGAGGGGGTAACCATACGGAGAAGAAAGAGAAAATGGATGAATGTGACTGAGTGGGCGATACGGGACGGGCGAGTGATATGGTATTGGTGACGCTGGAAATGTCGGGATTGGTGAGACTGGCAGCGGTTCGTCCACGGGCCTGGCTTCTGTCATGACTGGACGAAAGCTGGCCGTCGCAGGATCTTTCCAGGCGTTTTCGTAGCAGAGCCGGAGAGGGCTGACAATATGCCTCTGAATCGCGTCACGGAGCTCTTGTCGGTCGTGTATGAAAGGTTGAAAATGATCGGGATAAAGGCAAGTCTTGATAACAGTTGTCAATCCTACGAAGGTCTCCAACTCATCCCACTCTGTTCTGGTAAACACTTCATCTGCAGCAATATGATCAGCATTGACAGTTGGATTTCCATTGCGATCGAAATCCTCCGGCTTCCGGTGGTCTTTTATGTCAATGCCCAATTCAATCTCGAGGATCAATATCCCGAGTGCAAGTATGTTAGGGAATTGGTGAGAACGGAATCCGGGGTCTTTCTCCTGACCAGTCTTATCTCCACCAAATCTGGCTGACAAGAAGGGTCTGTTGATGAAGATGCCCTTAGAGGTCGTTGAGTCCTGCTCGAACATAAAATGCACCGTCTCCTTCGTCCATTCCTTTTGCATCCAGCCTGAATCGTAGAACTGCCAGAGGGCGTTTGCCAGGATGTAGGCTAGAAAAAGCTTCGACTTTCGCGTCATCTTGACCGAACGTATCAAATCAGCCAGAGATACACTAGCGACACCAAGCAGAAAGTCGCGAGACAAAGGCCCAGGACCTTCCAGCACAAGGCCTCCCTCTGTGACAGTTAACTGCAACTGGGAACGGTTTCGGTTCGTAATCACATCACAAAAAGTGTCTACCGATATCGGCCTCCCGACGACGGGATTACCAGCAGAGACCTCTTTGCTCATCATCTTCACCATCCTGTAAGATGCATGAGCAAACGAGGTTTCAGCCAGTTTGGCTCCAAACTCAAACCTACCTTTTCCGGGATACACAGATTCGAGTGTCTTGCCACTGACTGGAACCGGGCTCATCACTGCAATGAGGGTGGTCAAGGAAGAAAAGTCTAAAATTGGCCGTACCCTCCACCTCACCCGGCGAGCAACAGTTGTTTAATCGGAGATTGACCGTGATCTCCCTCCTGCCATCGTCGTGGGGGCACAGGCAATGCTCCGCTAAGGTTTTGTAAAGCGATCGTACGTAGACATGATAGTCATCTTGGCTTCTGTCCGAAGTCTTCGACTCAAGATCGGATAATTCCGGGCCAGGTCTCGCTGCCTTTGACTTTGCGTATGATCTAAGAAATGTGACAAATCTAGTCCAGTCCTTGACACTCGATGTAAGAGCGAAGCTTTTCACGCCCCGTTTCACTGATAGCTTCTTTGCCGAGATATGGGATAAGATCTCGTATTGTGCTTTATAGACCGTCTTGTCACGAGGTAGAGGCGAAGGGCGGTTGGGCCACTGGAAGCATGGTAGGCAATTGTCAAGCTTCTTGTTGTTTCATCGTGCAAGGATGATACGTGTTGTCTGAAGAGGAATATAACTTACTAGGCATACTTTCTCGAGATTGTCTAGAAGCTTCCGAGTCCGGTCGTCAAGCATTTCGTCCGAGCTCGGATGACTGTTTTCGAGATACTGCTTCACATTTGCCAGTGCGGCTGCAAGTGCGTTGCAGCGGGCCTTGATTCCTGCCTCCTTGGAGACGTCAAGGACGATGGTGTGGATTTGAGAGACCACATCGTAGGCGAATGTCGAAGTCTCAGTACTCAAAATCATGGGCAAGGACTCTGAAACATGAGGTGGACTGGGAAGAATGGTCGCAGTGAACTAACTTAGCAGGAACTGTAGACGTGAACAAGGTGGTGTGGTCCGGGCGCCTCGCTCGATCGGGGTAAGAGCCAAATGGGCGGGGTGAGTGAGGGGGCGGAGACTGGGTGGAGAGACAACTGGAAGACTTCATAATATGACTACTATGTAATATCGTTCTGATGAGCCTTTCTGCTACCAGTCTAATGGTTTGTGTTAATGAAAGTCTTTGTCCCTCCCGCTGGCTATCTCTTACTATCCAGAGAAAAGCTAATAACGGACTATCCACCCATTTCATCTATCCGGAGCTCATGTTCACAATAAAAACCTCATCACCTTCGTCCACATGCTGCACATTCAGTCCATGGACTCCTTCTTCCTTCAATGCATCGACCAGTTGTCTCTTCACGTCTTTGTCCTGCTCTACCCCAAACGTGGCACCTCGCGAAAATGTCCTATGAGACCACCTCCGATCCACGACTCCCTTGCTTATTTTGGCCAGTCGAACGGCCCAGACAAAGTCTGTCGCTTGCTGAGCCGTGTTGGAAAGATGGGTCTCGGTCGCGAGGCTCCCGTCAAAGCCGGCCTCCGCCAAACCGGCAATTCCACTACTAGTATCGATGCTTCAGTTGTGCGAGCTTTTATACTCAGGGCTCACTTACACTCCAGGTTCTGCGTGCAAGGCCCGTTTCCCATCATTTGAGGCGGTGACCCTTGCCCCTCGGGCAATCATGATACCGGTAATCATGAAGACAGAGGATGAACTCAATAGCCGCGATTCCAAGTATTGGCGCACTTCATCATCCTCAACACTTTCTTCAACATACTCCCTGGTTGGCTGGGTGATGAGAGTATCAAGTGATTCGAACTCCCAGTACTTCTTCACAGTTCGTTTGAAGGCGACCCCGGCACCCAGCTGGGCAGTGAGACCTGCTGCGGCTGCGATAGGAACCCCTACGGAAGCAGATACGTCAATTCCCTCGCTCTTGTCCATGGCCCATGTCAAGTCTGTTGCCTTTGTGGTATAGATGGGCATATCAAGGGGTAAGTCGAGCGGCCCATGTCGATTGATGACCTCGTCGAGACGCTTCAGACTTGGGATGAGATGGCCCAGGCAAATCGGACCTCTTGGCTTTCCAGTCCTCGAGGTGTCGGGAGGAGGGTAGTGGGTTTGTTGAAGAACAAACCAACACTTGGATGCCATATTGCCGATGGTTTGCGAAGACAATCGAATGCTTGGTCAATTAGCCTCAGCTGAAGTCAGCCTTGTAAGCTGACCTCCACCACAGCGGGGTTGAGGTGGACTCTTATTCGTTGGTAGCCGAGTTGAGCTATAAGCAAAGACAATCTTGAACTTGGAACTTGAAGAGTCCGAGTTCCCAGAGGTGAAATATGGTTCATCAAGGTCTCCCATGGTACACTGAACCGAGAAGAACAATATCGGTGGAGAGATGGAGAGAGGTGATGGTGGTTGAGTAGGAACTACAGATCGGCTGGTCGGCACGGCGCGTACCGGCTCGAACTCTACGGGTAAGCGAAGCGAAGCGGGGCTCATCCGCGGCTGAGGTGATTTGCAGAAGCCCCCCGACCTGCTGCTGCCATTTCCTCTGGTTCACACGCCGGTTTCGTCCGTTGCTATGCTTCATACACATCTTAAGTCTGATGGATCAGGCGGAAGATCTGGCGGATACTATCCGAACGCGTACCATAAACTGTAAGGCGCTCTTTGCACTTTGCCTGGCGCTTCCTCTGGTCGACGAGCTGGATTGGCTCGAGGACTGGCAAGGGATTTTCAATTTATGGGCCGCTGGCCTCAACGCAGAAGATTTAGGCCGGTCATCTCTCGATTACCGCGTGCGCGATCATGAAGAAGTGCGCGAAACTATCTGCGGTCTTCTGGACGGTCTTTCCGAGGCACTGGAGGGTTGTGTCTCCATCAGTAGTATGGTTCATCTAAAGTGAAGAAGACAGTCGCTTACTGATTGCCACAGCACATATTGAGCTCCGTGCAACGGAGCCTGGTCAAAATGGCAGTCAAGGCGATATGAGCTCCGTCTTCTCCGAAGATCCCGATGCGTTCTCCCTTTCCGATGCTGACATGAGCCAAAGCCCATTATTTGAGCATATGTTCAACATAAAAGCCATTATCAGACAGCTAGGGAGAATTTCTACAGTCATTCGACAATCAGGAACTAAATACCGTTACCGCAAAGCTGACCTATCTCTTAAGGAAGAAGATTTCAAGGAGTACGAACAGCACCTGACCGTGGTCATCCTTACAGGCAGTATTGCGTCAAGTGCGGAACCAGTAAATGCAGCAATCTTTCAATCAGAGATATTCGACCCAGACCGGCTCACTCCGGTACAGAAGCGGCTCATCCGGGCCAATGTTATCCGCAGGAACCGAATCATCTACGCAACACGCTCCATGCAAGCAGCAGCACAACAATCTCAAAAATACGCAGCTCAGCAGCCGAGAACTGTGCGCCAGGCTCTAGTTCCAGATGCCGGAACTGTTGTAGCCCGTCCCTCACACTTGATGAGACAGAAATCTGCCTCTGGATCAAATACAATGCGACCACCTTTGAGCACAACAACACCGTCACATAGCCGGACCGCAACAGATATTGACTCGCGGTTTGATTTGTCAAGGGAACTTACAAAAAAGACAACACCATCTGCCATCACAAAAGTGACTAGAACAGGCCATTCCCTGGATTACCCAAGCTGTCCAAGGATCAGGTCCGCAGAGGACGAGTTTTTACAATGTCCATATTGTGCAAATCTGCTCCCTGCTGAGTATTCTACCAATCATTCTCGTTGGAGGTAAGAGCAGACTCGGTCATGCTATTAACCCAGATCCTAACAACTGCCATCTAGTGGACACGTCGCTCAGGACATCCTCCCTTACGTTTGTATATACGAAGATTGCAATGTCCCCGAGAAAATGTATTTAACATCGTCTGACCTGCTGCAACACATACAGAGTGACCATTGCTTGATCAAATGGGCTTGTGACTACTGTGACGGGAAGGTCAAAGAACAGAGCTTTGTGTTTGAAAGCCGAGAAAGCTGGGAGACCCATATGCTACAAGCTCATCCCCAGATAGCATCGGCTCAGTTGCCGTCTCTCGAGAGGGTTAGTCGACGAAGCATGGCGGGGCCGATCTCCTGTCCTTTATGTGCATTCGAGGGTGACGGCTCAGGAGCAACACTCGACAACCATATTGCTCAGCATCTTCATGAGTTTGCCTTACGGTGCTTGCCGTGGGGCACCAGCGGAAATGACAGGGATTCGGTAAACACGAAGTCTGCCGGTGGCCCACTTTCAGACGGCCTCTCTAACACCAACGAAGAGAGCGTATTTGTGGATGAAAAATTCTGTGAGACTGAGAACCCGGGAGATATTTCATGGAGGCTAGAGAATCTGTTTCGCTTCTTTGAGTCCCCTCAATACGAAAAATTCCTGAGCCACCGACGCCATATACCAGATGGACGCGACCTCAGTGAGCAACTAAGCTCTGTGACAGAAAAGTACAAGGAACGTTACTACGCTGGCACCATGTCTCCGTCCACGGCTGAGGCTGTGTCGTCTAAGCTGAGGAAGCTTCTGTTAATGATGCGAGAGGGATTGGGGATCTATGATTACAGCAGGCCGTCCGACACGGAGAGCTCGCTGTATGGACAATTGGAGCCAGCTCTAATCTTCCGGAGGACCGTCATTCATGAGCTGGAGTTCCTAGAAGCCAAACTAATGGATGATAGCGGGGAGCCCGATCCCCTGATCAGTAAGTCCCACCGCCCATTGTTCAAGCCCTACAGAAATTTAACACTTATTGGCATCCAAAGCGAACGTACCGGCAACAGATGAGGATCAAATCATTCCTCTTGATTCTTCTGTTGCTGATGATCGAGACACTTCGTCTGTCGGAGACTTCGGCTTGCCATCTAGCGATATTCCAGGATACACGAACACGAGCCCACTCCATATCGCGGCTTGGAGAGGGTCCTACAGTGAACTTTCTCGACTATTAGAAGACGAACACTGTAATGACTCTCCCCTCGGTTCTAATCAGCACACTCCTCTCCATTTAGCAGTCATTTCTGGCTCGCTCAGGGCTACCGAGCTACTGGTTGCTCACGGAGCAGCGATTAACCCCCAAGACGATTGGGGTAGGACGCCACTACATCTAACAGCAGAAGCCGGTGATTGTTCGATATCCCAGTTCCTGGTGCTCCATGGAGCGAACACAAACCAGCTTGACCGAAATGGCTGCACGCCTCTCCATCCGGCTGCTGAAAGAGGGTATGAGGCCGTAGCCCGATTGCTCTTGCAGAGTGGTGCCGCGGTTGATATCGGCCACCCTGACGATCCATGGAGCCCTCTTCATTTTGCCGCCTTGAACGGCCATACTGATGTTGTCAACCTCCTCCTAAACTATGGTGCATCCATCGACCTCTCCACCAAGTATTCAGGCACCGCATTGCACATTGCCGTGGGGTGGTCTCACAAGGACCTTGCCAAACAACTTCTAGCCAGAGGTGCAAATCCAAACGCTGTTACCTATTACCAGTGGACTGCACTGCACTTCGCGGCCTACAATGACGACATGGAAATTATTCGTCTGCTCCTAGCCAACGGTGCACACCCGAATCGCTATAATTCCGCGGGATGGTGTCCTCTTTACCTTGCCGTGAGGAACAGTAACAAAGAGTCACTCTCTTTACTGCTGGCCGCAGGGGCAGATGCCGATGGCTCTGGCAGAACTGCTTTATCTCCGCTTCAGTTTGCATATTCCAATGCAGATGGGGATATTGCTGACATGCTGTTAAATGCCGGGGCGAGACCTCCCCCTATCGGCGAGCTTTCTGCGGATGTGAACTCTAGAGATAATGATAGCTCGATTGGGCTTCTTACCAGGAGACCAACATTTAAAGATGAGGGGTCTGAGCGGGAGTTCGAGCAAGAATCTAAGTCAGTGGAACCAGAGCCAGAGCCAGAGCCAGAGCCAGAGCCAGAGTCAGAGCTACAGCCCATCGGTCTTGCTCCCAGCCTTTGGGAACCCAAGCCTAGTTCCCAGACCTCAACTCTGCATCTAACTCATACTAATTCAGCCAAAGTACCTTTATCATCTCCTTTTGAGTCGACCACTAGCGAGGACGACAAGAGAGAAGCGATTGAGCCCCAAAAGAATGCACCGCCGTCAAGGGACGTAAGAACGGCCGATCCATGGGCAGAGAGTGCCATATCTCTCGAAGCGATCCACGACGCCTTCATGGATCACGAATTTTATGGCGACCTAGGCTTTGGCATACTGGACGAGTCTCTCAATCCAACCATGTTTGTCGATGAGCAATCTGAGGATACTCCGGCGTCAATTGAAGGAGAGTTGATCACTCAGACCTCTGAGGACAAGGAGGTGTCACAGAGTGCCGAGGCCAATGACAAGGCCAGGGATAGCGCGAGTGAGAACTGAGTTCTTATGAATTGGCTCAACTCTCAATCCGAACAGCAAGCCCATTGAACCAAGTCTGCTCCTGAAGTAGAGCAAGTACACCAACTAGTATGATAAAGGAGGATGTCAACCATGGGCATTAGGACTCCTGCAGCGCTCATTGGCTTCCCACTCGCGTCTGCAGGTGTAACGGATTCTTCAAGACAATTTAAAAGACAATACACCGGATGTCCTGACGGCTGTGAGGTTTGATGGCACGTAACTTGAACAATTTCACCTTCTAGCAACATGTGGACTACCGTCTCTGTACTCAAATGATGAAAAAAGGCTGGACCGACTGGACGTAGCGGTATACAAGCTATCAAGGTCGGCAAAAGCCCGTTAGAGAGTGTGGTAAGACGTCTTGAGTATGTGCAAAGCTCGGCAACCTTACCGCTCTCTCTAAGACTAGTGAAGATGAGGGTGCAGATGAAGATGATCCAAAGGTTCAAGTGTTGCCAAAGCGTGCCGTCGAACCAAGTCCTTCTGGTGCTTCTGGCTGCCCGGTTCTTTGGGCTGCTTCGGTGATGTCGGCGATCTCAACCTGTCCTCGCCCTTGACGCCATGAAAGAACGTCTATCGGGATCGCTTTGAACGGCTTCAAAGGTAGACTAAAGGAGCATCAGGGACATTCTGATTTATTCCTCTTCAGGCTATTCTAAGAGATATTCTCGCGGTTCTGTTAGGTAGCTACTGAATACCCCTTCGGCGGTGAGCATAGCATATTGTTCCTACCCAACAACCACCCCTGCTTTGGTCCCCGCGGTCCTCTGCGCTTCAGTATTCATGGTCGATGTGGACCGTATTGAACTCGTTGCCTTTGGATAGCATTGTCAGCCAGCTTCGCCAGCGGTGGTAGGCGGCGAGGGCAGCGGAGGCAGCGGTGCGCGCGGTGCGAGCCTGTACAGCATTAGCCCGGCGGGCACGACGATGGGTCGAGTATGCCATTTTGAGATTGTCTGCAAATGGACATCAGCGCAATCCAATATGGCGGCATAAACAAGGGCTGAAACAGTGCCCGATATGGTCTGGAAACCACGAACATTTGATATGGCACTGAGATACATATAGTCTTGTCTGTAGTAAGTACTCATTAGGAGTTGTCCATATCCTGAGACTCCCGGGAGGATCATCGTTCTAGGACGAAAGGCCAGGAGCCCCGAAGGAGACGGTGGTCAAGTGGATAGATAACACTTTTGCCATGTCTTCGTCGGCTCGGTGACGAAGTCGACTAACGAATCCTCGTGCCCGTTGCGTAGAGCCTATGCAGGGCTCTGCCCGCTAGCCGGGGGACTGCCAGTGGTTTTGTTTCTGATAGCGGATTCGATATATGCCCCATGCCTATGCTGGATCACGGCAAACGCTAATTGTAACGCCAGTTGGCGTTCAAACTGGAAACCAGGATCTAGCAGTCGAAAGGCAACACGGCGCAGTGAACAAACATCTATTCTTCATTTACAATGTGAGAAATAACAGTTGCGCTTTTAGAGCGCCATCCCTTTGCGATCTGCTTGCATTGCTACTCCAGTCAAAGGCTTGTCTCGAACTGATACTGGGATTGGCCACATCTGTATCGTGAGAAACAACCTCTGTCAACCATGGGAGCAGTCTCCTCTTCAAGGTTGGGCCCGATTGTTACCTCCCGTAGTCACGGCTTCGCTTAAAAAGTTGGTGATCATGTTGACGATTTGCCAAATACACTGGATGTCAAATCAAGCCCAATGGCAATTCAAGAGATTGATTTGCAGACAGGCTAGTAGTCGCAGTAGCAGCAATTGCCTTGGTGGTGGTGGTGGTAATGGTTGTGATGATGTGCTTCACGAGTGGAAGCAATGGAGGTGCTCGAGTGTGCATCTAAAGGAGTCTAACGCTCGGACAGCTGGACTTTACAAGTCCCAACCCTTTTGACAAACCTCGTTTGGTCGTAGGTCGTTATGAACCCAAATCAACATTTGTACGGGCCCGTCTAGGCAGCCAACTTGACCTATATTGTCGGTTAGCGTATATGTCTGATGTGTGGCTGTCGAATACTCTACCAATCAAGACTCCGAAGTCTCTACCACGTTCCAAAGAAGTTGAGCTCCTCTTGATCATGTGTGAGGTTGTAAGTCCGAAGAACTTTGCCTTTCGAGTTGCCGATCCACCAGTTTATATCATGTCTGGGAAGTTTTGATTCAGACAACCCTGCTTCGACGACATAAATCAGCCACGGCCCACGATGCGGTCTCAAGTTGAGAAATACCTTATTGCCGTCATTTGATATCAGGATTGTCGCAGAACAAAGGCCACCAGGATTGGACATATCTCGGTGCAGTCGTTGTAAGTTGTCAGATTGCACAAGCGCGTATTCTTAGTAGACTAACTTTGATGCCTGATGCGCCTCTTGCTTTGATGTAACGGGTGGATCATGGTTTGGAAGCTGCTCTCCGAATGTACGGGTCGTTGAAACTAGTCTTCCACTTCCTTTTCGAGTTCCCCCGCACTGTCGAGGTCTTACTTGTGGTGGACCCTCGGTCGCTGCGTAGTCTTTTGGGTTGTAGGCCATTGGAGATGGACTTGCTTAGACGGAATTCCAGTATTTCATTGGGTCATAGTTGAAAGTACACCTTATTAAGTATGGGCCACTGCCTGTTCGATAGTCTCTAATAGTAGAAGAAAGAACAAGAATCGAAGTTGGATGGAGATAGATATGTTGGCTAGGATGTGAATGGATGGCTTGTGGAAGAGGAAGGAGAAGTTGGTGACAGGAGGGGGTATCACCTCTGAGGGTTTTATTGAAGGAAAGACAATCTGAACTATAGTGAATCTTACAATCCATGGTGTGAATATGGTCTGCTATTATGCGGGTTATTCAATGTACCAACAATGACTGAGCATTGGTGCAGAGTCCCTGTGAATACGGCTTGAGACACATACTAGTCAGTCGGGCTTTTAGCCTGCACAGGGTGCACTTCGTGACCCTGAGACAAGCCCTCTCTAGTCTTCTGGTCAACCTCATTTTCCATCTTCTCTTGACCCTCCACCTCGCCTTTCTCCAAAAGACGCCGCGCAGACTCATTCCCATCTAAACCGGCCGCACGCTCATTATTTAGTCGTTCTTGCTCCTGCTTTCTATCCTTGAGCGCCAATGCTGCCTCCTCCCGAGCCACTTCGTCGGCATCGATACTCTCGAGTCCCACCACGCCTAGAATGCGTCCGACTAGGAACTGGTAGCGCAGATGGCCGCTGATGAAATCGCTGGCGTCCACATTTTCCACCCCTGATACTCCCTGCACAGGCTGTAGACCGGCAACACCAAGCTGAAGACTGCTGGTTCGGTACAGTAGAGCGAGAACGGCATCGTTTTCAGAGTACACATTGACCAACCGACCACTAACAACACTGCGTAGACGACGCCAGTGGGGTGCGTTGGACGGAGTAGGCGAGCCCATGAGAACCGCTGACTCCACTAAGCCGAATGCCTGCCGCTTGGCGAGAGTTTGTAGACAAGAGAAGATAACCCGGGAGCCCATCGAA